TTTTTCATATCACTGTTTGATGACAGGAATGAGTTGAGGTTTACCCCCACAATGACCCTACTAAGTCTTATGATTAGGTTGACCCATTGAACCTAGATCTTGGGATCTCCAGTCAACTAGGTTGGGTTTTCCTTCTTAAGACTTTTATTTCTTCACAGGCTTTACACCCATTCCTTTGGTCAATCTTTCAACTGTCTCTCTATTTAACCCTTTGGTTAGCGGATCCGCAAGATTATCCATTGACTTCACGTAGTCAATTGTGATAATTCCTGTTGAGAGGAGTTGTCTAATGGTATTGTGTCGACGACGAATATGTTTCGACTTACCATTATACATAGTACTCTGTGCCCTTCCAATCGTCGATTGACTATCACAATGAATACTGATAGGTGGCACAAGTTTTTCCCACTTTAGAATATCCTCCAAAAAATGGCGTAGCCATTCAGCCTCCTCACCACACTTATCCAAGGTAATGAGCTCGGATTCTATTGTGGATTTGGCTATTACAGTTTGTTTTGAGGATTTCCACGACACAGCTGCTCCAGCTAGTGTAAACACGTAGCCACTTGTGCAGTGTGAGTCCTTTATATCAGATATCCAATTAGCATCCGTGTAACCTTCTAACACAGATGGATATCTGGTATAATGCAGTCCACAATTACGAGTATGTCTTAGATACCTCAGTACTCTAATTATAGCAGTCCAGTGTTCAGCACTGGGATTACTCGTGTATGAACTCAACTTGCTTACCACATAAGCAATATCTGGTCTAGTACAACTCATTAGATACATCAGACTTCCTATTATCCGAGAGTATTCCACCTAAGATATACCCTGTCCACGATTCTTGGATAAATGGATACTGTTATCTAATGGTGTTTTCGCGATCCCAGAATCATTCTTGTTAAACTTATCAAGAATTTTATCTATGTAATGGGCTTGACTCAAAACTAGACCATCTGTTGTCCTTATGATTTTAACACCTAAAATCACATCAGCTAGACCCATGTCTTTCATGTCAAACTTAGAGTTTAACATGTTCTTGGTAGATTTGACCAACTTGTTACTACTACCAACAATGAGTATATCGTCTACATATAGACATAATATGACATAATCGTTTTCTATCTCCTTGGCATAAACGCATTTGTCACACTCATTAATTTTGAATCCACTAGTAATCATTGCATGGTCAAATTTTTCATGCCACTTTTTAGGTGCTTGCTTTAGACCATACAAGGATTTTACTAGTTTACAAACTTTCTTTCTGTTCCTGGAGCTCGGAAACCCTCTGGCTGTTCCATATAGATTTCTTCATCTAAATCTCCATTTAAGAAAGGTGTTTTAACATCCATTTGATGTATTTCCAAATTCCTCAAGGCTGCGATAGCAAGTATCATCCTTATGGAATTTATTCTCGTCACAGGAGAATATGTATCAAAGTAGTCTAAACCTTCTCGTTGTTTATACCCTTTGATTACAAGCCTGGCCTTGTATTTATCAATGGAACCATCAGGTTTCATTTTCCTTTTAAAGATCCATTTAGATCCTAATGGTTTCTGTCCAGGTGGGAGATCAACAAGCTCCCAAGTATGATTCTGTAAAATTGAATCAACCTCACTCCTTATGGCTTCTTCCCATAAAGGTCCCTCAATAGAACTTACTGTCTCAGCGTAAGTTAGAGGTTCTCTCTCTAGCAAATAGGTTACAAAATCATCACCGAATGATTTCTCTACTCTTGCCCTTTTGCTCCGTCTTGGTTCAACATCTTGAACCTCAACCGAATCATGAACTTCTTCATGAGTTCGTTTTGATGAACTGTCATCAACCTTAGTCTTGTAAGGAAACACATTTTCAAAGAAAGATGCATTTCTTGACTCCATAACTGTGTTCTTGTTTATATCCGAAATTTTCGAATCATGTACCAAGAACCGATATGCATTACTACTCTGTGCATAGCCAATAAAAATACAGTCACTGTTTTAGGTCCGATTTTTATTGCCTTTGGCGGAGGTACAACTACCTTTGCCAGACACCCCCACACTCGCAAGTGTTTGTAGGATGGTCTCTTTTCTTTCCATCATTCATATGGAGTCTTGTCTTCTTTCTTTCGGGGAACCTCATTTAAAAGGTAATTACTAGACAAGATGGCTTCTCCCCACATATTGGGAGGTAGGGCTGAACTTAACAACATCGCATTCGTCATTTCTTTCAATGTGCGATTTTTACGTTCAGCAACCCCGTTAGATTGAGGTGAATAAGGTGCTGTCACTTCATGAACAATTCCATATTGTGCACAAAAGCCACCAATCGGTGCTTCATACTCGCCACATCTATCACTTCTCAATCTCTTGATCTTTTTACCAAGTTGATTCTCAACTTCGGTTTTGTAGAGAACGAATTTCTCTAATGCTTCGTCTTTACTTTTTAACAAGTAAATATTGCAATATTTCGTGCTATCATCAATAAACGTGATAAAATACTTATTACCACCTTGTGTTTGAATCGATTTCAAATCACAAACATCCCTGTGAACGAATTCAAGTGGTTCAGTACTCCTTTCAACCTTTTGAAAAGATGACCTCGTTAACTTTGCTTCGACGCAAATTTCACATTTATTTCCTAAGTCAATTTGGAATGTTGGTATATGGTTCAAGTTAATTAATCGACGCATTGAATCAGAATTAACATGACCTAGTCTACCATGCCATAAATTGGAAGACTCAATCAAATAAGCAGAAGAGGTACTTGCATTCATTTCATCGACAATAGTCATTACATTGAGTTTAAACAACCCATCGGTTGCATACCCCTTCCCAGCAAATATTCCTGCCTTAGACAGAACAACCTTACTAGACTCTATTACAATGCGAAACCCATTCTTATCTAGCATGAATCCTGACACAAGGTTCTTGCGCACTTCTGGCACATACAGCACATCTGTGAGTGTCAGAGTCTTGCCCGAAGTCATCTCGAGCTTCACAGTTCCTTTGCCTTCAACAGTGGCAACAGTAGCATTTCCCATGTAGATCTTCTCTCCATGGGCTGGTTCAAAGGTGGTGAAGTGGCTCCTATGGGTGCACATGTGCCTGGACGCGCCAGTGTCCATCTACCATTCCTTTGGGTTGGACTCCACCATGTTCACTTGGGTCACCATAGCAACCAGATGCATGTCCTGCACATCCTTAGTGATGTCTTTGACCATGTTCGCCTCATGATCCTTCTTTGGGGAGCGGCAATCAGCAGATCTGTGACCTGGTTTGCCACAATTAAAATAATTACCTTTGAATCTGTGCTTCTGCTTAGAGACACCACCAGTAGTCCCTAGCTTCCCCTTGCCTTTGTTGGCGTTCTTGCTCTTGGCCTTGTTCTTCGAGCATTAGCCTTTACCATGCTCCACAATATTGACCTTAGCTTGTACGCCATTGGATGCCTTTGATTCTGACTTCCTGTTGTCTTCTTCAATGCGAAGTCTAACAATCAGATCCTCCAAGGACATCTCCTTGTGCTTGTGCTTGAGGTAGTTCTTGAAATCCCTCCAGCCCAGAGGCAACTTTTCAATGACCGCAGCCACTTGGAAGATTTCACTCAAGATCATCCCCTCAGCCTGGATGTCGTGCAGAATCAACGGGATCTCTTGCACTTGACTATCAACAGTCTTGGAATCTACCATCACATAATCAAGGAACCGTCCGACTACGAATTTCTTCGAGCCAGCATCCTCCGATTTATGTTTCCGGTCCATGAATTCTCATAAATCCTTAGCCGTCTTAAATTTCTCATACACATTATATAATGAATCATGAATAGCATTCAAAATATAACCACGACAAAGGAAATCTGACCGTTTCCAAGCCTCATATGCATGGACCGTTGGTGCGTCCGAACTACCTTCAGGCAACTGAGGAGCAACACTCGTCAGAAAGCTCGCCAAGTTCAGCGTCTTTTGTTGCCACCTCTTGAAAGTCGCAGCCGTCCCATTGAACTTTTCCGGCTTCTCCACGTGGCTAGCTGGAACGTTGGGCACAGCGAGAACAACAACAGAATTCGCAACCCCAGGAGCAATGGCAACACCGGGTACACCAGCACCGGGAGTGGCGCTAGCAACATCAGCACCAACAACATCAACATTAACAACATCAGCCATTGCGAATACACAAAATCAAAAGAAAATCTGTTTTAAGATTGTTGATCGAAATATGGGTAGTATTCACAAAGGCTAAGGAAAAAGGAAGAAAAAGAAATCCGAGGCTCGTGAAAACACGATTTCCTTAAAACAGATTTGCCCCCTTCTAAGGTGCTTGAGGATCTCGAGCAACTGTTTCCCAGGATACAACGGAAACGTAGATACTACTTAGCACAAAGAAGTTCTACCAGCGAACGAAACTTAGAACACAAAGATGAACACCAAAACTGAAAGAGAAGGAAAGAAAGGCTCGAAAGAATACTGAAAGAGGAGGAAGGATTGGTGTGTTGAACTTTGGAAAATGAGTGCCTATTTATAGGCTGGAGAAACCTTTGAAATGGCAGCAAAACTTCAAACGGTTTTGGTGTTTTAATTCTGCTAAATGTCACGAATTCATGGCACATAAACAGTCAAAACATTTTTGACAATCAAACAGTCAAAAGAATTCATTCTGCCATTTAAACAGTATTAAATCCGCCATTCATTTGCTCATTCAACAACAATGTTTCAGTTTTCTTTTTGACTGAAATGAATGAGCATAAATCTCCACATTAAAATTTTAGCTGGAAAAATTTAATCTGAACCGTAGCAAAATGTGGGTTGATCAGGCCCGCTAGAGCTCGGTTCGGCATTCATGTCCGCAGGTCGTGCGCACACATGAGTCAAGCTATTTTGGCCCCGAATCGGACCTCTATTTGCACCCCCCCCCTGCGCGGGCGCACGCGAGCGAGAGAGATGTGGTATAGTATTGGCAAGTCAACTTGCAAGTCAATTTTGGGCTCTCACTTATAAAGTGAGCTCCAACTCTTCCCAACACCCATGTGGGACAAAGTCCCTTAGCCTTAACTCTAAATTTTTCCAACTCTTGAGAAACTTAATTCTCATTCACTCTTTTCCAACTGTATGGGCTTTGATCAGCTGTGTACAGGTCCCGGAAGTACCGCATTGCCATGGACTGAAGTTGTGACTGATCTTTGCCAGTTGCCATTTTCTCCTAACAGAGCCCCAATTATTTTCTTCCTCCTCCGGCTGTTTGCAAAACTGTGGTAGAACTTGGTGCTGTGATCGCCATCTAGATTCCAGTTTTGGGTTGTTTTTTGAATCCACAAGGAATGTTCTTGAGCTAGGATCAAGTCAAGTTCCGCCTGGAACTCGTACTCCAAGCTCACAAGTCTATCACTCTCTCTGGAGTCCCTAGCTCTCTGAATTCCAACGAGTCGTGCAAGAGTTCTTTTATTTCTATGAAATATGTTACCAAAAATTTTCCGATTCCACCTCTGGGCAGCAATCATGAAAGTGGATGTAGCCTCCCCGAAATCAGCTTGTCTGTTCCAAGTCTGATCCACAAAGTTTGAGAAACTCTCCTGAAGTAACCAAGCAGCTAAAAATCTTAAGTGGGGATGTTTTCCTAAGGTTCAACAGGACTTGCATACTGTGAGGAGGAGGGGGTTGTGGTCCGACTGTCTTTTGGGTAGGTGTGCACATAAGGTATCTGGAAAGAGATTCAGCCACTCCTCATTGCATAAAAATCGGTCGAGTCTCTGCTGCAAGCTTCTACTTCGCCATGTAAATTTGACGCCATCGGTCTGGACATCTTGGAGTTGGTTGTCGAATATCCAGTCTACAAACAAGGAGCAACAGATTTTTCTCTTGGATTTATTTCCCCTACTCTCCGACTTCCGTACTATGCTGTTGAAATCCCCCTATTAACCATGGCCCCTGAACCCTATTAGCAATTTGGTTTAATTCTGCCCAGACCTCTCTCCTTATCCTTGGGTCTAGGTTCGCAGAGACAAAAGTTACAAAAAATGCCCTCTCCAAGCTAGTAATTTCGGTATGTACAAATTGCCTGTTACAGGTCAAAATTTCCACCTTTACAGACTCTCTCCACATGACCCATATTCCCCCGTAAAGCTAACCGATTCAACCCGGAAAGACCTATCATACCCACATTTTCTAACAAATAGATCTGCATTCTTACCGCTAATTCGCGGTTCAAGAATTGCAACCACTTCGGGTTTGTGATAATTCAGTATATCTTCAAAAGCATGTCCAAAAGGAGTGGATCCTACTTCTCGGACGTCACAACATAGGATTTTCGTATTCATAAAAAAAAACTATGTACATAGAAAAGATGGCTACCTCATGTCAGGGGTTCCAGAACCCTGGACATGGTCCTCTTCTGTGAGAGTCGACTCCTAGTTGGGGGGATGAAATTGCCTCCTTCTACCTCCATCTCCTCGTTCCCGCCGGCAGATTGAGGTTGCTCTAGTAAGTTTCCTTCCGATTGCATACCTCCACTGACCCTTGTGTCCTCCAATTCATCCCCTCTCACTACAATCTCCATATGATTTTCTTTTCGGCGTTGGCTTTACCAGGACCGCCATATGTTTGCTGGGATCCAAGTTCGATGAAACCGGTGTTGCATTTGGAAAGGGACCTGTGGTAGGATTAACTTCACCTATTTTGCTACATCCTGGTTCAAGGCTATTTCGTGCTGGGTCAGTTTCTGGGCCTGTTTGGGTACTGGGCTCAACTATGATTTCTTGGCTCCTCCGCTGGTCCAGGGTCCTGCTGCTTCCAGTGGGCTGGGCTGTCTCCGCCCCACTCCCCTTATCAACAAGCCCAATTTCCTTTCCTTTATCTTTTGGATTCTTTAGCCCACATTCCAAACCAGCTGATATGACTTCCCTCCATATACCACTCCCTTGTGACCGGTTTGTTGCCCTCTCCTTTTTTTAGCTGAGATTCCCTCCTGATGTGGCTCCTTCTTTTCGACTTGGTCTCTCGTTAGTCACCGTCCTAAAATTTGCAGCAAGATCTTCTGAAGATTCCTTCTCTTCTTCGTTTAGACTCTCCAACACCGAATAGCGGGACCCAGCTGATTGCATGGAAGGGTGGTGTTTGTTTTTGTGTGTATTCGCCTGGGCCATCCTCTGCCTTCCTAGTTTAGGCGCGTACATCCACTCGCCAAATACTGGTTTTTCCTGTACAGTCACCGTCACCAGTTTTTTAGCCCCCGTAGTCCCTGATTTCTGGTCCCCATCGGTGTTCTGCTTCTCCGGCGCCTGCCTCGGTCCCTCAAACCCATAAGTACCGGCAAAGTGACCGACCCAGTCACATGACATGCAAATGCAGTCGAGATTCTCGTACTCAACAAGCTGGTTACAGTCCCTTATGTCAAACTGAGCACAGAGAGGAAGTGTTAAATCTATTTCCACAGCTAATCAAGCGAACCTTGCCCTTGTTGTGGTAGCCGTTTAGTGATCGATGTGCACGACTCTGCCCAGAAGTTGCCCAATCCTCCTTAGGAAGGACTTGTTATAATGGTGCACTGGAAGTCCAGGAAGTCTCGCCCAAACTGTCATGAACCTTACCTTATTCACCTTTGCGTCAAAGTCGTTGGTCCACCGTTGAGTATGGAGGTAGGTAGTTCCTATCAGCCAGGGTCCCTTACTCAGTACCATTTCAACGTCACTCGGGTTGGCAAAAGTCACCAAGAAATAGTCTCTCTCCATGTCCTGAACTACAAAGCTATTAGTGTTCTCCCACATTTTTTTCATGCGGTATTGGAGTTGGGGTAACGTAATCGTCCTCCCCATCAGCTTAGTCACCACTACATTCCTCCATGGTTTGGCTAGTTGTTCCTCCACCCTATCGCGGATCAATACTTTGGGGATAGCCCATCCTGGACAAAGACACATCCTCCTTAAGGTTCTGTATCTCCTCATCCTCTCCAAGTAGGTCTTGTATCAGCGATCGGCGACCACCGAACAATTTCCCTTGGAAATTCATGGGATGGCTCATCGGCGTCCCTCTAAGCGAATTTAGGGGTTGAGGTCCTGCTGGCTGTGGAGTCTCTTTCCCCCCTCCTGTTTCCCCATCCTGTTCCCTCATCTGAAATCTTGGCTTTTTTAGGGATCTATCATCAATCAGTGGTGGAGTTGCACTTTTGATACACAAATCAGGGTCCGGCGGCGGCGGGGGGTCGTGGCCATAAGGCCCTGACGTCGCGACTTGGATCGACCTTTCTAGATAGAAGTTTCTAGAGAGAAGGTAATATTTTCAATTAGCATCTTAACATGCCATAAAGAACTAACACTTTGAAAACCCCTACAAGTAAGCAAATTCCAACGAAAAACAATCAAGGAGAAATCACATCAGAACATACAACCATAATATCTTATCACACGATTTGAGAAAACATTACAAATACACCTTACACCCTATCATTTCTATAAATACAAAAAGGGCAAAAGGAAATGGGGGATCCACTTTTTCAAACGTCTTCTTTTTCATTTCTTCTTTTTCAAATCCTGTGATCGTAATGGATACCTTCTAGACCATGAATTCATCATCTCGGACATGAATCCTTGCGGCCACGTTTCCTTCTTCGCTAAAAACACCTGACTCATGATCATAAAATACTGATATCAATGTATCCGGCCTTCCTGATGACATACTTCTTTCCATGCAAATTAACATAAGGTGGGGTTGATCCAACCCAAAGGGAACAAATCATTTTCGGCATCCTGAAACCCTGAAATTTTACCAAGTGTTCGATCCTTCATGTGAAATACACCAATTTCCTTATCCTTTAAATCGTCACTACTGGTAAAACTGTGGGAAAAATATACGCAATTCGGTTCTTTGCAATCGGGAATACAACACGCCGACGTGCCACGATAGTAGTAATTAGTAAAAAATATGGAGTCATTGTTTTCCAACTTGAAATTCTTCACCCACCTGAATACTTTATTGTTCCCAACCAATGTGAAAATTCTAAAGTTCCATGGCTGAAAAGTTGTGCATACTGATAACAAGTCACCATTTGAAGCTTACACGAAATAAGGTACCGCTCTTTCAACATCATATGTAGGTACATTAATAACCTCCTCGCGACCAAATTGATCTTCATTATTAGTTTTGTAATCAAAAGCCACGAGCTGACCACGCATGTCCATGCCGTACAACAATCCGTTGTAAAATATAATGTCCCAATTTGTTTCATTGAAAATCGTCCAACATGGCTGGTCCGCTTTCCACAACCCTAAGCGCAGTTCTTCGTATGCTCCACGTCGAACAGAGCAAATTGCAGCAACGACAAAATCATTCGGACGTGAAGTAGGATCGCAAGACAAAATTACTTTTTGGAAACGAACAGGATTGTTGCTGCAAGGGATCTTGATGCTCTTTCCACTAAAGGGATTAAAAAGCTCCAGTGAATTAGGAGGATTGGAGGCATAGATTACCCAGCCATGAGAGGAACCTAAGATAAAATCATCCTCACCTTTCAGAGGAACTCTGAATTCACAATTTTGCACCACTTTATGTGACTTGATGTTGTATAGTTTTGCGTGCTGAAATTCGCCATCATCGACAACATCAAGTGCTGATCTCGTTTGGCCTTTGGACCTATTATTCTTCACTAAAATCATGAAGGGTAGCTCTTGTGACCTATTATTCTTCAGTCTCTTGTAAGTTGCTAAAATATGTATTATGGAGAAAATAAGTACAGGGGTGTAAAAAATTAAAACAGGTACGCAACTTGATAAGTCTTGGCCTTCAAATTGGATAGGAATTGACGAATTGTGAACAGTTTTCTCTGAACAAAGTTTTTCGATTTCAGTACGCAAAAGCTATGGATCAGATGGATGCTTACAGTTCACAATGGAGTGAAGAAATAGACTTGGAAGCACTTGAAAACCAACCCGAACATATATTGGCCGGCCGGCCAACCTGACGGCTGCGCAGCTAGCTAGCAATGTCGCTCACATTGCCTTCCTGCCTGCCAGTTTCTACCATGGAGGCTTAACTTCCTGTTTCATGGAAACTTTTCTCTGGCGTTTTTAGCAGATAAAGCAAAAAGAACAGCTAACTAGTTAAGTTCCATTCTAAAAGTTTCTGAAGCATCTTAAACACACACACACACACACAAACACACACAAAAAAAAAAAAAAAAAAACAGGGTTCTTCAGGAGTTAGCTGATTCTATATTTCACCTAATTGGAGTCTAGAGAGTTGAGAAGTCCCTGCAAGACCCTCCTAACAGTACTCATTGTTGGCCTAAATTCTTCTTCCCACTGCAAACAGAGAGCCGCAATAGCTGCCATCTGCAATATTTAAGTAAGGATATGAGGGTTGGTTATTAACTTTGATTAACTGCCATCTCTTGATTGCATTTTGCTTCACTAAAATGGTCCAAACATAAGACTAAAAGAGAGCAGAAGGACCTTAGCAACTCCCTTCCGTGGGTAGTCGTTGTTTAGTTTGGGATCCACACATTGTTTCACCTTGTCTTCAGACAATCTTGGAGTTGCCTATAGCAAATGTATGAGTGAATCTATTATGGAAAGTAGATATATAAATTGTAAGATACTATAAAGAGAAAACTTTAGAATGCAGCAATGTACCCAGGTGATTAAATTTTTCTGTCCTCTGGGCCTATTGTGGTCTATGGGCTTCCTCCCAGTTAAAAGCTCCAAAAGAACAACTCCAAAATTGTAAATATCATCACTCTCTTTAGTAGTGACAATTATCTGCTCTGTCCTGCCAAAACCATACCTGAATAGGGAAAAACACGTTCTCAATGAAGATGTTTGTGTCTTTATTCAAAATGGAACTAGTTCTCCACATCATCCTTATCCTCTGCGAAGGGAAGGGAACTTGCTTACAATTCAAGTGAATCCACGAGGGAGGTTGGAGACCACAGGTTTTCCCAAACAAGTGGCTTGGTTCCCAAGCTGAAATCAGCAATTTTGGGCACAAAATCATCAAAGAGAAGCACGTTCTTAGAACTGACTCTGCCGTGAACAATAGTCGGTCGAACTTTCTCATGCAGATGCTCCAGCCCTTTTGCTGCACCATATGCAATCTTCACTCGCTGATTCCAGTTGAGAACTGATCCCTGAGCACCCTTTTTACCTAAAATTAAACAATACAGGCATGGTAAAGATGTGCTTCCAAACAGCTTTACAATTTTCAAAAGCCAGTAGAATGAGTGCGCCCTACCGTGCAGCACATCATGTAGAGAACCCATTGTTGCATACTCATAGGCCAAGATTCTGTTATGTCCTTCAAGCCAATATCCAAGTAACTCAATCAGGTGCTCATGTTTAAGTCTTGGGACTGTTGATAGCTGCAAAGAAAAGTGCGGATGTGGATTTGAAATGTGCAAGTGATAACACAAAGCATGTGTTTTATGGAAACAATGCCGACTTTAACAGTAATCACCTCTTCTGCAAAATCAGAATCTGTTTCTGATCTAGAACTCTCATCCATTTTTTTAATTGCAACTTTCTGGCCATTGCTTAATGTTCCCATATAAACCTGGCCACATGAACCCTCTCCTATCAAAGCCTTTTCCCCAAAATTGTCGGTCAATTTTTTCAGCTCATCCAAAGACAAAGCTTGTATGTCTATGGATAAAATTTCTTGAGGAACTCCACTTCTTACTGCTCCAACCCTGTGCTCTCTGGACCCTACACTTCCTGAAGTACATAGTGAACAAAACATAAACAAAGTGCTATTATTGGCTTGGCTATAACAAAACACAGGAACCATAAAGATGCGCCGCAAGCAATTATTATTTATTGGGAATCGATTAGTGATTTAATCATTCTCATTCATTATTTAGGAAAAATAGATTATTTTACCTCCATTTGTGTCTACGCCATCATTTGATTTTCCAGGTATAGGAGGGACAGTTTTTTCGTTTGCTGGTTCCCTGGTGACATTTTCTTCTGCATACCCACATCACACATGTTTTGATTCAGCTAAGCATCTTTATTCTCTTTTGACATATCAGTTAAAAGCTGTTCACAAATATCAATGAGAAGTGAGGATGAAAAATGTTCGTGAAATACAGAACAGAGTTAGTAACTTACTTCCATTCCCAACTATCCATGGCCAACTAAATAATGATTTTCGAACTCCTGCGGAATCCCTTATCCTCGGCCGCAAGATTTCTCCTCTAGATGTTGAGGCAAGATTCTCAGTTGGAATTTTGGAGTTTAATTCAGCTGGTGGAGATATGACAATCCCATCTAATATCTTAGTTTCATGTGAGTTCTCATCTCTCGACGTTGAGGCAAGATTCTCAGTCTGTTTTTCAGAGATTACTTCTGCAGGAGGAGACGTGCCAATCTGTTCCAGTATCTTGGTTTCATTATGACTCAAACAAGTGGTCTCAACATTGGAATCCACCAATTCAGAATTCATATGGCTTTGATGTTTCTCAATCGCACGCTCCAGACTTGACACCACTTTAGCCATTGTAGGTCTGTTACTCGGCAACAGTTGCAGGCAATTTTCAACTGTTTTCACAAACCTTTTTAGGCTGTCTGATGAAATTCCACCCTGTAAACTGGGATCCACAATTCTACTAGCATCACCTTCTGCTGTACATTCTTGAAAGCGTGATAAGAGACTTATTGGTTCTCCGAAACTTTGAACTTCCACTGCAGGTTTCCCTGACAAAACTACCAACATCACAACACCAAAAGAATACACGTCGCTTTTTCTCGTCAATCTGTGGGTCGTAATATAGTTGGGATCTAAATAACCAACTGTGCCTTTGACTTTTGTGCTAAGGTAACTCTCAGTCGGGGAAACTTTCTCCAGCTTGGATAGCCCGAAATCTGAAATCTTCGCTATGAGATTCTCATCCAGTAAGATGTTTGTGTCCTTGATGTCACGGTGTATGATTCCATATTCACCACTAGTATGGAGATATTCCAATCCACGAGCAGCACCTATGCAGATTCTAAGCCTTTGCTCCCAGCTAAGAGGAACGCAGTCCATCCCCTTTCTGGCAAATTTGTAAAGATTGTCAGCGAGTGTGCCACCAGGAATATATTCATATACAAGGATCATTTCCCCAAATTCGTTACAATATCCTATCAAGGAGACAAGTTGAATGTGGCGGAGCTTTGAAAGTGTTTCAATTTCAGCCCAAAACTCATTAGCTCCTTGCCTGGAAAACAAATTCAACCTTTTTATAGCAACAATACCGGGGACCCCAGGAATAACACCTTTGTAAACTTTGCCAAATCCACCCTTTCCTATGACACATTCATCGCTGAATTTTTGTGTTGCTAACTTTATCTCAGCAAGCGAGAAGACACGACAACGGAGCTCAACTGAGGCTGACTCTGCACCTCTTCCATCAGGGTATTGCTCTTCACAACATTTTCTCAAGCTATAGGCTACAATGCTTAGAAGAATAGTGATGACAGTCATGGCATTACCGATAACATTAGCTATAGAGAACTTCTCATTTTTCGGGTTCAAAGGGGTCGACAATCCTATTGGATAAACAATGTCTGAAGCTGCTAAATTGTTTTCGAGGTTACTCAACTTGAAGATTTCCATCCCATTTAGGAGTCCAAAAACTAACTCATCATCTGATTCTAGGCGAATCGTGATATCAAACTTACCACCTCCTTCATCATCTTCTTCTAATATGACTACGTAGTCCTTGTACATTGGGATCCCAACTTCATTACTCCATCTGATGACATCTGCCCATGTTTCGGCTATCTGATTATTTATATGAACATTGAACTCCCTTATCGTCCTCTCTGCCATCCTATAGTCAAGCTCACAAAAATGAAGCCTTACAAGATATCCAAATCCTAAATCTACCGGTATTCTCCATGTAAGGTGATAGTTCGTATTGTATAGACCTGTCACTATTTTCCAGGATGTCTGGTAAATCTTTATTGGTGCAACAGGTGCTGGAATATTTTTATACTTAAGTACCCGATGCCTCACTCGCCGGCCTCTTGGTTCCAGCAAAAAATTAATATCCTCATCCCACTGGCGAAACAACCCAAAATCTTCCATTGAGTTTATAGAAATCCCTCCAACATTGAACCTATGTACCACTTCCAGGGCAGTGCCATTATCAATAAAAAAGTAGGACCTATGGCTTAGACCAACAATTAAAGCTCCTAACTTAAGTTCAGGAGTATAATAAAGACCACCTGGCATGGAAATAATTTCAATACCATTCACAAAAGCATATGTTTTATCCATCAGAGAAGGTGAAAATGTAACCGTCAATTCTCTGTTTCCTTCTTCTACATTTAAACAGAACTCTTTAACAATGTAGCTTAAACCCGAAGTTTGAGCAGCGGGTGAAGCACTATAGTTTCTAAGGAGAGTAAAAGGACCAGCTTTGACACTGAAATAATCTACCCATTTCTCAAAACCACGGTAGGAAGCAGGATAAAAATGTAGACGGACAATTTTCTGACCTGGATTCACTGGGAATGTGTACCTGAACTCAGTGGAAGAAATTCTAGAAGTCTTGTACGGAACAGGATCAACGGTGATCCCACTGGATGAAGTCTGGACATGAACAGAGCTGCTTGATTTTCCTGATATATGATCCACGCCCAGGGCTGATTCTCCTATCCATTCACGGCCGTTAAGGGCAGTTAAGTTGCCAACAGAGCCACAGTTGATAGCAACATTACTGATCAAGCGGGCGGTGGTGGGCGGAGCTTTAAGGTTTGCCGGCAGAATTCCTGTATACACAGCTAAGCCCAAAAAGGATAAAACCAGAACTCCTATAGAAAAAAGCTTTATCTTTGTGTGCAACATCAGCTTGGATTGGGGTTTCTTCCTTTGAAAATTGAAACTGTATTGATACTCTAATAGGGGAATCGTCAAATAAGCCAACCAAAGTTCAGAGTATCTTTATCAGTCAATGTAAAAATCCCGGCCGGCTGAAGACTTTGCAGGTCTTCTTTTTTTCCCCTTTGCAGGTTATCAAAACAGCAGAAGTTTGACTGAGTCGCTCATCTTGTCCCAGTTGACTTGACGATGTAAGTTATGTAACTAGGTGGTACAAGGACGGGGAGTTTACCAGTTGTGCTTTTACCGCCATTTTAAAGTATGAAAATCAGCACGAATATCGTACAAACGTTGTCCTGTCTGGAAACGGATAGTTGCTTATGTAATTTTTTCCCCACATTCTAAGGACAAATTTAAAATTTTCGGTTCAGTTGTAGATCCCACTGGAGCTTCATTTTAAATAACAAATTTTACCATTTTTTATGCATTTGCCATCCTAATTCTCAAAACTTTACGCTAAAACACATCCGAATTCAAAATAAAAAGTCATCGATGAGGGTCGTCATACTCGTGTTCCGCAAAGTGATTCCATAGGTCCTGATCTTTCACTTTGAAAAATTTCAAAGCAACCACGGCGTGTTGGTCTCAAACACCAAACTAGTTCGAAATTACAGGTCGGACTAAAATCAAATAGACATCAATGAGCTTGTGCTAGAAAAGCGTATGCAATTGCCAAGTCTGCAAGCTGTGTATCCTTGATGATACTCGAATTCCTGTCTTTTAGCATCAGTCTGAGGTACTTACATTTATCGAATGGTACATATCGTAATGCGTAACTTAAGGGGTATATCATGCTTTCAACTTTACCTCAATACTTTTTCAAAAAAAATTACCTCAATACTGGGTCAGTGATGTATGCTTGCACTCTTGCAGTTTTACTACTATGCTCTTTACAGGGAAATTGAGGCTGGATTACTTAGCTAGAGCCCCAACTGATAAGGCTAGTTCTTCTAGTAGTTCCTTCTGTTCCATGGCAACGCAAGACTGAAGAAAGCCATTATAAAGTTGAAAGATTAGTAAAACCCAACTTCCCAGGTAACGGGGAACTCAAATCTATCTAACAATATTTCCGATGATCACCCAATATAACCCTCCCCGATGCTCAGCTCCGAGGTTAAAATCTACCGAAAATATCATAATTATCGAGCAGGAAGCTACTCAGAAATGTTATCAATCTGATGAAGCTGAAGATTACCTGAACAGCGGCTTCTATGTCGCCATTAAGAAATGATGTGAGCTCGAAGTTCATTTTCAACCGATGATCAGTTACTCTATTGTCCTAAATAAAGAAGAAAGATAATTTTAGCAAGGATCGAAATGGTTCGGTCATGTAAGTTACAGTACTTCTTTATTCAGTCATGTAAGCTTGATACCTTATAGTTGTATGTGCGAATCTTTTCAGCCCGTGCACCGGTGCCAACCTGCATTGCATATGTGCCAATATGTAATCAATACCGAGACAAGATTATCCAGTGTTTTATTTGGAAGAAAGCTATGAGCTCAGGGAGCCTAGTGCTTTGAATTTAACCTGATTCTTCAATATGAATATAATAAACAAACATAATACCTGTAATTTCCTCTGATTCCTGATAGACTCTTGCTGCTCCCTCACTTTTATCTCGTACCTGGAAGAATCTCACAGATCATTATCCATGAACTACGGTGTTCTATTTTCCAGTTATGGTATGCTATCAAGATTGCCTACTCTTTTCATTTGATTAGAATATTGTTGGTCACTAGGGGAGAGCCGAGAGGCTTAAGTTTTGAGATGTTTCACCTAAAAGTAAGTCTTAAGATCCACGCTGAAGTGCCCCAGGGTACCAACCACGAACAGTTCTAGCACTACCAACTTGTTGCATTTATTAAAGTTGATTTACTATTTACTCATTTCTTTAATGCATGCATTAACCTGATAAAAACTAGAAATAGCTGAATGTAAATCTCAAAATGCTCATTAGGAACTCAGGTAACACTAGGGATGATCAACATGAAGACAAAATGTTTAATGCAAGCGCAACATTCACTTACAGTTTTGCTCGAAGTAGCTGGAGAGCTCTGCTTTTGTTACGTAGCTGAGTTCTTTCTTCAGTGCAAAAAATCCTAATTCCGGTGGGCTTATGAAAAAGATCAACTGCTGTTTCGACCTTATTAACATTCTGGCCTGCAACGAAGTCAATGCATAACACTGTATCACAAAATTATCTTTGTTGATTTTAGTCCTTCACGACAAGATCTTATTGTGACTGATACCTCCAGCACCACCAGAACGAGCAGTTGTAAGCTCAATATCCTTTGGATCAATTTCAACTTCGACTTCATCAGCCTGGACCAAGAACATTTATCACGACGATAACATAAGACAATGTATACAAAATGAGAGAACCACAATAACTAAAATCGACACAGCTAGACCAATGAATTCTATTGACCCAGTCCATCTAAACATCTAAAGATCAAATGGCTTACAAGACTAATACTATAAGATTCAATGTAACTCATGTATGAGTTCTCAGTATAATACAATTCGACAAGTATGTACCATAACTAAGATAAACAATTTTATAAGCAGCCATATTGCACTAAAAAGGAATCATCTACCACAATGACTTACTTCAGGCATAATTGCCACAGTTGCAGTAGATGTGTGGACACGGCCTTGAGCTTCTGTTTGGGGAACACGTTGAACTCTATGGACACCAGACTCATACTTCAATTTGCTGTATACACGATTTCCTTTGATTTCCATAACATAAGTCTTAAATCCACCTTTTTCAGCCTGGTAACGTAATGAGATTAGACCACTGAAAGAAACAAAATGACCTTTATAAACTTTAAGGTTGTTCTTTACCTCAGAGCTTGAAACCGGAGAGCATTTCCACGAGTTCCGTTCACTGTAATATTGGTACATCCGTACCTAAAATGCATTCAGAAATCAGAAACTTAGGTTACCACTGAATACAAGGATAGTTCTTAAATGCCAAAGCCAACATTATTACATTAGTAAATTTGTCCCATTAAGTAAATACAGTGGAAACTGTTCCTAATTAAAATTCCACTTTGCCACAATATTCCTTCAAATGCCAGAGTTTTACATATGAACTACCATACATACTGGGTTTGAGTTAAAATTCAAGAATAAAATGCATGTATTAATCCATGAGGAATTGAAATCCATGACATGCTATGAGCTAACAGTAAAAGTGAACAAAGGAGAATGTACCTACAAGATCACCGGCCCAGATTCCAGCCTCATCACCGCCAGTTCCAGCTCTAACTGCCATTCAATCCATGTGAAAATATTTACTATTATTAACTCCTACAATCACAACTATAATGAGATGATTACTAGAAAGCTGCGAGAAACACCAGATTTCTCGGCTCAAAATTGTTTTTCCTTCGCTGCAAGCCAGGAGGAAAAGATCCTCTAAATCATCATCTTAAAACATATGTACTCTATCAATTAGTTTTCCAATTTTTCATCCCCATTATCCGTTTTAAAACTATTGCAAACGGTTCATTAAAAATTACATGTATGAACTGAAATACAGCAGCGCCGAAATGAAAAGACAGTTCCTGGCTGAAGATGGTAGAAGAATATGATCTATATAACGACGCACAAGTGTACAAAGCCTTAATGATTGTTGCTCTTGTTGTATCATGTATAATATGACACAAATGGAAGAGAAAGTATAGATTACCTTCAAGCAATATATTTCTTTCATCAAGAGGATCACTAGGAAGTAGTAGCACCTGCATATGACAAGAAAGAAAATTTCAGAAATCAAACCACCAAAACCAAGAAAAGTAAAGCAAATTGCTAAATTTCATAGAACCACCTTGAGCTTCTCTTCAAGATCATTGATTTGACTGGTTAAAGTGTTAATTTCAGAAGTGATCATTTCGGCCATTTCTTCATCGGTGCCTTCTTCTTTAGCCAAAGCTGACATTAGTGAGGACATGCAATATATCATGAATGGTCAGCAATTAACACAAACAGAGACGTACTACTCGTTATTCATCGGCAAATTCAAAATCCAAAGAGATACTGTGTTAGTCAAGAAGAACCTTTGGTTTCTTCTAGCTGCTTCTCGCAAGCCTTGAATGTCCTATAAGTTTGAACAACCTAAGATTCAAAAGTTGTCCAAGAAAGACAATTAGTGAAGTAACAAGTATCGGACGACTTGCAATCAAAGCAAAAATGAGCCAACAAATAGTAGATGCCGCACCTCATCAAGCTCTGCCACAGATTGGGCCAGTTTTTGATATTCATTTGGATTTGAAGTAATATCCGGATCGGCCAACTTAACCTGTAATTAAGATTCTAGGTGAAATAATTTTCCAGGTAATATGAGGAAATGAGCAGCACAGCCATATAGACCAAGTTATTCGGCCTCTTGTATCAGTTTCTCATAAAGTCAGAAAACAAGCAATGTCACTCTGCTTGTCCACTAAGCCGTATACATTCCTTCATTTTATCACTTCCAAGGATGAAATGGAAATAAAAACCCATAACTAAGCCAATCAATTCCAGTCGAAATAAAAACCCATATCGTGCGGCCGTCGACAGAAGAAAACGATTCCAAATTCATAGTTTACTTAAACCTTAATCATAGCCCTCCTCAAATAAAGTTCTCCAAATGTATAACTTGCTAAGATACATACCTTGTCTAAGCATTACGTTTTGAGACAAAGGAAGTACACAAAATCGAACAAAACAGAGGTGAGCTATAATTGCATACCGATAACTCTTGCCATGTCTTCTCAGCAGATTCCAGTTTTGTTATCAGATAAGGTTCCTGCAAAACACAAAGTTTACACCACGTAATCACTAGCCTTATAATAAGCAACAAAAACAATATATTTTGGGAAAATGGGAAGGAAAAAATGCGTACAGCCATGCAGACAAGTCTACTTAGTTTTGTACGGGTCGGGAAGAGTCTGAAGAAACCCGGCTTTGTTGTTGTTGTTGAGCATGAGCAAAGGGGTCGTGCCGGCGACGGTGGTGCTGGAATTTGTAGTGATAATTGGGCGGTGATGAAGCTATTCATGTCTACTGGTGTGAAATTCCGGCGATGAATTAGTCCAACTTCAACGGAGAAAGAGGTGGTGGAAGGGCTAGAACCACCAGTTCTCAGAATAGATAATGATCCTCTTTCTGTTCTCCGCCATTTCTGTCTTAAATTGAAGCTCTGTGCTGGCAGGGAAAAAAATGAAGAGAAAAATGGAAAGGAATTTGATGGCCCAAATGACGATGAGATGGCGGGCGAAATAAGTCCACATTCATTAATAGGCTTCTCAAGTATCGGGCTGTTTTCCAATATTCGGGATCCATATATTGGGTGGCTGTAGGCCCAAAATGAAATATGTTTATGTTTACAAAATTTTACTAAATTTTATCAACACCATTGACATTATTCAAAAAATTTCTTGAATTCTATCATCTTTTTCATGAAAATACTATTGATAATCTTAGTACTCACTATTCCTTACCTCTCAAAATGATTTTCCAGTTTGAATTTTAATTTTTACTATAAGTATTACTAAAAGTAAATCTCTGAATAGGACAATTATTTTAAGACAGAAAAAGTATTTATTAAAAAACACAGGCTCAAGGACATATTTCGTTTTATAAAATTTTCATTTCCGCACAATTAAGCATACTTTCGCCATGAACCAGTCATAATCCCAATCTATCTTACTCTAAGGGCACAATAGTGTCTTCATTCCAACCAAAAGCAAAAAGCTAAAAAATAAATTAAAATTTAACTTTATAAATTTGGATAAAAGGGCATAATTTTTATATGTTGAGGTGTTTCAGAAAAGCCTGAAACTTGTTATTAAACTAATCTGGTTCTCCAGAATTTCTTAGTAAGATAAGCATTTACAGGTGTCCTGAAGTCCCCAATCTGGGGTCCTGAATCCGATTTGCTTCCCATTTTCCAAATTGATTAATAAGAATAATAATCCGGTATTCATAAAGCTACCCAAATTAGGGGAATCAATGGAACCGAATGGTCCCCCTGGTTTTAACGTAGATTGACATGAAATCATGATTAGTCCAACTCTCAATGCACCAAACTAAAGTAAGTTATTATACTAATAAATTTATGTCAAGCATTGCTTAAAGTCGTTTATATCATTTCTGGTACGATTGATCAAATTATGTTTAAGTTAATAGATTTTACTAATGATATGGAACAAAATTGTACTATTTTTAGAGTCACGAATTTTAGTTTGCGTTTATATTACATACGAAATAAATTTTAATAAACTGATACGAATGAACTTTTAAAACAACATGTTAATGTTTAGATTCGAATTTAGTGGTATATCATAAACTTAAAGAGCATTGTAAAGAAAAAAAAGTGTTAGAGAATGTGGGAAAAAAAATTTTATGCCATAGAGAGTTGCAGTCGGCATGAGTATCTATCATTACTTCATTAGGTGATGTGTGCATAATTTTTTTTTTCCCTTCCCTTTTTTTTAAGTCTAAAGAACAATAATGGGGTTGTTCCCTGTTAAGATGAAGGCGTGCGTTCATAAATATGGCCCAGTTTCCACCTTCAAGCTACAGTACAGCCCAATGTCCCCAATCTTATTTACCAGTTGTTGCAGAATCATTGGATTTTTTATTTTCTCCTTTTCTTTGCAACCTTCTTGTTCCCCCATTTTCATTTGGATCAACTATTCTAGTTACAGTTTTAAGGAAAATATTCCGTTAAATGAAAATTAGCCTTGTTTGGAGACATAGTAAGGACTTTTTTTTGGTCGAACGGAAAAGCTTATATATTGCTCCAAAATCAATAATAATACATCGGGGATAGCTAAACCCGACAATATCATGGTACAACCAATCAATCAATCATGGGGATGCGAATCCAAGCCGGACAATCTCCCTGAATTCTCCCCTGTCAGTGATGTCAAAAAGTAGACTGTAAAATTACATTTTCTATGAGCGTGATAAGCATTATTTTTGTTAAGTATTGAGAGAAATTTTTCACATTAAAAATATTTTTCCGACCTGTCAAATAATTGATAAAGTAATGTTTTCGAATTTTTTATAATATAAATGTTTAATTCCCAATTAATGTCCAAAAATTACTTTAAGCTGTTATGAACCCCGGTGATTGGGTGTCCATTTACTCAATTTTGCATACTTTTTGACCAAATAACCCCCATTTTTCACATTGCTATACTAATGGCATTGGGAAGATTCTTTTCAAATTATACCCCGAAACTTACTGCAATGGGGAAAGAAACACGAGAGCCCATCCATTCATCATGTTCAATTGTTCATGCCAAGGCTATAGATGTAAGTGTAAGCCAGTGATAACGGGGAATTGAATTTTACCCCTAAGTTAAAAAAGGCTAGTCTAAAAGATATAGAGTACTTATTAAGTTGATAATCTTGACCTGTTTATTTTATGAGGGAGTCCAATTTATTACACGATTTGTAATAATGAAGTATTTATTTGAACAATCTATTCATGCATTTTTTTTTTCTTTATTGCATACCATATTGCAATATAATCATATAAGTATTCTAAGAATTGATTTAAAATGAAGTTTTTAAACCATTTTTAATCTAACCATTTATTTCAACCATTGTCTAAAATGTGTTTACCTTACCATTACATTTCAAATAATGAATCTTCATTTAGTAGTAAGAAGATTTTTAGTCGGTTTTTAGGAGACCTAACTACCAAAAGTCATTGAGGGTGTTAGGGGAAAATGGAAAACAAATACTAAATGTAATAGTTTAGTGTAGTGTTCAATCACAAAATATTATAGCGCAAATAAAGAGAGGGGGAGAGTGCTTGATGAAATATACAGCAATCAAAAAGGCCCCTCCAGCAGACAAGTAAAAGCTAATTATAATACTAGGGATGTCATTATGAACTCTAATCGAGCCTTTTATCAAACTCATCCTTGGTATTCTTCCACTTTTTAATTGAAAGCCTTTACACATAATTTAGGCATATTTTAAGGTAATCGATCTTTATGCGTTGGCTTTCACTTGTGTTATGATTACATACCCCAAAAGCAATGCAAACTTTGAAGGAATCCGGCGATCTCCCTCCTCCATTTACAAAACGCAAAAAACAAAACATTTTTTTTTATATTAAATGAAAATGTTAGCTCATTATCAAGAATGAATATTAAATCTAATCGATTTAAATTCAACGAGTTATTTCACTAGTACGATTTCAACTGTTGATGCTAATAAAGCTCGTGAGTTCTATGCTGATTTTGTTAGCTAGTAAGAGTAATAAATAAAGTATGAAACGTCGATTTTCTTAACTATCGAGAGTAATAGATAGAGCATGTAACGTCTAATTATTTACTAGTTAATTCATCTGAATTAGGTAGACCCTACTAATTAATAGAATAACTTTCCCCCTTTTTTTTTAAGGCTCTCCATCTTCAAAGTTCAAACTTCAAAGTCCTCTCCCCTCACCTTTCACCGAAAAGTTGACACCAATACACAATGCAAAAATATGCATATTCTTGACTTTTTCCCTTTTCTTTTGGGAGGGAGATTAAGAACCAAAACCAATCGAATACATAATTACACTCATTAAAGCGCCACACAATTCAAACCCCTTTTTGATCTTTGTGTGTGTGTGTGCATGAGTACCCTTCATTCAAGTGCCTTTCTGCTCGCTCTTTTATACATATTCCTTCAACAAAAAAGGTTCCAATCTCTTGGTTACTGTGTGTCTGTGTGTTTTTCTGTGTTTACTAAAAACAGAGACATGCCAGCCAAACAAATCTAGCTACTCTGCAAAAGAAGAGCATCATTACCAGAACCATTACTCATTGAGATATTTGAAGCAGAATTTGCCATTTTGGGTGGAATTGGGAGATGGGAGTTGTTACTGTGGGTGAGCTGAAGCCCAGCATTTCAGGAAAACGAACGTTTCGACCCAGTTCAAGCGCAAGACATGTTGCAGAATGGTAAACTTTTTTATCCTCTTTTGCATATTTTGATCAAATTTGAAGTGCCCAGATTTCAAAGTACAGCAGATTTTGCATTTCTCTTCTTCTTTTGCCTGAATTCACCAACTACAATGGTAATTCTCGCAGTTGATAAATGCAGCAACACTGTTTATTACATTTTGGGATTACCAAGTTTTTATTCTAATTGTCAACAGAAATCAAGGGTATCAGTTGATGATTGAGTAATCTTCACATAAGTCTAAAAAGAGGCATTTTGTCGAAGGGATTTCGTGTCATTTTGATATGGAACCAGATTTTATGGTAGTCTTGTCTTGAGTACTTTTCTTGTCATGAACAGTGGCATATTTCTAATGGCAAATATGGGTAGATCTTTTTTCTGGTAGCTTTCAAAAAATGTCTCACCCTAAATCATTGAGTTCTGAAGAACCAATTACCTTAATCACCATAAGGACTGGGTAATGTCAGATGTCCTCATAGTTCCGGTTTCTGCTGTTGATTTGAAAACCTTTTTTTGTCTTCCCTTTTCAAATGGGGCCTTCTGTCTGGGCATGCGTCGGTAACAATCAGTATCAAAGATGATGACAAATTTATTATTGAGGTTTAAGAAGTTTCTTGATTTAGGCCTTAAATTCATGCAATTTGTAAATTCTGAACTAATCTTTTTTTTTTCAGGCCTATTTCCGATGTGTCGAGTGATCTTACAATTGAGGTTGGTGGCAAATGTTTCTCACTTCACAAGGTTAGAAGATCAAACCAGTTCACTTCTTTACTGTTCATTCAAAGGCTACTTTTGAAGCTCTCCACAACAAATTTAAGCTAAAGATTTTTTCTTTGGTTTGCAGTTCCCTCTAGTTTCTCGAAGTGGAAGAATCCGGAAATTGTTGCTAGAAGCTAAAGATTCAAAAGTTACAAGGCTGAATTTCCATGGTGTTCCTGGTGGATCAGAAGCATTTGAACTAGCTGCAAAGTTCTGCTATGGAGTACTGAACACCGAAATCACACAATCAAATGTCGCCGTTTTAAGATGCGTGGCACATTACCTGGAAATGACCGAAGAAATTTCAGAGAAGAACTTGGTGGCAAGAACTGAAACATACCTGAAGGATACAGTATTCCAGAACACTTCGGTTTCGATTTCTGTTCTTCATCACTGTGAGAACCTCCTGCCTATATCAGAAGAAGTTAACCTGGTTAACAGGCTGATTAATGCAATTGCAAATAATGCTTGTAAAGAGCAACTGACTTCTGGTTTATCTAAGCTGGAATATAACTATCCTTCAAAAGTTGTTCCCAAAATGGAGGCTGAAACTCCTACAGATTGGTGGGGACAGTCGCTGGCAATTCTGAATCTTGATTTCTTCCAAAGGGTTCTTTCTGCAGTCAAGACAAAAGGCCTGAAACAGGACATAATCAGCAGGATTCTGATCAATTACGCTCAGAATTCCCTCCAGGGATTAGTTGTCAGGGACCCTCAAATCATGAAAGGAAGCTCCCTGGATTCAGAACTGCAGAAGAAACAACGGGTCACGGTCGAAACAATCGTGAGCCTACTCCCAACTCAATCCAGGAAAAGTGCTGTACCAATGGCCTTCCTGTCCAGCTTGCTGAAATCATCCATCTCTGCATCGGCATCCACGGCTTGTAGATCCGACCTGGAGAGGCGAATCGGGTTGCAGCTGGATCAGGCTATCCTGGAGGACATCCTGATCCCGGTGAACTCCAATGGATTGTATGACACCGATTCAATCATGAGGATCTTCTCATTTTTCTTGAACCTGGATGAAGATGATGAAGATGATAACAACCAAATGAGGGATGAGAGTGAAATGGTTTACGATTTCGACAGCCCTGGATCACCCAAACAAAGCTCCATATTCAAAGTCTCAAAACTTTTAGACAATTATCTGGCAGAAGTTGCCATGGATTCAAATCTGACACCTTCCAAATTCATAGCAATGGCAGAATTACTTCCAGATCATGCTCGATTAAACTACGATGGATTGTATCGAGCTGTTGACATATATCTCAAGGTAAGATCAAATCTCACTAATCAACAAATCTGTCCCTCACATTTCTCTTGAAGGCCCATATAACCTCAAAACCAATCGGCAGTAACACATGAGACTTATATGTCGGTCAAGTTGGGTTAGCATTTCCAATGTGTGACAAATGTCTTTCACTTATTTTCAAGTTCAAAGGGAATTTTAACGATTTTAAATCAAATTGAACAAATTTATTGAGATTTGTATGTAACTAATCGATGAAATTCGTGTTTCTCATAGGTTCATCCCAACATAAAGGATTCAGAGCGTTACAGATTATGCAAGACGATCGATTGCCAGAAAATGTCACAAGAAGCCTGCAGCCACGCCGCCCAGAACGAGCGGTTGCCGGTCCAGATGGCGGTCCAAGTACTCTACTTCGAACAAATCCGTCTCCGGAACGCGATGAACGGCGGCCACAATCAGATGTTCTTCGGCTCGATGAACGGGAGCCAGTTCCCGCACAGATCCGGCAGCGGCGCCGGAAGCGGGTGCATATCGCCGAGGGACAATTACGCGTCGGTGAGGCGGGAGAACCGGGAATTGAAGCTGGAAGTGGCCAGGATGAGGATGAGGCTGACGGATTTGGAGAAAGATCACGTTTCGATGAAGCAGGAGCTGGTGAAAACTCATCCGGCGAACAAATTGTTCAAATCTTTCACGAAAAAGTTGAGCAAGTTGAATAATGCATTGTTCCGGTTCATTGATGTAAAACCCTTCGTCGGAGGCGGCAAAACTCAATCGGAAAGTAGGTTTCCGTTTCCGAAACGAAGGCGCCATTCTGTTTCTTGATCTTTTTATTTTTGAAATCCATTTAACGGAAGCGTGATTTTTCGTATTGCTTGTATATATACTTTCTTTTCACAAAAAAAAAAAAAAAAAAACAAAAGGAAGAAAAGAAATAGAGCTGTGGTATTTGTGTGTAATTGATTGATTAGTTGATTACTCAATTCTACGAGCCAAATTGACGACTTCTCCTCTTTTTTCCCCCTCAAATGAGACTATGCTCTATAGCATTACTCACTAACTAAACACTTGCTTTAGCTTCCTTTTGGACTTCACAAGAAGCCACCCGCTAAATAGCAAAACTAGACAGTGGTGGTTCCGAGTGTAAATTCCGGGACACATTCCGATAGTCATATTAGCATTCCGGCAACTATAAACATCTCTAACCGGATGTTAGTATTTTTTTTTTCATTGGGGCTTTTCTTTTAATTGTACAGTCATATATAGATAAGATATGGATAGTTCGGATGACACTCGTATCTCAAGACGTGTCTCGCCCTAAATTTGATACATCAGACGATGCTAACAAACTGTACAATAGTTATGTATGTCCTAATGGAAAAAAATACACAAATCATTAACTAAGTTCTAATACTATCTCTATCTCTTTTAGTATAAATCTCAAAATTCGATATGACTTAATTTATTGAAAAAAAATTATTGTCCTCCTAATATGAAAAAAACAAATGCTACTAATAAAAACAGTAAAATTACATAACCCCGTGTTGAAGCCCAAGAGGATATGGGTTTGCTGGACCGCATTTCGACACTGGGAAATAAAGCCCATACAGGCATATACAGCGCGGAAGTCGGTACTCTAAATTGCTTGGGTTTTGGCGTGGCCACGAAGCCGATCGATCCATATCCAATTGCTTCGTTCTTCTCGAATCAGAACCGCCCGCCATATATTCCGGCGTACATCAACATCGTCGTCGTCTTCGGAAAGCTGTAATCTATTTCTCAGACTCATCAGTGCTGCCTGGCTTTTTCGAAGGACAGTATCAAAGGATGACGTTCTCATTGGCGAGGCTTGCAAAATCTATGCCCTTCTCCCGGCTTTTCAGGTAGCTTCCCACCGCTTTACTTCACACGAATTATTTGTACCAAGAATAGTTTTATATTAAATTAACTGTTCAATTCAAGAGGCAAACCGTAAATTCGACTTGAATTAGTATTTAAGGAATGGGTATTCGCAAGAACGGTATTGCAAGGTCGGTCCTTTCTGATATAGGCAATGGAAATATGGAACTGGTTTAGTCATCTGGTAAAATTCTAGCTGATGAATGTAATCAGTGTCTGTAGAGTACAGAATGACAATGTTTTTTATTGCTTTGTAATCACCACGCTAGTGATGGAACTTTGCTTAGTATAGTTCATATTTGAATGAAATCATTCAAGAATTATTGTTAAAAGTTAAAACCAATTATGAATGACTTGGAAGCAAAATGTAAGATGTAAATGAAAATTGTACAGTAGAGGATATAATTATTCTGTTCAACCAGTTTTTAGCTTATGTTGTAATTAGGAAATTTTGATTTGGGTAAAATCTGTTTGGTTGAGTATGGCTCCTATAAGGACAAAATGAGAACTATCTAGATTGTACCCGCTTTTTTGTGACCAGTGCAACTAAACGATGGATGGATTTACGGTTCTTGGATAGTCTCTATTGTGTTTTACTTTTAAGCACTATGTGGAGAAGTTCTTATTCAAATATGTTTTATCTTCTAACTGTAGGCAACTGGAAAATGATGTGGAAACTGTGGTTAAAGTTCTGCAACCAGGACCTGTGGGGATAGTAGAACACAAGTTTTCTGCAGAGGAGATACACAAGGCAAATGCTACAGTGAAGATAGCCGTTAAAAATTGGCGAAGGCATGCCCGGCTGGAGCAGGATACTCCGTTCATGAAAGATTTTATAGATAAATAGTTCCCAGTCACGATACTATTCAAGCTTTCTACAAAAAAAACAAATGCTCCATTTTAACATGAGTAAACGTACATTCTTGTATAAGCTGTAAGGCGCTCTTCTGCTAGTCCATCTCTACTCTTCCATTTCTTTTTCATCTTGCTTCTATTTTGTGTTGATTCAATGTTGAATTTCATTTTGAAATGGGAATATATGGATGCATATGTTTCTTGATTTCTACAGTCCCTGGCTTTAGCTCAAACATATGGAGTCTCTGACTTACTGTATCTGGTTAGTAGCCATGTCATTAGCAAGATATATAGTTTCCGGCGTCTTCTTAGTGTTTGTGTGGTTAACGCAAGGGCTTGTGCACTCTTGTGTGTTTGGTTTCATACTTTGAGTTGTAGGTTCGAAAGTGAAACTCATGGCTCAGTAATGGATTTGCTTCTTGCATTATTGTCATTTCGCACTTAACTATGTCTCTAAGAAACAGAGCTTTACTTGTATATAGTAAGACAATCTCTTACTTTAATCTAGTATTATATTTTCAGTTGCTCATTCTTGAAACTACTTTAAGGTTTAACTTTCTGTATGAATTTAGTGACTATGACTGGGAAAGATCTTCATGGTAGTTTTAATTTATACAATGCAGCAGTATATGCTTGTGTCTAAAAGTGGCTTTCTAGTACTCCTTAAAGAATATTGCATATATGATGCAACAAACTGATACCAGAATGGCGAATATATCAAAGGTGAGAGCTGTCTTTGCCTGATCGCTCAGCTCCAAATTTTTGCCCCCAAGACGATCTACCATGTCGGGGACAGGCTCCCAATTTGCAACGTCTTGCATGCGTGGATCTTCTAGCTTCTTTCTCAACTTGATAGCTTCACGGCTTGCTGCCTCTTGGGCTAGTGTCCAATCATAAAACCTTCGCTTCTCGTCATTGCTTAAAACCTCATAGATTTCTTTAAGTTTCATAAATTTTTCAGATGCTGCTTTTATTGGAAGTGTTGTCGTGTCTGGATGGTATTCCTTTGATAGTCTTCGGTAAGCAGCTTTAATCTCTTCCATATCTGCTTCAGCAGATACGCCTAAGAATCTGTTTCAGAAACAGGCAGTATTTCAGTCTGCTTCAATTCTATTCACTCTATAACATATGCCTTCAATTCACTGGAATAGGATGAGGGATATACACAACACTAGAGTTATGTTTGCTCTTTTCTTGTCTCTGAACTAAATTTTCCTGCTAGCCGTTAGTCTTTCAGAGTATTCATGAGAAAATGGAAAATTCCAAGTTACCAATGATGGAATGTCTGTAGAGACAGAGACATAAGTGGGAGATAAAAGGCCAAAAACTGGATGATGAATATTAACCACTGAATGCAGAAAGCCATTACAGCCATTGAATTACTTACTGGTAATGAGAATCAGATGAACTGTTGAGCAAGTCTGCAAATTTTTTACTCTGCTCGGCTTTAAGCTGCTCTTCGACGGGTGTTGAATTGGTACTTCCTCCTACCCACCCCTCATCCTCGTTCTCCCAGTGAATTCTGGTGTCGACTCCCGGTGGTGCCCTCTGTCCTGACCGCGGGCCTCCGGCTGCGGTTGCTGCCACATTATTTCTCCGGCGCAAACGGTGGTTTGTACCCGGAATCGGTTTCCTCACTAACCAGTTCCTACTTAGATGACTACTGCTTTGGCTCTGGTCTTTTAATACTGGTGAAAATGGAAGTGGTGGAGCTGTTGGCGAAGCCATGGAAGCTGAAATCTTGCTGCCTAATGGTATTAGAACATCCACAGTAAATGCGGTTCCAAACTTCCTGGCCTCACCTCCACAAAAAATTTGGTACTTGTGGCTTGGGATTATTTTGAATGTCGATTGGCATTATTAAAATAATAATAATCATTTTTTTTTTAAAAAAAAAAAAAACATGGCCTGAAGTTGAGTTGTGTTCAGACAACTATCTTCAAGAAAGACAATTTGGGGTAGTCAACATCATGGTCATACTAGATTATCTTGTTATTATTTAATTCCACAGGATGAACCGTTAATAGTTAAAATGGGCATATACTACATTCAGATTTCAGACTTACGTGAACTTGAAATTTGTTAGTTTCTTTAACTAAATCTTGAGATTGTTCATTACTCCCAAACTTGAAAAACTTTACTTTGGCTCACAAGGTAAACAAAGAAGCATATAGTAAATATAAGTTGTAGGTTGTAAGTATCAAACTGATAAATACATTTATATATATTGATGATTAAATAGAACTGATGAAATTAGTGGAACATTTTGAAAGCTGTTTCAAAAAGGCTTCCAAAAAACCACTTGAGTCAACTGCCTATTTTTACCTTCATAATTCCTGCTAAACACTTTCAGGAACAAAAAAAAAAAAACACAAAAAAAAGCAAAAATACATCATTTTTTGTAGTAATAAACTAGTAATTATTAGACTTGTGTTTTAATTAAGCCTTGTCATACCCAAATAGCTCTAGCCTGCTTGAGCAATGGGACAAGCTTCCCCTTAACATGAAGACTCATGACTTCATTTGCTCCCCCAACTAGTTCTTCCCCGATGTAAACCACAGGCAATCCTGATCTTGCACCGGCAGCCACCAATGCCCTCTCGAGCTGGTGCCCGTTTGGAAGCTCGTCGAGTTCATACACAGTAGGGTTTGCGCCGAAACTCGAAATCAGTGTCTTGATGGTGTGGCTCATGCAGCAGGATGATTTGCTGAAGATCACAACTGGCTTGTCAGCTGTCAATCTGGTAATGGCCTCCATTAGGATTAATATATAAAACAGTCGCGAAAATAACCGAAATGGAAAGAAGAGAGTTGATGGCTGTTTAGTGATGAACACTAAAGTAAGTAAGCAGGAAATGAGGCTGCTGATGATCTGCTGTTGTTTTGGTGGTTGATGTGAAGAGAAGGCTCGGGTGCATTGTTATTTATAGAAGCATTTTTAGGGGGTACGGAAAGTTGGTTTTTCTTTGGCCCTTAGTTTCAGTATGGTAGAGAATTGCCTCAAAAAAGGAAAATGTTCGAGAGATATTTCTTTTAGATTCTGATTTAGCTCGATCGTTTTCTCCTTTTCTGTTGAGATAAAAATTTTCCAGCTCATTCCATCAAAGGACTGTTTTCGTACAAAGGAATGAAGATCAGGATTCTCACCAGCAACTTGATGTGCCTCTCCCATGGCCATAAAGTAGTGTTTGTAGTAGCTTTGTGTTGTGAGTGTCACTCATTCTTGTAGGAACCTTATTATCTTCTATTTTAAGTTTGCACACACACACAAAAAAAAAAAAAAAGAGAGAGAGGGGGAAAAACCTTAAAATGTGAAAGATATGTTTTACTCTTTTTATCATGGCATAGTGTCTAGGTTAATTTGTTGGTTCGACTTCTAAGTGATAGTACATTTTAGCCATCATACGTTTGATATTCATCAAAACAAAAGTGTTACCTTGGTGTTGAAACTCAAAATTGATGACAGTGGCATTGTGATCATAGTCACTCATTTTGGTAAGAACGTTGGTTTAGCAATCGAGGCCTACACAAGAACCTTAAATTCCGAAAAAAAAAAAATGTTTAGTTAATTAGGTCGAAACCTGAGTGTTAAACTTTAGATATCATCATATATTCAAAAAACAATTTTTAAAAAATAGACTGTTGAATGGATGTACCAAAACTCATTTTGTTTGTCTGTATGTATAATTCGGCTCACTTTTTTGTCACATTTTACTAATAATTTTGCATCTATACTTCCATGTTTACTATGTAATTTCTCATTGGAATTCGGAGCTAGCATGATCATCTAAGTGGTCAAAATTTGGGTCTAGAGTAGAAGAGAGCACCGAAAGAGCACACCGTGAGTTGGAAAGCTGAAGATTTATGGTGGAAAGATTAGGATTAATTAGGACCAATGTTGTTGGGGTGGCTTTTAAAAAAAATTAAATTTTTTTTTACTAAGTTTGGGAAAGGTTTTACTGATAATCGTCATTAGTGGAAATAGAAGTAGATGCTCGAGATGCGGCGAAGCCATTCCCACACACCAAACCTTATGATTCTACCACTAATTAGAGTAATTAAGATGATAGCTTTTGCATTATTGATTCTCCATCACTAGTGAATCTGATCGGAAATTCATTCCACTCCGAGAAAATAATTTAATGACTAACATAACGTACTATAATAAAATGTAAAATGATAAAAAAAAACATAAACAATGCTAGTTGAATAATTTCACTATTTCTGTCATTACTCTTTGTGTTGTCGATAAAATGCTTCAACTAGTTTAAAGTTTAAATGTGACTGTTAATAGAGACACCCTTACATAATTTTTTTATTTTTTTTTTTTGCCTCAGTGCTGCTTAATTTTTTTTATCGCTTTAATGTATCACAATTTGTTTTTAATAATGCGAATGAAGCATTTAGGGTAAGGTTTCATATCCCCCACTTAATTAGGGTATCAAAGTAATGTCGGCTAATAATCAAGATGATTAGCCTCGTGTTTTGGTGTCGGTGACAAGTGCCCAATGGTCCAAAAAATCTCAACTATTTTCGCTAATCCTGAGAATTAGATCCTTAACTTTTTAAGGAAGTTATCTTAATACTTTAGCACGTGGAAGAATACTTAAGCCGCCAATAATTAAGTTTTAGTATGCCAAAATGATCGTCAAAAGAAACCAATCCATAATGTAAAAAATTGTTCGTTTAATAAATTGATCGATTAAGCTCATCACTTTTTTCTTTTAGTTTTGCCTATAACTTATTCCATAATGATTGATGATTATTTCAATGGCTCAGATTTCTTTCGACTCTGGTATATGAAGATATATAATTAACCATATTCATAATAATTGCGTTAAAATATTAATTAAGTGGTTGTTAAGTCAAATGCTCCACTAAATGGCAACTTTTAAATTTTTGATGATCCTAGACAAGAAGGTAGGAATATTCTTTTTTCACGCAAAAAATCAAAGGTCAAAATCTTTTTCTGCATTATTATGATTAATCAATTTAAGAGGGTTTTTTTTTTCTTGGAAAGAATCACCATTACCGTCATGCAATAGATTACTAGCCATATGGAAGAATTAAGTCATCCTACGTATAAAAGAGTTGAGTAATTCTGGATAAAACTATATGCGACAGAGATCGATAGATTAAAACAAGATTATGGACCCAAATGATCGTTAAAATGTAAAACCTAAATTAATGATCTTACAAGGCCGACCACAACAATCACTTTACAAGGTAACCTCTATATACTTTTGGGCAATTTTAGCTAGGAGCTGACACTTGTATCTGGCCGGGATTCGATACAACCTTAAATCTTAATGTGAATTTCAACCCTTTTTCCGTGTCTGAAGATAAGTGATACTAAAGAGCACATGCATCAAAGTTTAACTGGGGAAAAAAAAAAGATGAAAACAAGAATAGGAGAATATATTTCTTTTAGGGTACGTTTTTCAGGTGCGATTATCGCCACGTATTTTCCAGAGATACCTAGAGGCGTCTGGTTTAGTACAATTTGGCCTTTGGTCTGCCAGTAGTTTTGCATAAAACTTCTCCGGCTCAAGAAAATGACCAAGGGACATAATTTATTTTGGAGTTGTAATTCCAACCATCACTATGTGGAAGCTTTTTTCAACATCTTCAATAAATATTCCCAGTTTGTTGAAAAAAATTATCATTCGGAGGATATTTACGATTACGAAACCAAACTATCCCTTACCTTCTTAAAACTATGGAAGGATTGCATGAAATTATTTAAATTTCGGACCATTAGGTCTTTTCTTTTTTTATCTATATATTCAAATTATTTACCGCTGACAACACTGATTAATTTCTTTTGTTGACCGAGAGATTTAAAAATTTATAGCATTTTGACTTTACTCATAGAAAGTTGCTCTCAATAATGAATTTGAAACCCTAAATTATATATACATATAGACACGTGATCTATTTCATCATTAAGCAAGTGTACCTAATGATAAGGACTAAATTTAGTATATAACATATTTTACAAATGTCACAGGACTAAAATTGTTGATATAGCTAAGTTGTTTGGTAATAGCTTCATTTTGGCGGCTACCTCAAAAGCCAAAGCTTGAGAGAATAAACTGAGATATCCAAAACGAGAAAAGAAAGTGCTTTATTCTGATTGATATTCCGATTTCGCAGTGGTCGTTTAACTGTATAGCGTAATTGGTGAGTAATTGAAACAAAGATACGCACGCCGGAAAACAGTTGTGCAATTTGCATGTGATCAGCAATGTGAAATGGATATATTGAAAACAAAAGGAAAGAAGACGAGGTCGAGTCGTGGCATATTAATTTTGCATGCCCACGATACATAACCAAACAGAATAAAGAATCTTCTTTTGGTTGCAATTATTGTTGCCTTTTCCGATCTTTTTATCCCATGCATAAACCAACTTGCATTTGCAGTTCCCTTGTCTCTATAGAGCCACGACGGTTTAATCCCCTCTCAATTACCACTCGATTCTAGTTGGGATCGACAATGCCACTTTGTCATGTTGTGTATTGTAAGAAAAATGAGATCTAGAATAAACTTTGGTGTGATTTCTCTCAAATTATATATGGTCACGAGGGAGAGAATCGATCAGATTGTTTGGGAGACTTAAGCCTCAAGTGATGATTGTTCTTTTAATGAGAATGTCTAAAAAGCAATCCTTGGACCCTGATGGCCACTGAAATAAATAAGCTCAGTGGTTGGTTGAGGAAAATCTTGGGCGTGAAGAAGTCGAAGTCTGTCAGGAATTTGGAACAATGTGCGCTGCGCTTTAGATCATAAAACCTAGTGTCAAGCTCGTGGTTATCATCTTGCGCAAGTGCTTGAATTGAGTGAAACACACTTTGATGCTCAATTGTTATATATGGACGTGAAAGATATGCTTACTTTGAGACTTGAGATGCAAGTATCTTAGCTAAGCGATATAGAAAAGTTATAGTAACCTATTTTTTGACACGTAAAGAGTATTATTTTAATATTTAATAAAAGAGAATACAAATTTAGATTATATTAGACTTACCAAAATATTTAATTATTGTAAGGCTGATCACGTTCTTATTATGTTAAAGAGATATGTAAAATTTCTATTGAGACATAACTTTCCTTCGACCTAGGATACAATCAATCGTTAGTCTTGTCAGTTATTAGTTCTTATTAGGTCCTCGCGATGTGATGAAATTGTTGCACTTATTAGAGTTATCACACTCAAGATATGTAATGCATTTGTATGCTTTAGATTAGACGTAAGCCCCTCCTTTCACTCCACATTCTTTCGTTGGCAAGAAACCATTTAGATATAATTTTCCTTTTCCTTTTTTTGGTACAAGAAATAATTTTTCTTCCTCTTTTCATTGATATGTATAAGACTATAAAATGTAGTCACAAGAAACCCTTATGCACATCCTTAATCGCCTATTTCTATACATCAATTATAATCAAATGTACGTGGACAAAATAATTACCAAGTCCGGATACTAACAGTACAGCTACTTGTTAGTAATGGCAGGTCTAGTTAGTGTTTTAAGATTAGCGTGATAAGAGAGTCTTGTTCGGTTTATACAAGTTGTTTATAATTACATTTTAAAATACGATTGACTTTTCTAAGAAAAAAAAAAGCCCATAACTTATGCGAAGAGTCTGTCCGCAATAAATGTTTCAATTTGTCATTATTGTTTAGATATTTGTCAAATTATTTTGAATGAGAAGAGTTGAGTTTATGGTACAACATTTGCAATTTTGGTTACAAAATAGTGATGTGATGTTACTTCTACTATTTTTCGCCCAACAAATGGGCCGGCAGGACATGTAGCTGGGTCAAAGACACATTTCTAGAGGCCCAATACCAGTGTTTTCCTATTTCGCTTATTAATACTTTGTCAATGGGTATATCATCATAATGCAGATGTGCAGATGTAACAGGTCAAAAATATCGACCTAGCTAGCTAGTGCCAAGATCATCTGCAAATTCTGTTGCTTGTTTTCTGGGAAAACAACCCAAACCCCTTCATTTCTTTTTCCAAAAGAATTCCTTCTTTTGACTACATTTTCCATGTATCCAATAATATCCAAAAGAAACATATTTGAAGTTTAATTTGTAGTTTTGTACATACATATACAAACAAGTGTATATGTAAATGTGTCAAGTGTTCATTTGAACCCATACCCTTCATAGATCAATTAATGCTCAAGAATCATAACTTACGTGGCTATTTTGGAAGGTTTTTGTGTGTGTGTGTGTGTTTTTGTTAAGGGTGGTAGTGGGTAGTAGGGTAACAAAGAATATAAGGAAAGGAGAACAAAGGGATTTATGGATCGACAGGATCCTAATTATCCTATCAGCTTGTGTGGTATTGGTTGGATTTACACGTTGAGCTGACATCCAAAAATATGCCTAGAAAATTCCACGAATTTCAAACCTTTATTCACTTCTAATAACTATAACACCTTATTATTCAGAGATTCCATTACCTCGTCATCTCCCATGCATGCACGACAAGCATTTGTGCCCTCCTCCACCTCTTTGGCTCTTTCTTCTTCAGGATGCCCTTTTTTTCACCTTCTCAATTATATTACATTGTTCTGCAACTACAAACAACTTCAATCATGTGATTTGATGACACAGTAACTTGTACTTGTAGAATTAGGTACGCTTGATCAATTTGGTTTGGTGGGTTTTTTTTTTTTTTTTTAATTTTTAGACTTAGTTCATTTTGAAGAAATTTGTAGCATGCTCTTCTGCAACTACAAGACTCTGCAAGTAGGTCTTTTTTGTGAAAACTGGCTCTTGGATTTGATTGCCTTCTATTTGATTCGTTTATTCTCCTGCAAAATTATTTATGCCCTGACTTTGACACAAATGGGGACCATTTTAATGCCGAAAAGTCGGAAGAATTGGATAAACTCTGAATTCTTTCCACCTCAGCTGAGGAACCTTTGCTACAGAAACTACACCAAAGAAAGAAAGAAAGAAAGAAGATGCACAGAGAGAAAATGGCAGAAGAAGAAGAAGAAGAAGAAGAAGATGCCTTAACCAACATTACCTACTCAAACCAAAGGAAAAAGAAGAAAAAAAAAAAAAAAGCCCTGATTCTTCTTTCTTGATCACTTATTTTCAAAACCTATTGAATTTGGATTTTGGTCAGAATTAGGAAGAGATCATCAGTTGTATATTTCACAGGGGGGGGTTGACATTTTGCATAACCCACAATATTAAATATTATTCCTTCTGATGTATCTAGACCCTTTTTCTCTGCCGGCCTAGATTTCACAATCAGACCAAGATTTGCACTAACTAATACACTACTATATTGCAATGAGAATCTATCATGAAATCAAAAATACTATTACTTTGCCAACTCTTTTGATCAGTGTAGAATTATATATGATAATTAAAGAGCTTAATCAGATTGAGAAGCATTTTAATCATTGTTGTACGGACACACATTTGAGGATATTTGGGATTATTATATCATTAACTAGATAGGTGTCAACTTGTGTGTAAGATCATCACCAAAGGGTCAGATTCAGAGATCAGAATCAAGCAACAAATCATAACTCTTCAAGGGGGCTTTTTTTTTTTCTCTTATCCAAACCAAAATATGAAATATCTTAAGGAACTTTCCATCTCCCTTTTGTTTTCTCTTATTTTTCTATTATTTCATTTTATTTTATTTTTTTGGTTTTCCAGCCTCACCCCTTTTGAGTATGGATATTGGATAGACTACGTAATCTGCAACTGTCAACTACCACTATAAATAAGGATGATAAGAGCTTCAACTCCTCAGAAGTAAGCCTCACATCATACACAACAAAATATCACAGCAACAATTTTTCTTCGTTTACTTATCTCCTCCAACTTCAGATAAAAGCCTTCTTTTAGTAAAAGTTTCAAACTTTGTAGTAACACATATACAGCATTAGTAGTTGTGTAATTTCTTCCTGCATTACACTCGCTTGAGCCCGTGTTTTTTCTATTTGTATACACGAAAATCAATCTGCCTTTTTATTTTTTTTTCGCTAGCCGGTAATTTAACTTGTTGAAGCTAAATGGATAAGGTAAGAGACTTGGCATCAAAGAAAGCAGCCGTGATCTTCACCAAGAGTTCATGTTGCATGTGTCACAGCATCAAGGCGCTGTTTTACGAGCTAGGCGCGAGTCCAGCTGTTCATGAGTTAGACCATGATGTTAATGGAAGAGAAATGGAGAGGGCATTGAGAAGCTTGGGATGCAATCCAAGTGTTCCTGCAGTTTTCATTGGTGGTCAATTTGTAGGATCAGCTAAAGATATTATCTCCCTTCACGTTGATGGATCCCTAAAACAAATGCTGATCGATGCCAGAGCTATTTGGTTCTAGCAAAACGTTTGTGTTGTGTCTTTTTTTTTTTCTTTTTTTTTTTTTTGGGGTCTTTATGTGTGTCTGTGTTTTTATGTCAACTTTGAAAAGAAGTGATAGTACCATGTATGGCTAAAAAAAGCTGTTAGTATTTTAGGTACTATGTTTTTAGTGTTTTTTGTTGTGTCCAGTCATGCCAAACTTTTAAAGAATTGGCTCACTGGGAAAAACAAAGGGAAGAAAAGGTCTGCTATTGTCTTTCCTTTTTGAACTAAATGTAAGTTGTATATCCAAGTTTCTCTGCTGTTCTCCATAAATGAATTCCTCCATTAGCTTTCTAACTACTCAAATGTCAAATGACACTTTAATTTGTTGAAATGCGAACTCCGACTCCCAATCCATAACCGCCTTGCCTCACCAGAAAACAAAAGAAAGTTAACCCAAAAAAAAAAAAAAAGCATAGAAGGGTCTTTACTAACTGATTTTAGAGAAATTTTCAAAAACATAATTCAGTTAATATTTGACTGACATCAAACTGAATTATGCTAGCTAAGTAGTTGGCTATAAACGATTGAAAGCTTTAGTTCAGTAAGATCTAAATGTGCTCTTTAACTAGATTTTCATCAGATCACCGTATCCTTTTGAGTTTTACATTATCAAATCTTTAATGTTGCATCACCAACAATGAGTACTTCACTCAGGCTTAGAAGTTTTCCCTGCTTCATTGATTCCTATAAAGTTATGAGCTTTGTAGAAATCTCTTGAAGGGGCTGGCCTAGAAAGGGGTGTATTATACTATTATGTAAGCTTGAGTTCATGCTGAGACAATGGCGAATATTATTTTCGCGTGATATGACCAGTGCAGTCTTGATCGGTCGATAATGGAACAGATTTCTTTTTATCTTTTATCCTCACTTGCAGTCAAATCTTCATCTGCATTCTGTAAGATAAACGGAATCAAATATATACCCATATGCCAATATTTCGTGTCAACAATCAAGAGAAGAGAAACAGCATTTTGGTTCTGTTTGAATTAATATCATGGAGCAGGTCATTAGATACTCAAATGTAATGTAAGAGGTGGGGAAATCAGTGATGATCAAAAGAGCTTAACAGATGATCATGGCTCAGAATTAGTACTGCATTTCCACTGGTGGGAAGGCAATATGCTACTTCTTAGTGGAGAGAGAATCAGAGCCACCGAAAGTTATTCACATTTTGATCTTTCTATCAACCATGGAATATCTTGAATGAGAAGATTTGAAGGGAGAATCTGAGGAAAAATAGACCACCTCTCCCTGATCAAGAATCTTCCACTTTTTCTGCTACTACATTAATCAAATAAATATTCATAGTCATTACTGCATAACATCGCACTTTTTGGCCTTTTAATCAAGTGTGATCCTTAGACCAAGCGTGATTTTTTATGTTTCCTCCTTGTAATTAGCGGAGATAACAAAAGGTATGGGATGGAACACGTGTGTCAACAAAGTGTTTTAAACCGAAAATGAAGTCTTAACCGACAACTTAAACAAGAAAAGATCAAACAGATACTGCTTCCTGCATCATCACAGCAAAAGTGACAGGGAGGTGATGATATATCACGTTCAAATATGCCAATTGAACCAACTTGTTCGGTGTATATCGAACAATATCATTAGTATCTGCTGTTGAAAGTAACTTTTACTGATGATCAAGTTTTCGGCATCTTGGTAAAGACCACCATCTTTTGAATGGTTAGACTTTTTTTGAGCAAGAGAGAGATCAGGAGAAAGAATACTCCACTATGATCAGTAGTAGTAGTATCAGTATCAGCTGTGTTTATGTATAAATAGAGTGGCAATCACAACTCCAAAATCCAAGCAAAAACAAACAAACCAACTATCCATCTCCTGAAAGGAAAAAACACACATTCAAAACATTGAAATCATTAGTACTTCCTAGTTCAAACCCTTTGCAATCATCCTCCTCCAATTTGATATTAGGCCTCCCATTTCAGGTCAAATATCAACTTGGGTTGGAGAACAATTTTCCAAATTCAAATCAGCTGGTGAAAAATGGACAAGATACAGAGGCTGACATCAGAGCATGGACTAGCTATATTCAGCAAAAGCACATGTTGCTTGTGCTATGCAGTGAACATCCTGTTTCACGAGCTCGGGGCGGCTACCTATGTGCATGAGATTGATCATGATCCAGAAGGGAAAGAAATAGAAAAAGCCCTGATGCGAATGGGATGCAACCCTCCAATTCCTGCAGTTTTCATCAATGGAAAGCTGGTTGGATCCACCAATGAAGTCATGTCTCTTCACCTCAGTGGCTCACTCCTTCCTCTTCTCAAGCCATATCAGACTATGCACTAAGATTTAATATGAATCAAATTAATTAAATAATCATCTGTATTTAATTAATTTGCTCAAGGAAATCAAATAGCTAGAAGAAGAATAAAAGTTTGGTAGCTCTGAGTCTGGTTGTCTGTGTAGTGAGTGAGCTATTACTATTGTGTCCATTTAGTCAAGTGTATTACAATCTTTTAGTGATTTTGATTCCATTAGCACGTAAGCATGTAGCTTAGGCATGCAGGTTATTGTTACTACTATTAGTTACTCAAGAAAAAGTCGTGCTTGTTTATCTAGTCAATTAAGCGCTAATCAACAAGATTATGTATTCTATTTGCTTTCCTTATAAAATGAAGTTAGTGTATATTATTCAACTCTCTTGATCCGCTATGGATCGCATGTGTCACTTTTCGTATAACATTCTTGATAGTTTAACACGTATTTTTTGTTTTACAGTGATCGAGAAATCCTTATAAATTTATGACGCTACGAATGTCAAAGAACAAAAAAGTGTTGCACAAAAAGATATATACAGACTCATACTTTGATTAAGAGAGTTTGAGCTTTTATACATAATGACGGCCTAAAGAACAACATTCAAATTCTTTTCCACATGGTGGTTAGATTATCGTTGAAGATACGCTTTAGCTACGGCTGTACGTGGTACGGTGTACATACTTTTTTCCGTTTTCAAAACCATACGATCGGAATATAGGTATAAATGACAGACCAAGTTGATCTTGATTCCAATCAAGAAAAAGGAGAAAAATCAAGGTGCCCACATGATGGTATTGTGGTATTAATGAACAAGTTTGAATCAACATCAGAAACAGCTGTATGAACAATGGAATCTTTAAAACAAATTTAGTTATAATTCACTGGTGTAGAGAATGCATACAGTAGGTTTCTTGCAAATGGTTTGACTGATTCTGATTCGCTTGTCAGTATTCCTGCGGCATTGCTCCATTTGCAATAAAGTTCCCAAAAGCCAAATATTCCCTCCACTTCTTTGAGTAATTCGTAGATGCCAAAACCAGGGGCGCTCAGTTGGGGGCCTTGGGGTTGATAAAAACAGGGACACAACTCATAAAGAAGAATGAGAAATCAGGATCTTTGGTGTTTAGAGAGATAAGATGTAGATCCGACCTTTTGAAAGGGGAAGCGGAAGAAGGGGTCGGCGGTAGGTTGTGGAAGGCGGACAAGAGGAGCAGGGAGAGGCTGCGGTCCATGTTCTTGAAGGAACCTTATGATGGAACTGATGCTGTTAGATGGGTACCAAATGGAGTAAAAAACACGCTGCTAACATCAGCAACTGAATCAGATTCAATTTTGTGTTTTTTGAACCGTGCAAAGGCGGCTGCAAATACAGGCTCTTAACAGGTCAATTCACCTTCTCAATCTCCAGAGAAAGCATATATGCATATCACAAAAGGTTTGTCAATTCTAAGAAACCAATCATTTCCAGACGAGAATCTGTAGCCCACGGGATAGAATTGAATTCTGTCTAGTATTTCATACTGTAATAAGAGGGCATTACCTCGATTCATTATATGGTAGAAATCAACAAATTTACACCGTAAAGTTTAGGATCAATGAACAGAGCAAGGATTAGCCCACTCTGAGATACTAGTTTAGTCTCAGTAGATTTTGTAGGAAAATTGAAATATAGAAAGCAAAACAGCAATTTATCCAATATCATTAAGAAACAGTGCACAAATTCAACTAAATCTGAGGTAAAGATCCTTCCCAAGTCATTACATCAACAATTACCAGCATAAGCAATTACAGCGATATTAAAGTACTTTTAGCAAACAGTTGAACTGCAGAAACGAAGAACAATCTGTAAAACGGTAAATAGAAAGGACTATATCATACTAATATCATACTAACACCAATGCTAAAAGTAAATCCTACTAATAGCCTGATCCCTAAAACTTCAAACCCTAAACCAAAATAATTTCACCAAATTCAGACTTAAAATCCCCAAATCTAAGAACTGGTAAACTTAGTCACAGCCTTGGTGCCTTCAGAAACAGCGTGCTTAGCCAATTCACCTGGAAGAACAAGCCTCACAGCGGTCTGGATCTCCCTGGAAGTAATGGTGGGCTTCTTGTTGTACCTGGCAAGCTTGGACGACTCCTGGGCAAGCTTCTCGAAGATGTCGTTGATGAAGCTGTTCATGATGCCCATAGCCTTGCTGGAGATCCCAATGTCTGGGTGAACCTGCTTCAGCACCTTGAAGATGTAGATCTTGTAGGTCTCCGTGCTCTTCTTCACCCTCTTCTTCTTCTTGTCGCCGGAAGCAGCACCGGCGTCCTTGGGGAGCTTCTTCCCGGCTTTGGGCTTCTTCTCGGCTGGACCTTTCTCAGCAGCGGCGGTCTTCTTCTCCTCTGCTGGCTTCTTCTCAGCGGGCTTCTTCTCTGCAGCTTTGGGCGCCATTAGAAATTTCAGAAAACTTGAGAATTAGAGAGATTTGAAAAATGAGATTGAGAATTCAGAGGATGAGAATTGATGTGAAATTTTGGAACAAAGAAGTGTTGCTTATATAGAGGAGATAAGAAGTTTGTGATTGGTTGATCCGGAGGTATGCGGATTTATGACCTGGAGTAGTGTTGAACATTGGATTGAAACAGTTGATAAAAGGTCAAAAAAGAACGGTCGAGATTGATTTCTTCTAATTTTTTGTGGTGCCGCCTATTTTTCAAGTTTTGGGCCCTTTTCCATTTTTTGAATTTCGTGGCGGTATTTGAGTTTTTGGCGGTTTATAGTGTAACAATTTTGATAAACCGCCACTGAAATTCACTAAAATTTCTTTTTAGCTTTTTGAGATTTAGTAATGGAAATGAATTGAACAAGATGAAATTACGAAAATCCCCATCTTCCTTGACTGTTTAGTTGTAAGATACAAAGTTTGGATAGAATTAAGATTACAAAATATTTAAACTACATTTTATAATTATTAATTTTTTCAGTTTGGGAGGTCTAAAGATTTTCATCAATAAATTAAATTATAATAACAAATCTTGTGTTTAAATGCTTGAAAATTTATCGAATATGCTTGTACTTTGCGTAACTATTATTGTGTTCATTTCAAAATATAAGTTATCTTTATATTTTGCACATAAACTAAACATACAACTATTTAGCAATTAATTTAAATGGCAATACTCTCACTGTCCCAAAAAATAATCCGTATTAAGTTTTTTAGATTTTTACTAGTTCAAAACTCAATTTACACTATTTTCTTGGGACATAGAAAGTATCTTTTACATCCCTCTTTAATGTTTTGGACTTATAAGCAAGGCTAATTGAAAAGTAGTTTATTTCGCCAAGCTAAAATGACTTGCATTTTGAAATGAATGTAATATCTTGTTATCTAATTTTTTAAGAAATACTATGACAATTTGTATGTGCTCAAAGTTAATCAAATTGTATAAAAATCTCACCACATGCAAGAAGTTCTTCTCTATTTTTTTTTTTTTTAGTCCTATAAAAATACCACAACTTTTATTTCAAAATACTAATTGAGATCGCCGGTGCCGGGTTGCTCCGCCAAGATTCGACAAGTCCACCGATGATCTGCGCCACCCAATCCGGCTCCGATCGCCGGGGTAACTGTTGCTGGGCCGCCGCCGGGTGGGTCGAATCATTTACAGCCACATAGTTCAGCTGATAAGCTGTATCATTACCAGGCAGCCAGTGACCTAATCCTGCAAAAAAGATTAGGGGAAATTTGGGGATATCCATTGGGATCATATTGGGCAACACTAATTTGAATTTTGAAGTGAAGTTTGCCCAGATTGGATACCTGAATTGAGGATGGAAAACTGGAAACTGAAAGAAGGAAGAACTAAGAAGAAGAGGGAGAAAAGGGGAAAGTGAGAAAACAACAGTAAAAGTAAAACTGATTGGGCTCAGAAAAAAAGAACTTGACCACACACACAGTCTATAGAGATAAGATAGTTACAGAGAAGTACGAGCTGGCGTGGCGTCCACTGGAACCAATGGAGTATGTAGTAGAATATATAAACCTTAAAAACAGAGAGAAAAAAAAAAAACCATTATACTAGCTTCTATGTTGAGTTATGTCGAGCCGAAGTGTGTCGACGGAGCCAATCCCAAGAGAAATGCATACATATATATACATATATATATATATATATATTAATTATAGAGAGAGAATTGATTATTCACCGTTTGTTAGCCAAACAACGTAAAATTTTACTCACTCTTTCTCAATTACGTTTCATTAGTCAACCTTCAAAATGCAGAACCATATGCCATTAATTTCTTTTCTTCCTTTATCTCTACTACAAAAGCAAAAAGAAAAAAATGAATATCAAACACATGTATTAAAATAAACATATACTTCATCTTATTTAAACTAAAATAATAATATAAATAGTATGCAGACAAAACTTTAAATTGAACTATTTTTTTCTAGCACGGGGTATATTTTTTTCTAGCTATGTCCATATTTAGAGTCCACTCTTGTTTACCCGGCTGAACAAAATTGATGGACCAAAACATTGCTTCAAAATCAACTCTTGTTCACCATATTTAGGTAGGACATCTTATTCGATTAAATTAAGATCTCCATTGGTTGTAATTATTGAACTTCAAATTGCATGTTGCAAGTTGGTGATATATATGTTTATGCATTAATTTATTCATCTATATGTGTATAAATTTTTAAAATTTAAATAATTTTTCAACTCTCACCAACATGACAATTTAGATTTTGTACTTGGTTTAAAGTTATGTGCAAGAAAAAATTTAGGCATTCGACCCTCATCCAGCTGCACTGCACCAATGGAAGAACTGATGTTAGCAATCAACTTATAATTAAACTAGAACGACTTAACGGTGGTCTTCGTCTAGATTTATACTATCAAAAAAGATATGAATCTAGCCAGTTTTAATAAATTACTCGAGAAAAGGAGGGTTCATAAATACTCCTATAATTTATATACAAATTGAAGTTTGAGGGAGCTTAGAAACATTACTTGTGGTTTGAAGGAGGTATTTTGAAATGTTAGTTGAATAAATCGAAACTTTTTTCCAGAACAGAGAAAGAAAAAAAAAATAAAATTAAAAACAATACTAAGAAGAAAGGGAACAACAATATGTTTGAGTTGGATACAATTATGTGAATTTTAAATTAAGTTGAAGAAAGAAACTTTTTTTTTCAAAAGAAAAATGACAAATAAAACTATATGAGTATATATGAAAATTGAGTAGGAAACTGAGAAGTTATAAACACATTGATCACGGGAGGTGAGCTCAAAGAGGAATCTTTTTCGTCACCAAATTATTTCTGAAAAAAATAATTAAAGTAAGGTACAGTTAACCTTTTCTCTTTATTATTAAGGAAATATTCGATTTTTAAGTTAAAAGCTGGTGCTAATGGTCGCAAAATAAAAGTTCAACCAGGCCGACTTCAAATTGGAGGGGGAAAATGCATAAATAGATGGATTCAATGTTGGCATGCAAGTTGTACCTAAGTATTCCAATTAGGCAAAATCAAATGTATAATAAGAACTATATATATAATAATTGTACAATTTGGCCCTAATTAAATGTAACTGCACGCTAACCAATCATATTACTAGAAATTAATTATTCGGCCAAGAGACATTTATTTTAGTTTTTACAAAAGACGACTAGTTAGAATTATTAGAAGACTTAATCATCACTTGATCATTTGCTACCAAAAGCTTTGTCTCATTCTTAATTAAACTTCATCATTTGCTATACAAAGCCTCCCTGTCATTTCTTTCTCATAACCGTATTCACTCCCTTCTAAATGCTTTCAACTCTTCAAGTTTCAACACTCTAGTGTTGTTATCTCCTTTTGTCATTCTTTTTTTTTTGTTTTCAAGTTTGTCTATATACCAGGAAAAAAAAAGAAGAAGAAAAGAATTTAGTGTCAGCTCTGTTGGTCTGTTTTTTTTTTTTTTTTTTTAAATCTTTTGTCTCTACTAAAAAACATCTTTTTTTTTAACAAAAAAAAAAACATAAAAGAAAAACAAAGAAGAAACTGATTGAAATCAAGGATTCACAAACTTGCTGACAGTGTTCCTTGGAGGTATAGCCGACGACTTTAGCAGCAGGTAAGTCTTTTGTACTAGAATATTTTAATGTGTCTATAAATTCATCATCTTATTTCTTTCGGTGCAAAATCGTAAATCTGAAATATATATATCATGCGTGTTTGGGCAAAATGGTACAACTCGTAATGCTAAATGAGATGTACGTATGTAAATTTTTTTTTTAATTTTTTTTATGTATAATAGCCTGTTGAGAGCATAATTAATAATAATTGTAATAAAAATCGTGTCATGCTTTTCGAACTCCTGCTTTTCGAATTAACTCATGTATACACACTGAAGAAATGTCGAGGAAAACTTGTAAGTAAATAAACGATGTGGATTAATTATAATTAATTAATAATCATTATTACATCTCAGTATTAAGTCAATGCATTATTCTGTAAAAGTTTTCCTTAGAGATTTTCACTATTTTTGTTTTGATCCCAAGGGATGGATTCAATAATATCATGAATTCCAGTCCCAGAACTTCCAACAGCAAATTTTTGATCCGATGATGTTGAAGTCAAACAAATCCATCATACTTTGATTAGTTAAATAAAAAATATTTTTTTTTGGACGAAGAGAGCACTAAACCTAAATGAGATCAAAGTATCAAACTATTTCTATGATTTTTTTTTTATATAATAAAGAAGCGCATGCTTATTTATCCAACCTCTCAAAACACCCTTTCCATTTAAATCAACTCTCAAATATAAAATCCTAATACAAAATAAATATTATTCAACAATTTTTCGATTTACATTTTAAAATTTATCTTAAGTATTATTTTTACACAATTTTCACCCACTACTACCGCGCCACCCCCACCACCGACAACCGTAAAGTAATGGTACAAGTAAATGATATTATTTTATTTAAAAAATTACCAAGACAATTTTTAAAATTTTCACTTAAAACACATTTTAAACCATATCTCAGAATCTAAGATGAATACGAAAATAAAAACGTTGTCCATGCACATACTATCTTAGTCTTGTTGCTAAGAGGCCCATCATCTTTGAGTTTCGATTTTTTTTTTATTTTTTTTATCTTATTAGATTTTTCTGGTCAAAAGTTTTGATTATTCCAAATTACTAAAGCAATCCAAGTTACATAACAACTGAGCTAACGTGAATATATATATATATATATATATATATATATAAAACAAAAGAGATATTATATGCCTTTATCAAAACTTATTTGTGACTTGTCTCCCTCTGGCGGAGGGTGGTGGTCGGCAGTTGCGATTGGTGACTTGGTGGTAGTGATTAAAATTAAATAAAATAATTTAAAAAAATAAGATTTAAAATATGTGTTAGAAAATTGCATGGACAATGTTACTTTTGTCATAGTGTTTAGTGTTTACGAGCGTGTGTCCCGCGTTTTGCGCAGCTTTGTCAATGTTGAAAATTTATATTTCAAAAAAATTGATTAGATAATGTAGTTACAAATATACCATCCTTATTCTCTTAAAAAAATGTAGTTACTAATATTTCTTAAAACTGTAATATTTTTTTGATTTATCAGTTTTAGATGAAAATGAGAGGTATTGATATTATTTATGAGAGGTATATTTGTAAGATCTAGTAAAAAATATTACAACAGAGATTTTCAAAAGTTGTATAATAAAAATTGTCACCACTAATTAATGTTATGTTTGGTTTAAAAAAATATTTTAAAAATACGTAAATTATGTCTAGATGCATATGGCCTATTTTTATAGGCAAGTGGACTTTGAGGATTAGATGTAGTTCTAATAAAACACAATTAATCGTCCTTGAAAATGTAAAATCGATAAACTTAAAAACTAAATAGCACACAAATGGAACTTTAATGGCCAAAATGATAATATGTTGAAAGTTTAAACTCGTAAATGAAAGGACTTTTTAAGTCAGGAGTTTCTTAGTAATTTTCAAAAATATTCATTTTCAAACTCACAATCAGGAATTTGTAATATCTGTAAAAATCTTATATACTCCCTCTGTCCCACAAAAATAGTCCAGTTTGAAACTGTACAACTTTTTTAATTTGGTCAACACACTAAATGTACAACTCATTTCATTCTCCTAACTTCCACTAATGCCCCTTCTAGTTATTTCTATAAAAGTTAACTACATGTGCATTTATTTTTCAACTTAAATTTGATCAAAATTTTTATCTCAAAAAATATTGACAAGGGATCTTGATGGAAAGATCTCGTTACATAAATTAATTTTATATATAACACATTTTTTTAATTATTCATGTATTAAAATATATAATCATTTGAAAAAATAAGAGAAAACTAAAAAAAATGAAAATCAAAGGAAGTGGACCTTGTTTTTTATACCACTACTCTTTTGGATATTTAAGTCATTTAAATTCAATGAATTTTGACTTTTGTTAAACTTGACTATTTTTTCAGGACAAGATTTTTTATTAGATTGGATTATTTTTGTGGGACGGAGGGAGTAGTAAATAATTTATTAACTGTTTATAAAATTTTTTAACTAATTAATGATCAACCTATTAGCAAATAACACGTATTAATTGAGACTTGATGGTTTCAATGAGCGACACGTATCGATTATCTTTCTTTCCTTTAATATATAAAATGATATTTAAGCAAGAAATAATTATTAATAATAATTATTTAATTATTATTTGCATGTAAAAATCTACATACAACTAGTTAGACGAGGTAATTTATATTAATTTATATTAAAAGAAGAATATTGATATTCATCTTACCAAATTATTTCACTATTGTGTAACAACTTTTACTTATTGGGCAATAAATTTGTTGTACCGCTTACTGCACCACTTCTTGCAATACATCTTAATAAATTTATGTAAATATTATATTCCTTATTTTTAATTATTTTCAGGATTAGGATCTGCTTATTTTCATGTTCTCTTTTTTCAGGATTAGGACCTACTGATTTTAAATTTTAGAAATAAAAATATTTAAAAAGTCTGCGAATCTAATAAAAAAATATGATAAATTAATTTTACCGAGTAATAAAATGTTAGGTATGGCGAGGTAAATTAGGTTGGACATGTAACGTTACTCCTAATTCCTAAAAGAACCTTTATCCAAACAATGTATGCGCTCTTTCAATGAAATCATACCGAAAATGAGTGATTACTTTTGTGTTTCAGACATCATTCTTCATCCATTCGCATGTTCATCTCTATTGAAATAATTTATTTCAGAAGTCAAATTATTTCCTTGATTCAACAGGGAATCAAGTATGGTGGTCGACATGGCTATTGGGATCGTTATTGAATCCCTGTTGAAGATAGTGATTTCCGTTGCTGCTGAAAAGATGAGTCTTTTGGCGGGTAAGGAAGAAGCACTCACAAAGCTAACAGAGCAGCTGAAGACGATTAAGAATTTGCTGATGGAGACTCACAACAAGGAAAAAACGAACATTGTAAAGAAATGGCTGGAGAAGCTCCCATCAATCATCCTTAATGCTCAGATTGTGTTTGAGGAGCTCGATTATGAAGTTCTTCGGGAAAAGATTGAGAATCGAAAGAGGGATAAAGCCCGAGCCTTTTTTTCCTCCTCAAATCCTATTGCATTCATTCCCACAATGAATGGGAAGATCAAGAAAGTCTTGCGAGAAGTGGAAGATGTTTATGTAGAAGCACATAAACTCAGAATTCCACTAGCCGACTTGGGGAACTCATCTCATGCTCCACAATTTGTGAGGTCATCCACAGATCCTTATATTGACCATTCAGAATTCGTGGGGAGGAGAGAAGATATGGAAAGGGTGATAAACATGCTGAATGATCTGTACGATGAGAGAGACTTACCAATCATAGCCATCCACGGGATGGGGGGGCAGGGGAAAACAACCCTAGCCCAACACATTTTCAATTGTGACAAAGTTAAAAATTCCTTTGATAAAGCAATATGGATTTGCGTTTCAAAAGATTTTGATGTCGAAAGATTGCTGATTGAAATGTTGCCGCCTTCCCCGGAAACCAATATCAAACATAGGAATATACAAGTTTTGGTGGATGCGCTGAACAGGGTACTAGGTGGCAAGAGATTGTTGCTGGTGCTAGATGATGTATGGGAGCATAATAGTGAGAAATGGAATCTCATGAAGAAATATCTGCTTCAAATTGGTGGTGGTAGAGGGAGCAAGATCTTAGTCACGACACGCAAGGACGACATTGTTTCAGAAATCGGAAGAGACTATGCCTATCGCCTTGACATACTCTCAAAAGAAGAGAGTTGGACATTGTTTGAAAAATATGCATTTGTAGCTGGTGGCGCAACAAAGACACCACATTTGGAGGCTATTGGTAGAAGGATCCTGGATAGTTGTGGAGGTCTGCCATTAGCTATCAGGGCAATATCATCCTTATTGCGGGGAAAATCTGCATCAGAGTGGTCGATGGTCGAACAAAGCCAAACATGGAATGCACATTTTGAAGGAGAAATTCTTCCTGCCCTCAAGCTCAGTTACGACCATTTACCTACATTATCAATCAAAAACTGCTTTGCATATTGTGCCATTTTTGAGAAGAACACTATCTTGGAAAAAGATCGGCTCATACAACTTTGGATGGCACACGGGCTTCTCGATGCTGGAGAGACTTCGCAGATGGAGGACATTGGCAGTAACTATTTTGACACTCTAATAAGGAGTTCTTTATTCCAATCTGCTCAAAAAGATCGCCACAATAACATCACGGCTTGCAAGATGCACGACCTCGTGCACGATTTGGCATCACAAGTGTCAAAAGGTCACTGCTATCATGTCAAAGACTGGAGTACCATAAGTGATCAAATTAAAGCTGCCCACATTTTAATTGATTTCAGCAAAGGTGGGAAGTGGAAGAGTTTGAAAGATCATATGCCTCCAAATTTGCGAACGCTCCACATAAAAGGTAAGAGTATCCAGTTGTTTAAAGATTTATTTAAACAATTTCCATGTCTCTCTGTATTGATTGTTGATGATAGTGAGGCAACAGAACTACCAGAGTCAATTGGTAATATGAAACATTTAAGAGTTCTTGACATAAGTCTCACTAGCATAAGATCGCTCCCGAATTCATTTACAAAGTTATACTACTTACAGACTGTAAGAGTTGACTCTTTGAATGAAGTACCCAAGGGATTTGGGAATTTAGAAAGCTTGAGGCATATATGCATGAATAAACCTTGTGCATTTCCAGGATTAGGAAAATTAAGAAATCTCCGGACAATCCCTGATTTTAAATTTGATAAATTTGAGGGACGTCAAATCGAAGAGCTGGAACACTTGGACAAACTCAGAGGAAAACTAAAATTATCAAATCTTGACAATGTGTACAGCTCCGAATCTGTTGCCAAGTCCAAATTGTCCAAGAAGTGCGATCTTCAAACTTTGGAACTTCATTGGGACAGGAAGAGAGAACACTGTGATGATGACATTAATGTGATGGAGGGACTTGAACCTCATCCGAATTTGAAAGTGTTAGTAATAAGTGGGTATGGAAGCCTAGAGTTTCCATCCTGGATGAGAAGTAGAAGTGATTTGTCATCATCAATGCGTAATCTGGTGAAGCTCCAAATGTCGAGCTTGTGCAAATGTAATAAACTACCATCACTTGGGCATTTGCCGTGTCTTGCATATCTGGAGATAGATACATTACCCAACTTGGAGTTCATAGGACCAGAAGTTTATGGTTTGTCCAATGTGGATTGGGCTACAAAGAAGAGCACTGGCAAAGGTAGTAACGGGTCATACATCATTACTTTGTTTCCAGCATTGAAGGTTCTCAAGTTATTGAATATGACCAGCCTGATAAGTTGGTTTGAAGCAACTGATTTTATTCCATCAAAACGTGCATCATCGTCATCATCAGTTCAAGCTAGACTATGCCCTTGTCTAGAGGAAATAGTTTTGGAAAAGTTACCCAATTTGATAGCTATTCCAAACTTGGGAAGCCTACAGAAACTTCGAGTTTTGGATGTATCGTCTTGTGATAATCTGACAATTTCATGGGAGCCTAGGAACCCGCGGGGTGATGAGTTCCAACAACATGAGTTTTTCCCATTGTTACATCGGCTCCGCATTTGCAACTCTGACAATGTAAGTGCTCCAATATGCAATCTCATTCCTAGCTTGGCACCCGTTGAGTCATTGCAAATAAGATGCAACCCACGTTTTTGGCCTGAGAATTTGTACCACTTTATCAGCCTCAAGGAATTACAGTTGGGAACCAGATGGAGATCTGATGATTTGGAACTTGATTATTTCCCTTGGCCCTATCCTTCTATCTCCAATGCTACCCTTAATCGTTTTGTCTCTCTTACGGTTCTTTCATTGTTCGGAGAAGGATTACCAAAAGTCCGGTCACTTCCTTACCAAATTCAGTATCTGACTTCTTTGACCCGTTTAGCAATAGAGGAGTTCACTGGGTTGGAGACTCTTCCAGAGTGGTTGGTTAAATTAGAGTGTCTTGTTGAACTGGGACTTGTTGGCTGCAGAAACCTCAAGCAGTTACCAGAGGCATTTCGACGCCTTACCAATTTGCAACATCTGATTATTGGGTATTGTCCTGTTTTGGGAAACAGATGCACACATGGAAGTGGCTCTGAGTGGCCTAAGATTGCTCATGTTCCCTACGTCGACATTTGTGGCAATCGAGAAACAGTGAGTACCGAATTTTGCGAATTATTCTTCTCATTTTCATCGTATGTATATACATTAGTTGATTTGATTTTGCTTTCTTGTGTTTCCGTTGATGATTGTTCAGGAATAGGCCTGAAAGTTGCATCTGAATCGGATGTACACATGACTTGACATGAAGCCTTCCCACAAGATCACTGGAACTTGAAGCTGATGCGAAGCAGCAATTCATCCACCGCACTTTTACAGAACATCTGTTGAAGGTGGCACTTGTTACTTTTCTTGTCATTTTTATTTTTGTTGTAATGGTTCGATTGAATGTAAAAAATTACACAAAAAAAAAAAAGAAAAAAAAACCCAAGTAGGCAATTGTTTTTTGTATAGTTGTTTGTTCTGTAAAAAAACTTGGTATTGATTAGACAAGTCTTTCATTCAAAGACCAGCCATAAATGTTTTGTGTATAATCTCCCTGTCCCGAAAACATGATCTCCTTCGTCCATTTTAGCATATGAACAGAGAGTTCTTCCATTCCAAGCAATTAGTGCAATATTTGGTTGCTTTAGAATTGGGGACTTAAAATGCACAAAACAAGTGCTAGTAGATTAGGGAATCATGGTTTTACATTGCCATTAATTAGATGGTGATCTCTTTGTCTGGAAGTGCTTGTAAATGAGTTTAGTTGAGCACCTCCATTGTGTTTTTATCCAAACAATGGACACGAATGGCCAAGTCCTTCAAAGTTCCAACATACAATATCTAAAATTTGCCCAAAAGTGCTGGGTTCCTGAAATGCCCAACACTTGTTCGCTATTCTCCCGCCTTATCCAGAACTATCATTCTGTAAAGATCCTATTCGAGTCGGATCAAACTCCAGAATAAAAGAAAGGCAGAGGCTAAAAAGCCATTTTTCATTAATTTCTTCTTCTTCCGTTAATAGGATCCAGATACATATTTATAGACTTAACAACTAAAGAATAGGAAAAAATAACTTCCCACTAATTTCATAACTCTACTAACTATCCTAAAACTAATCCACTACTTGATAATTACTAAGCCACAAAATTACTAATAATTAATAACTAAACAAGGTAAAAAGATAATTTAACTCTAGTAATTCCATGGCATTACAATACTTCCCCCGTTAAAAAGACAATCTAACTAAACAAATCAATTTGGCCTCTTCAGATGGGTAAAAGCTCGCATGTTGAACGTTCCAAACCCGAAAAGGGTCCAATCTTGAAACTTCACGCCAAGAGTTGACTCCTGCTGCAGCAGGGGAAATTGCGAATCAAAATTCCTTGTATAGAGTGCGATAATGTCGACTTTGTTGATTTGTTGCATAATTGTTTGGGTTATCCTGCATCTTTGTGTGGATATGCCGGGGTCATAAGGCACTTTTGGTGGAGTTTCACCGCAAAGATCTTTGTACGGGAAGGTTATCTTCTTTCTAGATTGCTGGAAACAGTTGGAAATTTTCTCCATGGCTCGGATTCCTCCAACAAATTCAAAATCAAGGTCTGAGGATTCGAGTGAAAGAGACTTTACACCCGAAGCTCGAGGAAGCTAGAGGAAGCAAGAGCGGGATGAGTGCCAACTACAACTACTAATGCTAATGGAAGCCTCTTTCTTGCTCCTGCAACTCTCGAACTATAGGAAGGATTGATGGTGACAGTTTGGTGATGGATCCACGAATTTGCATAGATAATGGATTGGTGAGAGAGTTTGTGGGTGTTTTCATTGGAGGAGGGCTGATGGTTGTGTGAGGGAGCCGTTCAATGTGGTTCTGCCTTGGATTTGCGATTGGTGTGGTAAAGGGATTGGTTGTTTCCGGTGATGTTGGTTTGATGAAAGTTAGACCGATGGTGTGGTTGGTGATTTGTTCTGCACTTGATTTGGTGTCATGGGAAAGTGTGGGTGGTGGTAAACTAGAGATGGTGGTTGGCGATTGTGAAGCCAAAGCTGTTCGGAGGGTGTGAGTTTGGTCTTCAATATGTAGTGTGGCTTGGACTCTGGTATCAAATCGTTGATTTTTTACTTGAATCTCTTTTCTAAACTCTGAGAGGATTTTAGAAACATCGTCAAGAAAATCAGTCATAGCAACTAAATCAGCCAGTAAATACATGAGAATAGTAACTCTCAAAGAAAGCACCAATATAACTATTCTAATCGAGTGAGATCAAATTTCAGAAATAAAAGGGAGGCAGAATTCTGGCTAAAAAGCCATTTTTCATTAATTTCTTTTTCTTTCGTTAATAGGATCGAGATACATATTTATATACTAACAACTAAAGAATTGGGAAGAATAACTCCCCAATAATTTCATAATTCTACTAACTATCCTAAAACTAATCCACTATTTGATAATTACTAACCCACAAAGTTACTAATAATTAATAACTAAACAAGGTAAAAAGATAATTTAACTCTAGTAATTCCATGATATTACACATTACTTCACAAAATCTAGACTTTGTTACTATACATTACTAATATTTCATTCACTATACTATATATATTCGCGTGTTTCACCAACACAAAACATGACAACCTCATAAATGCATTATAATTACACGAAGTTTGGTCAAGGTTCATTCCTTGAAAAAAACGTGAACGGGCATTAGTAAACATGATAAAACGCCAATTAACCGCAACTTTTAATTAGGATAATAAAAAATAAATTATGTAAATTAGTATATTTTATCATATATTTTCACTATGTTCAGTCTTTTTTAAACTTATATTAGTATTGTACTCCCTCAATTCTAAAATAAGTGTCATTTTATCAAAATGGAGAACTTCTAAATTAAGTATTGTTCTCTAATTCCAATGCAATTTTGTCCAAAATTTTCAAATTACCCGCAATATAAAGAATATAATAGCAACAAGTATTTTTTTTTTGTATTTTTTTGATTTTAATGGGGTAGGTTGAGGATTTTCTAATAATTTACACACCATATTTAGGAGTTCATTAAACAAATGATGTCAATCAATAAATGATGTCAATCTAATTTTATTTACTTTTGTTTATAGTTCCAATATAATTAATGAGGAATAAAACAGATATTTAACACAGAAATTAGTTATTAAATGAGTGTCTCTTTAGTGTATGTGCAAAGGCTAAAGTAATTTATATTTTGAAGTGTAGAGAGTATATAAAAAATGCAAGCTACTGTTTACAGGGGATGAAGTGGTCATAGTGTTGTAGATTCATTAAACACTAAAGATTACAGTGTATGGCTAAAATAAACCAACTCAGCTAAATTTTTAAAAATTGACGCCGAAAACAGACTCAACAAGCACGTATAGTAAACTAGGGGTTGAGGTTCACCAAGTTTTAACAAAAAAGAAAAATTCACTGAGTTGACTAAGGATTGACTGGCCAACAAGTAACGATTAACTCCTGCCAACATGTCTCTTAACTTTCAAAACTTGAGCTATGTGGTTTATTTCAAAACTTGCATGTCGATCGCTTCTGAGCTGGAAGTGCATAAATCTATTGCAGATTTTGACTTTAATAAGTGTTATTACCACTTTAATTAAAGACGAGAAGAATTATTAACAATGCCTCCTCTAAGCATGTATTAGGTAGATTAGTTAAGTCTTATAAGCCTAGTATTTTGTTTGTGATGGAGACCAATGCTAGTAAAGTTAATGTTTTAGCTTGGCAGCAATCTTCTATTTTTAAAAACTCAGTTGTAATAGATCCTGTAGGACTTAGCGGTGGTTTGTGTCTCTTTTGGGTAGATGGTATTCAGTTAAGTGTGCTCTATCAGAATGATAATGTAATAGGTACTAAGGTTAGGGAAACTACAGGCCTAGAATGGTTAGCCATTTTTCTGTATGGTCTCCCTTCGCAGCAAGGAAGGGCCGCATTTTGGTCACATTTAAATGGGATCATTCGGGACTTTAGTTATCCTAATATTTTGTTAGGAGATTTTAGTCAAATCTTAGATCAGGAAGATAAGTTTGGTGGGCGTCCAGTTAGGCCTCAAGACACAAGAAACATACACCAGCTACTGTCTTCTAATGATTTGGAAGAATTGAAACATTTAGGTTATTGATATACATGGACAAACAAGAGACAAGGATAGGAGGCAATTTTTGAAAGGTTAGATCGTGCTTTTGTCAACAAGCAATGGCTCAACAATTTTAATAAGGCTGTCATTAGGAACATTCCCATCATGAGCTCGGATCATAGCCCAATTGATAGAGTGTCAAACTACAAATAAAATAAACCTACTTCTACAACAGTAATATAGGGAAGTAAGGTCGTCTCCTCAGGGAACGATGGATTGTTTACTTCAAATTAATGCAAAGGTGAATTTTTAGTTTGTTCTAAATCTATAATAATGAAAAACTCAAATAACCTAAAATAAATAAAAGAATAAAAATCAAATTAACAAACTTCTGGCTTAAGGGACGGACAACTCAATTATTTAATTAATCATGGGTTGCTAAAATTATTCAATCAATCTAAGCATTTAACCAAAAATCTATTAGGATAGCCGTAATAAATCAATTAATCTCCCTAAATTAACTAACTAAGCCTATCACTTAATTAGTCCTTATCATAATCCGACTGGGCACGATAGCGTTTGATGCCAAACAATGACAGTATAAATACCAAAGAAATGTAGTTGAAACCAAAACCTAAACAATTGAGATAGCTGCAACTATTCAGACCTTGTCCTATTGATTCCAAATTTAAACTAATATGCACATTCAATGTCTCACCAATACACATACTCTGTCTAATTACTACTCAGTACTGCCGGTTCGTGTCTATTAACATTCAACTAGCAGATAGCACTAGAAAGTAAATAACAAATCAAGTTGTTAATTCAAATGATATCTACTTTGATAAATTAAGACAAGAATCAACAAATACTTGAATCATAGCAAGAACAATAAATTAAGAATAAAACTTCATAATGGAATAATTAAATAAATTCCTTGAATCAGAAAGAAAAACTTAGCCACTCATAATTGGAAGTATGACAATTTTATTTTCTATGAAAAACAAAGAAAAACTCGGAAACCGAAAAGTTGGAGGCGCTAGCCTTTTGGGCTACACTCGGCTGGCCGCTTTACATTGATAAAAATTCTATTCATAATAGGAGTTTAAGTCAGCCGCAGGAAAAGAGAAAAGAAATCCAAAATTTGCATATTGGTCCTTTAAGTTTTGCATTTTTTGTCACTTTTGTCCTAAAATTTCTTTAATTGTGCAAACAGGTCCTTGATTGTGCAAAATTATCCAAAACAACTCCAATATCTTATTTCCAGCACCTAACACGAAATAATAACAAAAATAATAAATTAAATCCATCCAAGTCCATAAACTAATAAAATATCAACAATTAAAACACAATTTATGGACTCTATCAAATTCCCCCACACTTAAAGTATGATTGTCCTCAAGCATTAGAGAACAAAGGAAATTTTACTTCTCCTGTTTAAGACACGCCTCATGAACTCTAGCACTCAAAAGAAATCATGGTAACAATGAAACAAAAATTAACCACCAAGTCAAATACATTTTGTACTTTTACCCTTTAGCTCTTTGTGTGTGTGTGTGTAAGCCACTCCCTAGGGACATCACTGTCACACATAGCATAAAATATAAAAATTCAAATGGAAATATGCCACTGAAGAGTGAACTTAGGATCCCTAATTCAGACCGTACTTCAATGCAATGTTACTCCTACATATATTATGAAACCGAAGGCTTACAATTACACCTCACATTATACAATTCAATGCACTTCCCTCGTACCCATTCTTCGGTGTCCATATGACTTTTCTTCGGGATCTTTCTCACTCAGGCCCCTACCCAGAGCATTTTTCCACTTGATTTATGTAATAATTTACATAGTGACTCAGCAATTTAGGACAGTCTACTTACTCATATTTTCTCACCGACGGGCCTGAGGACACTCCGCTAGTTGTTTGGCAGACTTTTCACCTATCAATGGGCTAGCATCAACATTGAATGCTCTTCCTTTTCTCCCTCTTTAAATTGTACCTAATCTCATAAAAGCATCCGCCAACAACCTCTCCCTTACACTTACTTAGCACAAAGTACTTTAAGCAAGAAGGTAAAAAGGCTATTTTCAAACTACCACTCTCCCGTTTTTCGAGTTTGAAGTGATGATAGGGTTAATGCCTATTTTTGGGTTTCATAATATTGCAAGGTCCCACATGCACATGGTACAGATACTGAATGAATCAAATCAAACTTTGGCATATCACATGAATTTAAGCAACTACACATACATGTTAAGTTTATCTCAGAGTTATGGCTAAAGTGCACAAGTAAAGTATTCAGGGTATAACAGATAATGCACAGAAAAGAAATTTTTGTCCCAAAGTAATTAGACCTCATAGAGTCTCAAGTTAAGTTCATCATCGGCTATTTTTGGTATTTTTCATATTTCTGATTTTTTTTATTCTTTTATTTTTTAACAAATAACACACAAAAGCACACAAAAGAAAACAAGAACGTTCCCCCCCTCCCCCACAGTTAATTCTTACATTGTCCGCAATGTAGCATGTTATACTCTCACACAAAAGAGGTAACCAAGGAGCGAAGCACAACTTCATAATGTGGGATATAACAATATGTTCAAATTCAATCCCCACGAAACAACTACTAAAGGCACAATTCAAACTCAACTCAAAGTAGCATAGAAGACAAAATATTCAAACAAGTTGAGACTTATAAACATTGACACTCTTAATACCAATTCAAAACAAACAAACTCCAAAGAAGACCATCATCAAAACGGCAGCAAAAAGAATTAATAAAATCTGAACTGCAATAAAAAGAGGGAGTTAGAATCTTCCCTGGAGCTTGCGGATTTGAGGTAGCTCGGTGGACTTAGGAATTTTATGCTTTCCTACTTCTGCTGCAAAGCTGCTGGTGGCCATGGCGACGAAAAGCAAGTGGATTGGAGCTGACGGCTTTAGCGGCAGCTGATTGGGAAGTTTTCTAACTTCAATGGCTGATACGGAATTTGAGATGAACAGCTTGTTGTGTGTACTTGCCGAATTAAGATACAGAGCGAGCTGATGGTTATGGTTAATCGGCAGCAAACGAAAGTGATTGAAGGAACTCGTCTGTGGTGGTCGAACTGGGCGAGTAAAATAGCGGCAACAGCTTTCTGTTGGTCGAGAGATGCAACGGTGAATTGATTGGCCTAAGCAATGAAGCGCGCGAACGAAAATACAATTAACATTTGCATGAAGTAGCCATGTGGCCGAAAACATGTGCAGAAAATTGTCCAGAATCAATCCGACAGCAGCAGCGATTGCTTGGAGCGGCGGGCAGCAGAAGTAACTAGTAAACGCCGGTGGTGATGAAGAGCGCGAGTGATGATGGTGGTGGGGAGCTTCGGCAGTGAATTGGAGGAAACAACTTATTTGGCGGTGATAAACAGCAGCAACAGCAAGCAATTGAGAGCCGAAATTTGAATGAATTTCAGCAACAGCAGCAGCGAAGAAGAGCCTTTGAATTGCAGCAATAGAGTGATTGATGGATGACGTAGCAGCGATCAGCGGAAGCAGCGGTAACTGGGGGGAAATCACGATTGATGATGGTGAAACGAAGCAAGGCGGCGCCAATTGAACTTGAAGCAGCGGCGGACACCAATGAAGATGCATGAAGCACAGCGATGGACGACATGGAGTTGGAAAAGTGGAATCAAAACTCGAACTGCGACAAGCTGCTTCTGCAATCGTGGATGGTGGTGGCGATCGTCGATCGTCAATCAGTGGTCAGGAGTTTGTGATGAACGGACAGCGATTGTTGATGTTGGAGTTCGGTGTTTCGCCGTTTTGAGTGTTCCTGAAAAAGAAAGAAGAAGAAAAAACGAAAACATAAAATATTTTTGGTTTTTTTTTAAATAATAAATAAAATAAAAAGGAAATAGGGAATGTCATTTTAGACGTGATCATGTCTAAGGGTACTTTTGAATCTGCACTAGACCAAAAGAAAACGTTAAAACAAATCAAACCCTTTATTCTTTTAGACGTGATCACGCCTAAGAAAAATAGTACTCTAATCAATTCAAGCGAACCTAAAAAGCACTTAACCGTAATCCCGCTTAACAAAATAGCTTTTTCCTTAAAAAAAACACTAGATACACATTAAAAACTCAACTCCAATCAACAAAAAAAAAATTAATCAAACACAACATAAATTAAACACTTGGGTTGCCTCCCAAACAACGGCTTTCTTTAATGTCTCTGGCTAGACAAATTCCATACGTCTCAAGGTGAAAATTTTGAAACTCCACCTAACAACGGTAGATAAAATTCTGAGCAACATCTAAGAAAATCAAAGTTAGATGTACCGAATTCATATTTAGATATCGACTCAACAAAATAAGGTGAAAATAGTCTCCTCACTGATTCTTTAAACACTCCACATCTATCTAGACTCAGAAAACTTGCATCTACGATTAGCCCTATTTCAGGAGGTCGAGATAGATGTCCATATACACACTCAAGAGATTTAGGTAATGGTATGAAAATAACTTTTGGAGACTTCCAATCCTTAAATGCATCATTGAAAGTTCATGAAGTAGTAACCGTATCTGGATTCTTGCATTTAGAAGAAAAATTTGATTGTGACATAATAAGGTACATTTTTCCCAATTAAAACTACCTCAATACCATGGAATTGGAATTCTTTCGTTTTAGCACAAAACTCTTTAAGAAGCTCACCATGATAAGGCAGCCTCGTCAAAATTTTTCACCAAATGGACATTTATCTCATCCTTGGAAAAATTCTCCACCGCTTTCCGTTGGGCTCCTCTATCTTTGGCTCTACTGACATATCTGAAAAAGAAGTATCAACTGCATTAGTTTGACTAAATAAAATGGAAAGATCAATTATCTCATTTTCATCCAATGCATCTGCTTCATTTTTCTCTACTCTCATATGTTTCAAATCTTCTGCATTTTGAGTAGGTGCAGTCTCCATACTATAAATCTGTTCTATGAAAGGATATTTTATTTTTTCTAATTCGGCCCTTGAGAATCTGCTAGGAAACGGAGAAAGTACCACATAATGCGGTTCTTCTCTAGCAATTTCTTTCACTACCTTCTTCTCAGATACATCATGTATGGGAGATACTTCATTCTCATTCATTGCACAAACACTTTCAACAGAATTATTTACAAACAAAGTGGGTAATTCCACAGGTTTTGAAACCTCGAACTTGCTAATAACATTAGCTAGCTGGCTAATTCTGCTCCCCAAATCTTGAATGGAAGCTCTTGTTTCCTGTATGCTCGTTCTTGTTTCTGATTCAAATTCAAGAGTATTAGCTGCCAAAGCGTTAACGATCTCATCTAAAGACAAACCTGAGCTTTGAGACTGTGGAGGTTCCGGAACATGGTACACTTGTGGTGGCTGAGGCAGTTGATACTCATAGTTGAAACTTTGGTAATCCTGCCAGCCTGGATCATATGAGTATGAATGAGGTTCATATCTCTCTTGTGGTGGTCCCCAAGGTTCTCCCATAGCATTCTGAGGCTTCGACTGGTAATATGTAAATCTTGGACAAAAGTCTTTAATATAACCAATCATTAAACAAAGACCACATCTTGGGACTTGTTTCTATTGACCTGTAGCCAAATTTTTCACAAGTGAAGTCAGTTCATGTAATTGTTGCTCAAGAAACGAAGAACTTGCCTCGTTTGTATTCCAATGGTCATCTCGTCGGTTCCAAGGAGGATATGCATATGAGTCCATTGCAAAAAAATAAAAAAATAAAATAAAATAAATTAAAAATTTAAAGGAAACAAATCAATTAACACCGTTCCCCAGCAACAACTCCAATTTGATGGAGTGTCAAACCACAAATAAAATAAACCTACTTCTACTACAGTAATATAGGGAAGTAAGGTCGTCTCTTCAGGGAACGATGGATTGTTTCTTTCAAATCAATGCAAAGGTGGATTTTTGGTTTGTTCTAAATCTATAATAATGGAAGCTCAAATAACCTAAAATAAATAAAAGAAAAGAAATCAAATTAACAAACTTCTGACTAAAGGGACGGACAACTCAATTATTTCGTTAATCACGGATTACTAAAATTATTCAAGCAATCTAAGCATTTAACCAAAGATCTATTAGGATAGCCGTAATAAATCAATTAATCTCCCTAAATTAATTAACTAAGCGTAGCACTCAATTAGTCCTTATCATGATTCGGCTGGGCACGATAGCGTTCCATGCCAAATAATGACAGCATAAATACCAAGAAAATAAAGTTGAACTAAAACCTAAATAATTGAGATAGCTGCAACTATTCAGACTTTGTCCCATTGATTCCAAATTTAAACTAATATGCATATTCAATATCTCACTAATACACATACTTTATCTAATTACTACTCAGTACTGCTAGTTCGTGTCTATTACGTAACATTCAACTAGCAAATAGCACTAGAAAGAAAATAACAAATCAAATTGTCAATTCGAATGATATCTACTTTCATAAATTAAGACAAGAATCAACAAATACTTAAATCATATGCAAGAACAATAAATTAAGAACAAAACCTCATAATGGAATAATTGAATAAATCCCTTGAATCAGAAAGAAAAACTTAGCCACTCATAGTTGGAAGCATGACGATTTTATTTTCCATAGAAAAAACGAAGAAAAACTCGGAAAACAAAAAGTTGGAGGCGCTAGCCTTTTGGCTACACACGGCTGGCCGCTTTACATTGATAAAAATTCTATTCATAATAGGAGTTTAGGTCAGCCGCAGGAAGAGAGAAAAGAAATCCAAAATTTTCATATTGGTTCTTTAAGCTTGTATTTTTGTCACTTTGGTCCCAAAACTTCTTTAATTGTGTAAACAGGTCCTTGACTATGCAAAATTATCCAAAACAGCTCCAATATCTTATTTCCAGCACCTAACACAAAATAATAACAAAACTAATAAATTAAATCCATCCAAGTCCATAAACTAATAAAATATCAATAATTAAAACACAATTTATGGACTCTATCACCAATTCTTGTGGAAATTAAGCAAAAATATTCTCAGAAGAAACAATATAAATTTGAGCAGTTCTGGTCCAATTGTCCTTCTTCAAAAGATTTGGTGACCCAAGCTTGGACTCATTCTCCACTCCATATAGATAGTCCCCAGGATAGCCTCTCATTCTGACTGGATAGAACTTTGTCAAAACTCATCAATGGAGTAAAAACCATTATGGTAACCTAGATACTCTAGTCTTCAAGTTGATTGCGAAATTAGAACGAGCTCATATGCAATGGGAACGAAATAAATCGGATGAGCATCTTCGTATGCAACTGGAACAACACCGAGAGGAATTGGAGGAAGCACTACAGCTCCAACAAGACTATTGGCATTAGATGGCCAAGCTTAACTGGTCACAAATGAGAGATAGAAATACCAAATTCTTCCATAAATGGGCTGCTAGGAAGAAAGGGAACAAATGGATCACTGAACTATGCGATGCTCAGGGATTGTGGGTTCAAGATCCTGATCAACTTAGCTCTCTGCTACTGAGTCACTTCTCAAATTTTTACATGTCAGTGGAATCAAGTTCTCAGAATTCACAGTTTTCTTCATTTCTCACCAGTCTTCTTGCAAATGTGAGTGAATCTTTGATTACAGACCAAGCAGCTCATTTAGATGCTCCACTTACAGAGTTAGAAGTCTGGTCCGCTCTCAAGCAAATGTCTCCTTGGAAGTTTCCTAGCCTGATGGAATGCCGGCGGGATTCTATCAACATTACAAGAACATAATTGGCTCGGACGTCCAATCTTCAATTCTGGATACTTGCAACACTATGTATTTTCCTCTAGAATGGAACCAGACTCATTTGGTCCTCATCCCCAAAACGTCTACTCCGACGACACCAGATGACTTGTCCATTCAGTCTGTGTAATGTCAAGTATAAGATTATAGCAAAGATGATCGCGAATCGTCTCAAACATGTTATGAATGATCTTATTGACAAGAATCAAAATGGATTTGTTCCAGGTAGAAACATCAGCGAGAACATTCTTATTGCTCATGAGGTCATTGAATGCATAAGGAAACAAAAAGGTTAGACAGGTTTGGCTGCCATCAAACTTGATATGAGTAAGGCCTATGATCGGATCTTATGGCCTTTCTTACAAGTTGTCTTTCACAAGACAAACTTTCCTTAATCATGCATTGTGTTTCTTCAGTCTCCTATTCTCTCCATTTTAATAAAGAATGTTTACCACTTTTTTTCTCCAAATAAGGGATTGAGGCAAAGATGCCCTTTGTCATAACTTATTCATCCTTTGTCAGCAGGTTCTTTCTTCTGCAAGAACGTAACTTTTCATATAGTTTGACATTCTTAGTGGCTGTGAGCCATAGTAGTTCATAAGAAAGAAATTTAGAGCTCACACTCAAAACTAAATGGTTAAGAGCAAAAAAGTCTAAGAATTTTAGTATGGGATAAGAGAGATTTAAGATACCGATGTAAAATACTTGACATATTATATTTAACAATTTACAGTTAGATGAGCGTGATGGAGGATTAAACAGCTATTGGAACAAGATTTTTATCGAAATTGCTCCTTTTTTTTTTGGCTATTTGGATTTAATTTATCAAACATTTGTTGAAAAAAAAAAGGAAAAAAAAAACATAAGAAAACCCCCGGCTGCTTTCGGGGAAGATACTAGAAAACTTCTTAACAGAAAACTTTTTTTTGGTTTTATTCATATAAAATAAAAGACTTTTCTTTTCAGAAAACTTACCCCATACCAATTATTGGTTTCCGAGGATGACAAGAAATGGTGACGTAGGTTCTTCGGTCATATATATCTTGAACGCATGTGTTTTTTTTTTTTTTTGGTTAACACTTATTCACCATTTAATTAACTCTTGTCAACTACAATCACTATCACCCCTTGTATGAATTTCGAGTTTTTATGCTATTATTATTTTTCCACTAATTCTTACAGCAACTTGTTGTTGTCTATCATCGTTATTATTTGTTGTTGAAATAGTATAATGTATACTTCATTTTATATATATATATATATATATATATATATATAGAGAGAATTGATTATTCACCGTTTGTTAGGAAGGCAACGTAAAATCAGAGGTCGAAGAGAAAATCAGAAGCTTTGATCAATACATTGATCACGGGAGGAGAGGTCGAAGAGAAGTCTTTTTCGTCACCAATAATGTATAGTTGACCTTTTTGGCGTGTAATGGTCACAGAATAAAATAGTACAAGTTGCAGGGGGTAAATGCATAATTAGATGGATTCAATGTTGGCATGCAAGTTGCCTTAGGTACGTAAGTATTGCAATTAGGCAAAATCAAATGAATAATAATGACTATATATATATGATAATAGTATAAGAGGAAGTGTACTTACACTTTAAAAAACTACCTAACTAGACTTAATAATTGTATAATTGGTTGGAACATTATGTTGTTGGTGTTTCATATTCAAGACAAGTATTAATATCTTGTAATTAGGTTTCGGCCTCTCATTGTAAAAAAAAAAAAAAAAAAGACGACCTAATGTTACTATATTTAGTAGTTAGAATTATTATAAGACTTAATCACTTCATAATTCCTTTCTCTCATTCGTAATTAAACTTCATCATATATTTTTTTTTAGAAAAAACATACTTTCATTAATTTGTTGAAAATCGTCCAACTACGTTCGACATTACAAAGAAACAGTCTAAAACACAACTCACAACTTTTATTACACCTTCTATTACAATCACACTGTTGTGTTTAATAAATCTATACAGATTATCCTAGTCAACGTTGGACATATTACGTAACGGATTCCAGTTAAGGATATATCACTAGTTATCATATGAAAGTCCCAATTTATATATCTAATAAATAGATTTATATTGACTGAATTTTCGCGAACGATGTATAGCACACCCGCGAACATCACCAACGAAGTCATGTACCCTGCAATCAACAAAAAAACCCTATTGTGACCAATCCACTAGAGGAATTATAACGAAAAGAACCATACCCTCTCAATAGACTATAATCTATTAAAGAAATAAAATTTCAATGACAAAGAGGAAAATAATCCCGTTTATTAAATGATAAACTAAAACTGTGCTTATAAAACTAAAATAAAATTATTTCGCCAATTCTCCCATGGTGAAAAGATGAGGGATAATTGGTTTTTTCGGAGATGTGTTGAGAGAGGGAGAGGGGAGAGAGAGTAGGCGGCTGGAAATCAATTAAACTTCATCATTTGCTACAGAAAGCCTCTCTCTCATTTCTTTCTCTTAAACGTATTCACTCCCTTCTAATTGCTTTTAACTCTTCAAGTTTCAGCACTTGAGTGTTATCTCTTTTTGTCCTTTTTTTTGTTTTCATGTTTGTCTATATACCAGGAAAAAGAAAAATAAAATCCCACAAAGCGGGAAAAAGGGAAAAAGAATTTAGTGTCAGCTCTGTTGGTTTGTCTTTTATCTTTTGTCTCTACCAAAAAAAAAAAAGGAACATAAAAGGAAAACAAAGAAGAACCTGCTTGAAATAAAGGATTCACAAACTTGCTGAGCGTGTTCCTTGGAGGGATAGCCGACGGGTTTAGCAGCAAGGTAAGTATTTTATACTAGTATATTTTTATTTGTCCATTAATTCATCATGTTATTTCTTCTTCGGTGCAAATTCGTACATCTGAAAAATATATCATGCGTGTTCAGGGAAAATGGTCAACTGGTAATTCTAAATGACATGTACGTTTAAATTTCATCTTACCAAATTATCTCACTATTATTACAACTTTTACTTTGCTATACCATTTGGTGCACCACTTTTAACTACACATCTTAATAACTTCATGAAAATATTATGTTTCTTTTCAATACACGACCCATAAATAATCATTTACATTATTATAGTTTTATGCAGGATTTACTCGATTCAGGATTAGGATCTGCTCATTTTAAAATTATAGAAATAAAATATTAAAAATTTTTACAAAAAATCTAACCAAAAAAAAAATATGATAAATTGATTTTACCGAGTAATTAAATGTTAGGCATGTAACGTTACGCCTATTTTCTAAACGAACCTTATCCAAACAATTTATACGCGCTTTCAAAGAAATTCTACAAGAAATGAGTGATTACTTTTCTTCTTTTTTTTGTTTTTTTTTTAATTAGTTTCTTCTGCGAAAATCTTCAATATATATATTTGTGTGGTCTGAAAGTTTCATTATGTGTATAGCTTTGGGTTTCTTTCTTATTTCCATCATCTTTTCATCGCATTCTCCTGTATTATCGAAATAATTTGTTTCAGAAGTCAAAATATTTCCTTTGATTCAACTGGGAATCAAGTACGATGGCCGATGTTGCTAGTGGGATCGTTATTGAATTCCTGTTGAAGACAGTGATTTCCGTTGCTGCTGAAAAGATGAGTCTTTTGGCGGGTAAGGAAGAAGCACTCACGAAGCTAACAGAGCAGCTGAAGACGATTAAGAATTTGCTGATGGAGACTCACAACAAGCAAATTAAGACCGACATAGTGCAGAAATGGCTGGAGAAGCTCCCACCAATCATCCTTGATGCTCAGATTGTGTTTGAGGAACTCGGTTACGAAGTTCTTCGCAAAAAGATTGAGAATCGAAAGAGGGACAAAGCCCGCGCCTTCTTTTCCTCCTCAAATCCTATTGCATTCAATTCCACAATGACTCGGAAGATCAAAAAGGTTTTGCAAGAAGTAGAAGATGTTTATGTAGAAGCAGGTAAACTCGGAATTCAGCCAGCTGACTTGGGTAACTCATCTTCTCATGCTCTACAATCTGTGAGGATGTCGACAGATCCTTATATTGAGCATTCAGAATTTGTGGGGAGGAGAGAAGATATGGAAAGGGTGATAAACCTGCTGAATAATCCATCCGATGAGAGAGACTTACCAATCATAGCCATCCACGGGATGGGGGGGCAGGGGAAAACAACCTTAGCCCAACACATTTTCAATTGCGACAAAGTTAAAAGCGCTTTTGATAAAGCAATCTGGATTTGCGTTTCAAAAGATTTTGATGTCAACAGATTGCTGATTGAAATGTTGCCGCCGGAAACCAATCTCAGCCATATGAATAATATACAAGCTTTGGTGGATAAACTGAAGAGAGAACTGGGTGGTAAGAGATTGTTGTTAGTGCTAGATAATGTCTGGGAGCATAACCGTGAGAAATGGAATCTCATGAAGAAATATCTGCTTCAAATTGGTGGTGGTGGTAGAGGGAGGAGCAAGATCTTAGTCACGACCCGCGAGGACGACATTGTTTCAGAAATCGGAAGAGGCTATGCCTATCGCCTTGACATACTCTCAAAAGAAGAGAGTTGGACATTGTTTGAAAAATATGCATTTGTAGCTGGTGGCGCAACAAAGACACCACATTTGGAGGCTATTGGTAGAAGGATCCTGGATAGTTGTGGAGGTCTGCCATTAGCTATCAGGGCAATATCATCCTTATTGCGGGGAAAATCTGCATCAGAGTGGTCGATGGTCGAACAAAGCCAAACATGGAATGCACATTTTGAAGGAGAAATTCTTCCTGCCCTCAAGCTCAGTTACGACCATTTACCTACATTATCAATCAAAAACTGCTTTGCATATTGTGCCATTTTTGAGAAGAACACTATCTTGGAAAAAGATCGGCTCATACAACTTTGGATGGCACAAGGACTTCTCGACGCTGGAGAGAATTTGCAGATGGAGGACATCGGTAGTAACTATTTTGACACTCTAATAAGGAGTTCTTTATTCCAATCTGCTCAAAAAGATCGCCACAATAACATCACGGCTTGCAAGATGCACGACCTCGTGCATGATTTGGCATCACAAGTGTCAAAAGGTTACTGCTGTCATGTCAAAGAATGGAGTACCATAACTGATAAGATTAAAGCTGTCCACATTTTGATTGATTTCAGCAAAGGTGAGAATTGGAAGGAGTTGAAAGATTACATTCCTTCAAAGTTACGAACTCTCCACATAAAAGGTAACGGTATCCAGTTGTTTAAAGATTTATCTAAACAATTTCCATCTCTCTCTGTGTTTATTGTTGACGATATTGAGGCAACAGAACTACCAGAGTCAATTGGTGATATGAAACATTTAAGAGTTCTCGACATAAGTCTCACTAGCATAAGATCGCTACCGAATTCATTTACAAAGTTATACTACTTACAGACTGTAAGAGTTGACACTTTGAATGAGGTACCCAAGGGGTTTGGGAATTTAGAAAGCTTGAGGCATATGTGGATGAGGAGACCTTGTCCATTTCCTGGATTAGGGAAATTGAAGAATCTACGGACGACCCCTGAATTCATGTTTGGTAAATTTGAGGGATGTCAAATAGAAGAGTTGGAACACTTGGACAAACTCAGAGGAAAGCTAAAATTATCAAATCTTGACAATGTGGGCGGCTTCGAATCGGCTGCCAAGTCCAAATTGTCCAAGAAGTGTGATATTCAAACTCTGGAGCTTCATTGGAACATGCCGAGAGAGTACCATGATGATGACATTTATGTGATGGAAGGACTTGAACCTCATCCGAATTTGAAAGTCTTAATGGTAAGTGGGTACGGAAGCCCAGTGTTTCCATCCTGGATGGAAAAAGGAATTGATGATTGGTCATCATCAATGCCTAATCTGGTAAAGCTCCAATTGTCGAGTCTGCACAGATGTAAGAAACTACCACCACTTGCGCATTTGCCCTGTCTCGCATACCTGGAGATAGGTACATTACCCAACTTGGAGTACATAGAAGCAGAATTTTATGGTTTGTCAAATGTAGACTGGGCAACAAAGAAGAGCACTGGCAAAGGTAGCAACGGATCATTCATCATTACTTTGTTTCCGGCATTGAAAATTCTCAAGTTATTGAACATGACCAGTTTGATATATTGGTTTGAAGCGGCTGATTATATTCCAGAAGCACGAGAATCATCTGTGCCAGTTCAAGCTAGACTATGTCCTTGTCTAGAGGAAATAGTTCTGGAGGATCTCCCCAAATTGATTGATATTCCAAACTTGGGAAGCCTACAGAAACTTCAAGTTTTGGATGTATCGTCTTGCGATAACAATCTGACAAGTTCATGGGGTGAGAGGAACCAGCAGGGTTACGGGTTCCCACAACAGAAGTTTTTCCCACTGTTACATCGGCTCCGCATTTGCAACTCAGACAAATTAAGTGCTCCAATGTGCAATCTTATTCCTGGCTCGGCACCCATTGAGTCATTGCAAATAAGGTGTAACCCACGTTTCTGGCCTGATGATATGTACCACTTGACCAGCCTGAAGGAACTACATTTAGGAACGAGATGGAAATCTGATAATTTGGAACTTGATCATTTCCCTTGGCCCTATCCTACCCCTAACCGTTTTGTCTCTCTAACGGTTCTTTCATTGTTTGGAGAAGGGTTGCCAAAAGTCAAGTCACTTCCTTACCAAATCCAGTATCTGACTTCTTTGACCCGTTTAGCAATACATGAGTTCACTGGGTTGGAGACTCTTCCAGAGTGGTTGGGTGACCTAGAGTGTCTCGTTGAACTGGGACTTTTTGGCTGCAGAAACCTCAAGCAGTTGCCTGAGGCATTTCCATGCCTCATCAGTTTGCAACATCTGATCATTGGGTATTGTCCTGTTTTGGGAAACAGATGCACCCATGGAAGTGGCTCTGATTTGCCTAAGATTGCTCATGTTCCCTACGTCGACATTTTTGGCAATCGAGAATAGGTGAGTATCGAATTGTGCGAATTATTCTTCTCATTTTCATTGTATTGTATATACACGTATTCAAACTACATTTCTCTCCTGTTTTTAGTTTCCCTGTTGATTTGATTTTGATTTCTTTTTTTTTTTTTTCGTTGATGAATAGGTGTGAAACTTTTATCTGTTCCGGATCAAGACTTGACATGAAGCTGATGCGAAGCAGAAATTCATCCACTGCACTTTTCCAGTACATATGTTGAAGGTGGCACTTGTTACTTTTCCTTTTATTTTAGTTTGTTGTCATGATAATTCGATTGAATGTAAAAAATTTACAAAAAAAAATTTTTAAAAAAAAAACCCAAAAAACTCAAGTAGGCAATTGTTTTTTGTATAGCTGTTTGTTTCGTGGGAAAAAAAAAAAAAAAACTTCCCATTGTTTACAAGTCTTTCCTGCAAGATCAGCCATATATGTTGTGTGTATGCTCCTTTTATCCAAAAAAAATGATCTCCTTCATCCATTTTAGCATCTGAATAGAGAGCTTTTCTATTCCAAGTAATTCGTAAGCTCATTTTTAGACGTATTTCTAGTAAATTAAGGAATCAACATGGTTTAACATTGGCATTGGATATCTGTTGGCAGATAATTATCAGAAGTCTGTCAATAAGATCCATCTACTCAGTACTCAACAACATCTCATATACTTTTGAACTTGAACAGATCAATGAAAACGTATAGAAGCAGCCTCAGAATATTTCGCAAACTGACATGCAGCTCATTCACGTTCAGCCTTGGATTCCAGCTGACGCAGCAACAGCTAGCAAGCTGATCGCTTTTGGATAATGACGTTCATTTTCTGCTTTTGTTTAATTATCCATCGTGTAATATATAGGAAGAACAGTACTATGATCCGGATTATGAGATATGCATTTTGATGATCCTCCCCTCAACGTCTTAATTTCTGTCTTGTCCTTTTTCTCTTGCTGTCAACTCCCCCCCTCCTCCTCCTGCATTTTCTTTCTTCCTTATTCTGCTAATTCAAACTCCTTTCTTGCTTTTGCTTATATTTGGTAAAAACCCTAAAATATACTTCCTCCATTTCAAAATGTAGGTCGTTCTAGGTTTAGAGAAATATTTCAAAATGTAGGTCGTTTTAAGATTTCAAGGCAAATTATTGGTTAACTTCTTAACTTTGCCCTCAATAAATGATGCTAACTACTTTGTTTCTAATCTTGATTATAATTCGAAAACAATTAATGATGGGTAAATTAGATAGTTGACACACAAATTAATTGCTAAATAGTTGTCTTCTTAGTTTATGTGCAGAGTCTAAAGTGACCTACATTTTGAAATGGAGGGAGTAATTCTATATCATAACAAAGAAAGAGTGGCGGCCGGGTTAACTTTTTGTTGAAGTTATTTATTTATCTTGTTATTCAAGAAAACGGGAAAAAAAAGAAATTATATTTTTATTAAAAACTAATTTTGGTCGGTTTAATTTTGGATATATATCTTACTATATAAGAAACAAAAACCACACTTCAAAGAGCTCCCCTTCAATTGCCATGTGGCATTTCCACCTCATTAATTGTCATTAATTGGTATTAATAAATTAACAGATTTCCATAATGTCCTCCAGAATGCACACCACATGCTCTTCTGTTTTCTTCCCTCTTTCAAATTCCCACTCCTCCATTACAGTACAGAAGAGTAAATTATATTATTTCTTATTCCACAACTGATGAGATTGCTCTTCAGCCCCTTTTATTTTCAATTCTTCTTCCAAAATCTTGCACGTTCTCATAATCAAAATGCCGCCGTCCACCGCCGGTAAACCGCCGCTTCCACCACCACCCCCCCTTGCTCGGGCACCTCCGTCGCAAACCATTTTCTCCCGTGCCAGAAGCCAAATCGCCACTTTCTATCTATTCTGAATGGGAAACAAACCTTCTATAGGCATCTATTGTAATAGAATTCAATTGAATCCTACCTTAATCCATAAGCTTTCTTTGATTTCTTCAATTGAATCCCATTTTCAATTCATTTCTTTCGGTTTGGTTACTTTTTCTAAATGGGAATGGATTACTCAGTTCCGAAGCTTCAGAGGTCGTCGCAAACGAGCTCGGAGTTTCTGTACTTAGGCACTTTGGTGAATACTCATGGAGCCACCGAAAATAGTGTTATGCAGCAACAACACCCACGTGACAGTAGCACCGACGACGAGAGCAGTGCTGCGAATTCGAGAAAATTTGACTCGCCGGAGCTCCGCCCTTTGCCGCCGCTTTACGGTCACAGCAATGTTAGGCGAAATTACGGTAATAGTGATGTGGGGTCCGCCACACAGCAATGTTAGGCAAAAAATAAAAAAACTCTTCCAGTACCGGAATATTTTGGGTAATATTTTAGGCTTAGGATCCAGTAAGTGAATACAGTCCAAATAGAAATGTTTTCATCGGCTAATGTTTGACCGAAAGGAAAGTAATAGTATTTTGTATAGAGCCCACTCTTTTTTTAGAGTAGAAGTAATAGTATTTTGTATAGAGGTCAAACTCTTCCGGCAATACAATCCTACTAATTTATCCCACTTTTTACGATAGGGCTACGCACCATTATCGCACTAATTTATATGGTGGTGAGTTCTTTTTTTTTTTATCCCACTTTTGTATAGTATTTTGTATGATTTTGTATTGGATGGGAAGGAATGATGTTCCTTTTAAACACCTCCTATGATTGCCACGTGACATGAGAAAAGTACAAAATTGTCCTTTTGTCTAACCATAACTAAATTACTGAATCCCCCTTTGCACTTTACGTGACATGTTTTTTTTTTATAATTTTTTCTTTATGTTTCATTCAACTAGAGTGGTTTTCTTTTCTTAATTATGGAGTCTAAATTGAATTGAGCAATTAGGTTTTTGTTACAAAGTGTCAATTTTGTTTTAAGCGTATACCCTTGGGATGAACCTTATTACAAAGCTATTAAAAATCTCTAAAACTAAGTATTGATTTGGCACAACCAATGGTAAACATCAATAAATCATCTTACTAATATTTAAACTTATTATGATACTTTTATATTTTGTCTAACATTTACTTCAATACATATATTCGATTAAGTCTATTTATATTTAATAAGTAACACTTATAAAACATTTTTAAAATATACATGGCGAAATACAATTTCTTTTTTTGTGAAATATAAATATTTCTATGATCACATTTATAAAATATTTCTAAATCCTTCAAACATTTCTAAAATATATCGCTCCAAATACAAAATTTTATTTTTTGTCAAATATAAATATTTCTAAGATCTACAGATAGAGTGAGCCAAGATCGCGCATTGCGCGACTAGACATCACTAGTATATATATATGAGGAATTAACTACGATTATGAAAATTGAGTAGGAGAATCAGAAGTTTAGATCAAATATATTGACCATGGGAGGAGAGGTCGAATAGAAGTCTTTTGAGTCACCCATTAATTCTGGAAAAAAAAATTAAAATTAACGTTTAATTGACCTCTTTTCTTCATTATTAGTAAGGGAATAAATGTTTTTTAAGTTAAAAACTATGCTGATGGTCACAGAATAAAATTCAACTAGATCTACATCAAATTGGCAATAAATTGCCTCAACTACATCTACTTCAAATTATTGCCTTAAATCGGATGGGAAAAATAAATGCATAAATAGATGGCTTGCAATTTGGCATGCAAGTTGCCATAGGTAGGTAAGAATTCATAGTAGGCAAAATCCATTGTATTCATACTCTGCCACCCAAAGCCTCGCTCTCTCCTTTCTTTCTCTTGAACGTACTCACTCCCTTCTATTTGCTTTTAACTCTACAAGTTTCAAAGACTCGAGTGTTATTTCTTTTTGTTCTTCTTTTCATTTTTTTTTTCAAGTTTGTCTATAGAGCAGAAAAGAAAGAAACCCACAAATGGGGAAAAAAAGAAAAAGAATTTAGTGTCATCTCTGTTGTTTTGTTTGTTTTTGTTGTGTGTGTGTGTGTTTTTTTTTTAATCTCTACCAAAAACATAAAAAGAAAAAGATAAAAGAAAAGAAAGAAGGACCTGCTTGAAATACAGGATTCACAAACTTGCTTACAGTGTGTTCCTTGGAAGTATCCAAAGCGTTTAGCAGTAAGTCTTTTCTACTAGTATATTTTTATTTGTAGTCTATAAATTCATCACATATTATTTCTTCTTCTTTTTTTTTTTTGGTAAAACATATTATTTTCAATGCAAATTCGTAGATCTGAAAGTATACCATGCTTGTTTGGGCAAAATGTTACAACTAATAATGCTCAATGATATGTATGAACGTAAAAGGTTCGTATAAATAGTCTGTTGAGTAAATAATTATGCTCCTTTCTTTCTTAAATACTAGTGATGTCTGGTCGCGCAATGTATGCACGTCTCTGGCCCAATATATCTGTAGATCTTAGAAATATTTGTATTTAAAAAAAATATTTTGTATTTGGCCCGATATATTTTAGAAATGTTTGAAGAATTTAGAAATGTTTTATAAGTGTGATCATAGAAATGTTTGTATTTGGCAAAAAAAAAAAAAAATTGTATTTGGCCAAGTACGTTTTAGAAATGTTTGAAGATTTTAGAAATATTTTATAAGTGTTACTTATTAAATATAAATAGACTTGATCAAGTATATGTCTTGAAGTAAATGTTAGAAAAAATAAAAAAGTATACTAATAAGTTTAAATATTAGTAAGATAATTTATTGATGTTCTCCGTTTGTCGTGCTAAATGAATACTTAGTTTTGGAGATTTATAATTTTGTAGTAAGCTTCCTCCGAAAGGTATACGTTTAATTGTTGGAACTGTTTCTTCCAAAGGTTTATAGGTAGTAAAATATCAAAAATATAATTTTGAAACTGGTTAATTGTTGAAACTGGTTGATCACAAATATGAGAATGAAAATTAATGTAAATTTGCATAGGTTTCAAGTTATAGCAAAAAAGAACTCACCTCACCATGGCAAATAAAAAAAAAAGTAAGTAAAAGAGTCCATTAAAAATTGAGAAATTATTTTTTTCTATAGGTAAAAATGATGTATAAAAACACAATAAAAGTAGAATTTCATTCCTTCCCTCTCCACTTCAAATTCATAAAAGGCTTCCCCATAAATTAGTTAGAAGAAGCGACCTGAATTATTTACATGATGAGGAACTCAAAAAAATCGAAAAACCAAATCCAAAAAAGTATATTCTTGAAATTCCGAACACAAAAAAAAACGCGCTTCATTTGCAAAAATAATAACAACAACAACAACAATAATAATAATAATAATAAAAATAATAATAATAATAATAACAATAATAATAATTGGTCAACTGGGAGTATGAAACAAAATCAAAAGTAATTAAACAAAGAAAAAATACAGTTCATAACTGACCATATAATAAAAAAAACTGAGACTCCATAATAAAAAAGGAAACCACTCTAATTGAATGAAACATAAAAAAGAAACTAAAAAAAACCACACTTCGTAACAAAAACCCAATTGATCAGTTTAATCCAAACAGAACTAAAATCATACAAAAATTCTAGGCTAACTAACCATATAAGAAATTACATCATATTACCTGGCAACGGCTATTGTAACTGTAACGGGTGGACGCATAAAAATAATAGTAATAACACTATTCTTGAACTGGAAAAATAAAAAATAATAAAAGCCGTACAAATGATCTGTGGATATAAAATCATTTAAATTTTAATATCTGTAATGACACCACCACAACGGCCAAGTAAGATCAATGAGAAATTTTTTTTTCCTTTGTGTTTATATAGAGAGGTAAAGAGAATATTTTTTGAATTCGAAATTTTATCCGATTAGGATGTAGTTGATAATCACTAATGAAAAGATTGAACATGCTAATAGGAAAGGAGTATATTTCACCACATATTCTCAATTGATGATTGATGAGGAATTTATTTATTTTTTAATTGTGGAGAAGAGATTGATTAGGGAGTCGATTGTCGTGGAGATGGGGATGAGCATTTGGGTTTTTTATGAAGCCGTGATTTTTTTATTTTTTATTTTTTGCGAAAATAGGAGGTGGAGGTGGATTTGAACTACATTTGCCTTTTAAGTCTAGGAAACTGATGTGTAAATAAAAATTTATTTTAAAAATATTATGTGAAAATGTCACAAGGCAAATGGTGGTACTTTCTCTTAAATGTGGTTTTTGTTTCTAATATAGTAAGATATGTATTTAAGGGTTTAGTGGATTTTTTTTTTAAGTATATGTCGTTTTTACAAATCGAGACACATTTGATACTTTTTACCAATATTACTCTTGTATTGGAAATGAAATAATCCAACTTCTCATTTACACTCTTTTGAGCTATACTTTTTATCTTAAATTTAATCCAAAATTCTATTATATCTTCATTTGACTTTATAAAAAAATTTATTTCCTGCGTATCATTATGAGTTTAACTAAGCCTTACCAACTCTAAAACAACTTTCATTGGAAATACTGACATTAAATGTATAAAGTATAAACTATCTTATATAGCACTTCTAGTTGTTGTCTTCCAACAGGGAAACACTTCGAAGTAGAGTCATAAGAGTAAAATGTAACATCGCAATGTGGCATATTCAAAATCTATAGAGCTTCTTTAAAAACAAATAAAAATAAAATAAAATCTGTAGAGCTAACTGATTCATCACAAAATGTACCAGAAGTTAAGCTAATAGAGTTCTTACCCCTCATGTTAAGCAATAAACGCAAAATATATATATATATATATATATATATATATATATCTTACTACATGCAACATAAATACGCGACGGATAATCCACAACAATCAATCAAAATCACTAGAACAGAGGCAAATGTTTAATATACATTGAAGTAAAATGGAAACTCAGACAATATCGTGTTCTAGTTATACTTTAATTTTCGACGATGAATCATATAACGGCTTAAACCACGAGCACTCGTAACGGTAAAGTATGTCAAATAATCTACGGTATAATCAGTCAGTCTTATGAAAGTCATTGCCTTAAAACAAAATCCTAATAGAAACGAGGGATTATTGTTTTTGTCTGAAAGTTTGAGTATGTATAATTACCTTTGGCTTCTTTCCTTATTTCCGACATCAGGTTTTTCATTCATTGGAATGCTCATCTGTATTGAAATAATTTGTTTCAGAAATCAAAATATATCCTTGATTCAGCTAGCTAGGGATCAATTACGATGGCTGAAATCGCAATTGGGATCGTGATTGAGTCCCTATTAAGGACCGTGATTTCCGTTGCTGCTGAAAAGATCAGTCTTATTGTGGGCAAGGAAAAAGAACTCACAAACCTAACAGAGCAGCTGAAGATGATCAAAGCTTTGCTGATTGACATTCACGACAAGCAAATCAAAACCAGCGTCGTGCAGAAATGGGTAGAGAAGCTCCCATCAATCATCCTTGATGCTCAGATTGTGTTTGAGGAGCTCGATTATGAAGTTCTTCGGAAAAAGATTGAGAATCGAAAGAGGGACAAAGCCCGCGACTTGTTTTCCTGCTCAAATCCTATTGCATTCAATCCCACAATGACTCGGAAGATGAAGAAGGTTTTGCAAGAAGTAGAAGATGTTTTTGTGGAAGCAGGGAAATTCGGAATTAAACCAGCCGAATTGGGAAGCCCATCTCATGCTCTACAATCTGTGAGGTTGTCAACAGATCCTTATATTGAGCATTCAGAATTTGTGGGGAGGAGACAAGATATGGAAAGGGTTATAGACATGCTGAATAATGCATCCGGTGAGAGAGACTTATCAATCATAGCCATCCACGGGATGGGTGGGCAGGGGAAAACAACCTTAGCCCAACACATTTTCAATTGCGACAAAGTTAAAAGCGATTTTGATAAAGCAATATGGATTTGCGTTTCAAAAGATTTTGATGTCAACAGATTGCTGATTGAAATGTTGCCGCCGGAAACCAATGTCAAGGAAATGGATAATGTACAAGCTTTAGTGGATGAGCTGAACAGGGTACTTGGTGGCAAGAGATTGTTGCTCGTGCTTGATGATGTTTGGGAGCATAATATTGAGAAATGGAATCTCCTAAAGAAATATCTGCTTCAAATTGGTGGTGGTGGTGGTGGTAGAGGGAGGAGCAAGATCTTAGTCACGACCCGCGAGTACGCCATTGCTTCAAAAATCGGAACAGCCTATAGCCTTGGCACACTCTCAGAAGAAGAGAGTTGGACAATGTTTGAAAAATATGCATTTGTAGCCGGCGGCGCAACAAAGACACCACATTTGGAGGCTATTGGTAGAAAGATCTTGGAAACTTGTGGAGGTCTGCCATTAGCTATCAGGGAAATAGCATCCTTATTTCGGGAAAAATCTGGATCAGAATGGTCAATGGTCGACGAACAAAGCAAGACATGGAATGCTCGTTTAGAAGGACAAGTTCTTCATGCTCTCAAGTTCAGTTTCGACCATTTACCTACATTATCAATCAAAAAATGCTTTGCATATTGTGCCATTTTCGAGAAGAACACTATCTTGGAAAAAGATCGGCTCGTACAACTTTGGATGGCACAAGGGCTTCTCGATGCTGAAGAGAATTTGCAGATGGAGGACATTGGTTGTAGCTATTTTGACACTCTAATAAGGAGTTCTTTATTCCAAATTGCTCACAAAGATCGTGACAGTAACATCACAGCTTGCAAGATGCACGACCTCGTGCATGATTTGGCATCAAAAGTGTCAAAAGGTTACTGCTATCATGTCAAAGGCTCGACTACCATAACTGACCAGATTAAAGCTGCCCACATTTTGATTGATTTCAGCAAAGGGGTGAAGTGGAAGAGTTTGAAAGATCATATGCCTCCAAATTTGCGAACGCTCCACATAAAAGGTAAGAGTATCGAGTTGTTCAAAGATTTATGTAAACAATTCCCATCTCTCTGTGTATTGATTGTTGATGATAGTGAGGCAACAGCACTACCAGAGTCAATTGGTGATATGAAACATTTAAGAGTTCTCGACATAAGTCTCACTAGCATAAGATCGCTCCCAAAGTCATTTACAAAGTTATACTACTTACAGACCATAAGAGTTGACTCTTTGAATGAGGTACCCAAGGGGTTTGGGAATCTAAAAAACTTGAGGCATATATGCATGAATAAACCTTGTGCGTTACCAGGATTAGGAAAATTGAAAAACCTTCGGACAATCCCTGAATTTAAAGTTGGTAAATTTGAGGGATGTCAAATAGAAGAGCTGGAACACTTGGACAAACTCAGAGGAAAGCTGAAAATATCAAATCTTCACAATGTGAGCAGCTTTGAGTCTGTTGCCAAGTCCAACTTGTCCAAGAAGTGTGATCTCCAAACTCTGGAGCTTCATTGGAACATAGACTGTGATGATGACATTAATGTGATGGAGGGACTTGAACCTCATCCGAATGTGAAAGTGTTAGTAATAAGTGGGTATGGAAGCCTAGAGTTTCCATCCTGGATGAGAAGTAGAAGTGATTTGTCATCATCAATGCGTAATCTGGTGAAGCTCCAAATGTCGAGCTTGTGCAAATGTAATAAACTACCATCACTTGGGCATTTGCCGTGTCTTGCATATCTGGAGATAGATACATTACCCAACTTGGAGTTCATAGGACCAGAAGTTTATGGTTTGTCCAATGTGGATTGGGCTACAAAGAAGAGCACTGGCAAAGGTAGTAACGGGTCATACATCATTACTTTGTTTCCAGCATTGAAGGTTCTCAAGTTATTGAATATGACCAACCTGATAAGTTGGTTTGAAGCAACTGATTTTATTCCATCGAAACCTGCATCATCTTCGTCATCAGTTCAAGCTAAACTATGCCCTTGTCTGGAGGAAATAGTTCTGGAGGGGCTACCCAATTTGAAAGCTATTCCAAACTTGGGAAGTCTACAGAAACTTTGGGTTTTGGATGTATCGTCTTGTGATAATCTGAGAATCTCATGGGAGCATAGGAACCCGCAAGGTGATGAGTTCCAGCAACATCAGTTTTTCCCATGGTTGCATCGGCTCCGCATTTGCAACTCTGACTACGTAAGTGCTCCAATATGCAATCTCATTCCTAGCTTGGCTCCCGTTGAGTCATTGCAAATAAGGTGTAACCCAAGTTTTTGGCCTGAGAATTTGTACCAGTTTATCAACCTCAAGGAACTACAGTTAGGAACCAGATGGAAATCTGATGATTTGGAAATTGATGATTTCCCTTGGCCCTATCCTTCCATCTCCAATGCTGCTGCCCCTAATCATTTTGTCTCTCTTACGGTTCTTTCATTGTTCGGAGGCGGATTACCAAAAGTCAGGTCACTTCCTTGCCAAATCCAGTATCTGACTTCTTTGACCCGTTTAGCAATAGAGGAATTCACTGGGTTGGAGACTCTTCCAGAGTGGTTGGGAGACCTAGAGTGTCTGGTTGAACTGGGGATTGTTGGCTGCAGAAACCTCAAGCAGTTACCGGAGGCATTTCGACGCCTTACCAATTTGCAACATCTGATCATTGGGTATTGTCCTGTTTTGGGAAACAGATGCACACATGGAAGTGGCTCTGAGTGGCCTAAGATTGCTCATGTTCCCTATGTCGACATTTGTGGCAATCGAGAAACAGTGAGTACCGAATTTTGCGAATTATTCTTCTCATTTTCATCGTATGTATATACATTAGTTGATTTGATTTTGCTTTCTTGTGTTTCCGTTGATGATTGTTCAAGAATAGGCCTGAAAGTTGCATCTGAATTGGATGTACACATGACTTGACATGAAGCCTTCCCACAAGATCACTGGAACTTGAAGCTGATGCGAAGCAGAAACTTAACCACTGCACTTTTCCTGTACATCTGTTGAAGTTGGCACTTGTTACTGTTCTTCTTATTTTTTATTTTTTGTTGCAAGATTCAACTGCGTGTTAAAAATTACAAAAAAAAAAAAAAAACAAAAACAAAACAAAAACTCAAGTTGGCAATTGTTTTTTTGTATAGTTGTTTGTTCTGTAAAAAACTTGGTATTGTTTGGACAAGTCTTTCATGCAAAGACCAGCCATATATATGTTGTGTGTCCCAGAAACATGATCTCCTAGGTCCATTTTAGCATATCAACAGAGAGCTCCTTCATCTTGATATGTCCGGAAATGACCATAACTTGTTTGATAATGTCCCGCCGTACGGACACTTATCATTCCTAAACACACCCGATTGTGATTTTTTTTTTAATATTTCATTATTATTTTGTTTACTCTCTCAACCCACACAAATATTTTTTACTAATACATCCTTTTTCTTTTTTTTACATTCTCAACTAAAAATATATATATACTCTTTTATACATTATAAGGATATTTCATTCACTATATCTATATATATACATTCGCTTCAAACACATTATTTGGTTATTGTTTCACGAACACAGTACATGAAACGGTGCTCCCCAATCACTTATAGGACTCTCAATTACACTCCTTCCGTCCCTAAAATAGAAGTATGGGATCTCGAAACCTTTATTTAGGGACGGAGAGTTAATTTGAGAACCTCAAGGTCTCACAAGATTCTATACAATCAGTTGCTATCTAAACAGAGTCATTAATTTATGATAACATAAGTCTGCTTAATGTACTAATTTTCTTCAGCAATTCATAACCAAAAACAATTTGTGGAACAAAACATACATATTCATCTTGAAAAAGTGCTCCACAATGATGGGGCTAGTGCGTTTATATGAGTTCGGTTGATCTAAATATTCATGAGCTCATCTCAATTGCGTACATCATGTAAGCAAATATCTCATCTTATCTGTAGACGCTTGAAGCTCATATCCATTGTGTACATTCTGTGTTTCTTGAACAGCATATATAGCCCATGTTGAGAGAGGTAATCCTCTGCTAGTAACCCTCCAACATTGCCACCTTGTTCTTTGCCAATATTTCAACTAAGCTAAACAATCAATTAAAATGCCTGTCATTCTGAATTTTTGATGATTGAGATGGTATCTTGTCGGTGTTGCTCCTCCAGTAACTCCATCTGCCTCTCTTTCGTCCAAAAGATGACGAAGATGATGCCACAGAAACTGTTGCTTCCATATCGACTCATCTACTTGACATACTAATACATAATGTATTTGGACCACATTTCTGCATTTCTTACTTCAACAATCCATGAAAGGCACACTAGACCATTCATATGAATAATCTGAACAAGAAAAGAGTTATTGCATACCAAGTTTGATTACTATCCTATTTTCATCAAACTTTATAGTTTAGACGAATAATCCTAGCTGGTTTAACAATGTACCAGATTGAGGTGTCCGCAAATAATAAATGATCAGCTTAATGGAAACCAGGATGCAACCTCACTGCAATGGTATTTCCATAATGCATGGTAAACAAACAAAGCCTTAAGAAAAAATCCATATACAGAAGGGTCCAAGACAAATGAGCATCATCATCCAGTTGGTAGAAAAGAAATAGACAAGAAACATATTTATCATCACAAACGAGGATATACTTCATATATATACATCTGCAACATTTGATTTTTCCTACAAGGGATACCTGAGGGTACATTTGACCTCTATCCAGAGCCCCCCAAAAAACAAAAAATCATCTTAAGACAATGGGAGTACAAGTGTAATTCACGATGAGGATTGCACTGTGTAGGAACCTGAATATATGCTAAGCTTTAAATGTCTGTTTCTAGAGAATCAATGAAGAAAATGTGCGCAGTGTTTTTCTGAGATTTACCAGGAGCTGTATAAACAAGCGTAACTGCTGATAGCTAATTGTCTACCGGTTACTAGGTGAAAGCCTCTGCAAAATCACTTCTATCGGATATTTGGAGCTTCTCATCCAATAGAGTCTTGAATTGATCATCTTTATCATTCAATTCATGCATCAATTCGACCTGCATGAAGAGGAAAGTACATTATCAATGAATGTAATTTAAACTTGGCGACTTACAACCTCTGTACACAAAATCAGATTGCTTAAACATCTTCAATAATCTACAGAAGGCAGTATCAATTCCAACAAAGTTTAGAATTTAGATTCTCAGGTAAACATGTTAGCTCAAATATGTAGCACATGTTTGCAAACACTACTGAGTACTAACCATCAGAATGCACTAAGGACTATTGAACAAACATTTAATTCTGAGACCATTTCAATTTTAGTAAATTAAGTAGTAGCAACGTGAACCTGTTTCTGAAATTTATCAAACTCATCAGAGCTCAAAGAACCATCGCTATTTGAATCAAGAAGCAGCATCATCTTCCGGGCATCTTCTCCTTGGGCACCCAATTCCTCCATTACTTCTGTAAGTTCTTCGATACTTATTTTACCATCATTGTTCTTGTCAAGAAGAGAAAAGACTTGATCTTGGCGCTCAATCTCAAAATCTCTATTGGTCGAAGGAAGATCTTCCAAGCGCACTGCTGCAAGTTCAGCGGCAGCTATCATAATCGCCTTGAGACGCTTTGCCTGTATAACCACCAAGAAATAACAGGAGCAAATTAGAGATGGTAGATAATAAAAGTAATTTGAAGAGTATGTATATTCAGAACTTCATAAAGGACAGAAGCAAGGTTATCCAGTAGTCAGCAGGTCTCAGTGACTTCAAACTATTAGCAAGGAGGTATAATAAGAACGAAAAACTCCTTTCTGAAAATCACAAATACATGATGGTGAAAGATCATGAATGATTGGCGGTACTTGCCTCCTCTGGATCAGTAAGGCCACTTTTATATAATGCATGGGATGCTGTTCCATCAGCAGCCAACCTGTCCATCTCGTCAGTCCTTATTTGTATTTCCATAGGTGGTCTACTCATGCCACCAGCATCTCCAATTTCAACAGCCATGTGCAAGCTCTTGTATCCATTTGCCTTTGGTCTCATGATATAGTCTTTGGATCGGCTAGGGATCTCTTTCCACAAAGACCTTATGATTTCACGGGCCCTGTAGCACGCCATTTCTCCCTCGTCATGTGAAGGGTTAATTTGGGATGGACTTAAGATGACTCTCAGACCAAAGATGTCGTTCACCTCTTCAGGCTTGCGCCCATCTCTCAAAAGCTTCTTCATGGTGCTATAACGACTCTTGTATCGCCCTTTTACAGAAATATCACCTACCATTTCCATTAAGAGTGAATCTGAACTGAGGAATTGATGCAGTTGGTCACTGAAGCTCTCTATCAGAGGTTTGGTTTCAGTTGCAATTCCAGTTTTGTGTCTCCTCAACCATGTATCAAGATAGAGGTAGGAATGAGGAAACAAGCATCTGAAGGAGAGATCCTCGAGCTCGAGTGATAAGAAGCGACTGGCAGAGTAGGTATCCAAGGCATGTGCTAAAGGAGCATGTAGTTTGATGACCTCAAGAGATACTAACTGCTGCTTGTACCGAGGAAGATAATGGAGATGCCTCATCGTATCAAGCTTGAGAGCCAGGTGGAGAATCAAGGCCCTAAAATCATAGTAGGTGAGGCAAAACTTCCTCAAAGTAGCAGCGGAATCATCATCATCTAGCAAATGGAGCTTGGAAGAAATATTGCTTTCAAGGCGTAAGCTCTCATGAAGTAAATGTGCGGTACTGATACCAATCCGATCCCTGACTTGAACCAAAGACATGGCACCGGCTTCCAGAACTTGCCCAAGTATACCAGCAGAGATAACTTCCGCATCCATCTTCAAATGAAAAAATGAAGACTCCGTAAGCAGTTGAATCACTAAAAGAGAAGGCATTTTTCTCTATCCTCCAGGTTTTTGTCTTAGTTTAAGGAATTTAGAAGAGGATATCAAATATAACATGACAGGATTTCCCTAGAAATGATATTCACAGGGGCGGCAGATACTAATACTAACCGAGTTGCTACTGCCACACCCCACAAAAATGCCGTATCTTTGATACAAATAGCATATGTAACGGTACATAACAAATTGGGCTGCTGATTCTTTGATTAAGTATAGTTCATAATACTGCAGTCAATTAGCTGTGGAAAAAACTTCGATCTTTACGAATGATAGATGATCATTAATACGAGCCCTGAATCCTGATCCAGAATTTCTAGACAACTTAACAGCAGTACTGATAGTTAAAAGAATACAAACAGCATAAAACTGTATAACAAAAGAGTTAATTCAACAATGATTTGAGAATAAGGTGGAGAAAAAAAAAAACACCTGAAGATCAGCTAAAATGATGGCAACAGAGAGGGCTTTGGAGAGTGGGGAGCGCTGTTGATGAAGGGAAGAAACAGTTGGTACTGGCAAGGAATGTAGGATAGGAATGGCAAGCTTGAGAGTGTTGAAGAGTTGGGAAAGAGAAGAAGAAGTGAGTTTGATGGCGCCGCCATTGTTCTTGTTTCTGTGAGCAATCAGTTGATTAAATGCCCCAACCAATTGTGCCACCATTTTCCCACCTCTCTCTTCCAACAAAGTTCTCATCATCAATTCTTCACTCTTCTCCTCCATTTCTTCTTCTTCTCCTTCTTCATCTTCCTCACCTGAATAGGCTGAAGCTGAGGATGAAGATGAACAGTAGCTGAAACCCTTTTCTCTTCTTCTTCCTCCTCTGCTATTAACAGTAAGATTATTGATACTAACATGAACTAAGCTAGGATTATTGATTGCTCTGGTGGAAAACCATGATGGTAACTTTGATTGGGATGAAGAAGACGGAGATGGAAGAGAATTACAGCAGCAGCAGTAGGAGGAGGCGGAGGAGGAGGCGACGGAGGCCACCATTACCATTTCCATCGTTACGAATTTACGAATTTGAAAATTTTCAGTGGCTCAAATCAATCCGCCATTTCCACTGTTTCTTCCTCCAATGTCTGTGTAGTTATTTGTGGCTGATATTTTTTTCTCTCTATTTCTGGGAATAAAAAACTGTTTTAAGGCAGAAAAGCATCCACATCAAATAAGAAATGGGAAAAGGAACCGCGGGCCTGAAATATATTGGACTTGATTGTCCTGGAAGTTTAGGCCCATTACTAATTCAAAGCCCAGTTAACGAAAACGGTAAGATGCTCGTCCTATTCCAAAATTATTGATCACCACGTCTTAAAATTATTATCCAACTAGATATAACTGGGTAATACCCAGACTGCTTCAATTTTCTTTGTGTGTGTCGGTCGGTGTAATTGATCATAGTAAATAAATTTTAAAAAAAATAAAAATAGAATGATAAAATTTGATTATAATGGTTAATATCTACATATGAAAGAAAAAAAAAATTCTATATACAAAAAGAGATTTGATGTCCACTATTCATAAGGACGCTCACATTGTTTTTTGCTTGCGTCAAATTGATAAATGTAGCGGGAACAATTAAAAAATAACTATAGAGTATGTACAATATCCGCGGAATCACGGGCTGCTCATTTTTATTTTTATTTTTATTTTTATTTTGTGTCTAGTCGTTTTCATTAATATAACAAGGTATTAGAATGATTGAATGAAATGCACAAATTAGCAAAATGTAAATACAAATAATAAGCGAAAATGTGAATTGGTAAATGATCTATATCTCTTAGTACATATTATAATATAATGGTCGAAAATGTGAATCGGTTAATAATTATCCCTTAAAACCTTTTGACATCAATAAGTTAATGAGTAAGATTCAAAGCAACTACTTAATTAATGAATTGTTATTTTTACTTGTTTATTAAATTTGAGTTATTCACTTTTTTCTCTCAATATATTATTTGTTAGAATAGTATTCATTTGATTGATCAAATCTCTTAATTTGCAACTTATGTTTTCCAGCGGTACAGATTTCCTAAGCAAAATATTGATGATGATGAGTAGTTTTTTTCCTAAAGCTAAATTATAAGTACAGATGCAAGAATGGAAACCACACCTCTAACTTGGGTAGTTGGACCCTTTTACTAATTTTTTTTGTAATTGCAACTTAGCTTTCTATATTGCAAAAGCGAAATCGGTAAAACTAAATTGATGTATTTCATTATTGAATGAGGACTGATAGATCGATAATTATCAGCAACCTCAAAAACTACAGAAAACGGAGCTCCTCAAGCAACGAATAAAACTTGCAACTGTGCCAGTAGCTACAAATCTGGAAAATTTTCTGAACCAAGCATGGTCTCCCTTTTAACTTTCTGCCATAAGAGCTGCATATCCCTCTGCTCCTTTCCATCACCCACTGGAGTAAGATCGAATTCACGGCCCACCAGCTACTAAGCTTATACTTCTACATGGTTAAGATAACAATGGTGATAACCAGATAGACATCACATAAGGAAGAAGTAATTGTTGATTGAACTCACTTGATTGGAGATGACAGCATTCAATACCACAAGATAAGTCACATACCTCAAGTAACTTGCTTGTAAACAATTGTAATCCGACCAAATTCCAGTAGCGAATGCATACTCAAGTGCTTCACATGAAATAACTTTCCTTTGCACAGTTACGTTAAGCCTTTAATTTTGTCCTTCAAACATGGAATCTGAAGTTTTACAATAATAAATAAAAAAAAAGGACACATGTGGTGCTTCAATTATAAAACAAAATCCAAGAGTCATGCTTACTGAATACAGTGTGCAAAAACAATCATATCCACTCATAATATGCAAAAGCCGAACAATAATTTCATTCTACAAGGCTTTAAATGTTGTAAACAAATCCACTAAAATATGCAGGACCTCCAGTAAACTCAGTAAACAAAATGCAGTGTAGAAAGAATATTTGCAGTGTAACAAGATTTGCAAAGGTTATAAAACAGTTATGCCAAAGCAACTAAAGAGCGAGAGAGAAAAGAGGTTTTGAGAAGAAGCAAATATTTATTAGAGCTGAAAAAGAAGTGTTTTGAAAGGCTTAGGTGATTCAACTAAAGTATTTTTTGGGTTGCAAGTTGTAACTGCATCGATAAGATGGAACAAAAAGTTTCATTGATTAGTTTAGGCGGTGCATTGAAATAATGAGCATGCTATGAACCAGTCAATTAATACTCATTCTATTTTTTTTTATATATGTCTTTCTAGAGAATTCATCAAAACCAATAACACATTAATTAATATAGTTTAAATACAAAAATATCTTTATTAATTTTCTACACAACTCATCACAAACCAATAGAAATTGATTATAAATGTTATTTTATTTCCAATGCAAGGGTAATTTCGACAAAAAGTGGTCAAATATGCATCGATTTGTGAAAACGGCTTATATTTAAAAAAATTCACCAATTTCTAAAACGACATATATTTCAAATGGAAGAAATACTCCACAACATCCTACTTGGAAGGTGGATCAACTTGGTAAGAGCATGGACCACGAACGAATTACATGTGAACATAAGCTCGACCAAAATAGAAATAATAAAACTCAAGATAACCACAATTTGACACAATGGATTTGGAGGGAAAAAATTGCACCACACCGCGACACGTGTACAGGAGGGGGAGGGGGGAGGGGAATTGGCGGGAGGTGCTGCTGAAGAGCCTTCTGTTTTAGTAGTATGAATGATTTGGATTGTCATCATTTATTTACTAGATGCTTGGGCGATCCTTGTTTAATAAATTGATATATAATTAAAAACAATATACTGTGTAATAATAATAAATAAATAAATAAATCCCATAACATTGATTTTATTGTATACAGTATTATGAATAAATGAAGAGAAGAAAATGAAATCAATCATTTTAAGGAACGAAATGGTGAAATGTTGAGCGCTTAACATCACCGTAAGCATTCAGGGGAATACAAAACCAAGCTCGTGCAGAAGTGATTAATTTGGCTTCACCTTTTACCTACTAAAAGAGATGGTTCTTGGACAATCTCCTTCACAAAATCAACAACCTCATCCCCTCTACACTACAGCACAGTAATCGATGATTGGCTTCTCACTCTAGCCAATACCCACTGAAGCCAACGAATAAACTTTGTACGTTTTACCCAATTTTGGGATGTTACATCTGAAGACAAAAACATAGAGGTTCCGAAGAGATGCAAATCTTGAATTACATGATTATGATGATGGTGAATATAAAGGGAAAAAGTGTTGAAAAAAAATTATGAAATAGTACCTCTAATAAAATACAAAACCACCAAGGCCATGAAGAAGCGCCATTGGGACCCTTGTCCTTCCGCAACATAGTGTATTTTCCTTCCTCGCCACTTCCAGAAGTTGTAGTCCTATGTCCTAAAAAAAAGTCTTTCACCATCTACAAAGATTTTGTAGATTTTGATTTAAGCTATGAACAGATGAATTAATTCCCGCAACCTACAAAAAAACAATTCAATGCCCAAATCAACTTCAATACAATATTCAACAAATTATAATTACGGATTCTCTCAACAATATTAGATGTTCTGACTCGCTTTAGCATTAATTTAAAGTTTAAAATGAGGTACTCTGATCATATTTAGGAGTATAGAATAGCGGGTTAGACTGTGCATTAGGTTTTGATCCTTTTATTTTGGAAAAATGTATCAATCAAGCAAAGGTGATCTTATACGGCAATGCAAGCAACATTGTGTAGCTAACTCATTTCTTATCTAGTACTAAATATCCCTTTAACATGCACAAAAAAAAAACTCTCAATTATTTATTTTGCAATTACAATAAATAAAGATCAGGCCAGTCTTTCTCCCAACTGAGATTATACTTGTCGCACGCAATTTTTACTCATGCATGTGACCAACTGTATATTACCTTATGAAGGGTTATTTTAAGAAAAGGAAATAATGTTGTAATATTCAATTATTATTGTAATATTGACGACATGATCATACACGAAGTTTACAAAAGAGTGTTACATGATTATGTAATTTGAGGTAGAATGATTTACTTCTTTTTTCTCATTTGAGAGATTTGGGTTCATTTAAATTTTGAAGTAAATGCAACATTGAATATGCAGTTAATGCTTCGATAAGAACATATCATAGTCAATATTTTAGGGATTACTAAAAATTTATTTTTAATTTTCTTTACCTGAATTTTACAAACTAAACCATTATAGTAACTTTGCATTTTAGGCTGGAAAATATTGTTTGAGGAGTTGCCACATGTCTTTAGTGAGAGCTGTTTTCAAGAGATAAAAGGGGATGTTAACCTAAATGAATATTTACTAACAAGAATGATGTTCTTAAAATGAGTTTAATTTGCAATTTATGTTTTGTTTCGAAATTATTGTCTAATTTTTAGTCTGTTTTTGTTCTTTTAAAAAAGTATTTTTTTTTCATAGGAATAGACTATTTTCTTTTTTTTTTTTTGTGGAAGAGAATAATTTGAGTTTGGATGGTAAACAAACTATACATATGTGATGATTTTTTTTCTTTGTGTGAATGGGTATTATAAACTTAAAAAGTAAAAGTCTTGACTAGTTAAAAATAATTGTTTGGCTTCAATTACTTTTTTTTTCTCTTGATTATATGTGACTAGTTCAATTACTCAGACCTGTCTTATTTTTTAACTATACATATGTGACTAGTTAAAAATAATAGTTTTATATAGGTTTTAATCAAACTCAATTCAGCTTGATCATTCGATTTTGCTCTATCATAGTAGTTCTTTTCCTCACTAAATAGTCTGACTATAACAGGCCGGCCTTCCCATAAAGCCAATGAAGCAATGGCTTTAGACCCCTATTTTGGAAAAGCCCCTAAATTTTCAAAAATTAATATTATACTATCTTAAAAAATTAAAATAAATAAAATAAACTACAGTTCATAAATGAAAATCTACATATTTTCAATTCTAATTTAAAATATAAAAGTTTTGAATCGTCTTTTTTTCCAAATATTCTTAATATTTCTTTCCTATTTAAAAATAAAAAAAATAAAAATTAAAGAACTGCTTAATGTTTTCAAATCTCAATCACTCGCAAATTATCCAACCACCAAAAAAATATTGCTCAATTTTTACAAATATATTCGAATCAAGGAGGTTTATAAAGTTAATATTTTTTACTAAATTAATCCAAAAATACCAAAAGTTTGTTTGCTACTCAAAACTATAAGTTTAAAATGTTATTATATGAAACTACAAATTTAAATAGTATTTCTATTGTTTTGTGTTGGGTTTCATAAAAAAATTAATGATCGACTCTTTACACGTGAGATGCACGTGAATTGATCGAACAATATTGTGTGTCCATGTAAAATTATATGTTTGTAAATTCACAAGCAAATCGCATGATAGAGAAGAGTAGAGTCAAATTTTTATGATGGTCGCATAATATCTTTCGATCAATTCAAGTGAATTTTACGTGCAAACAAAATAAAATCAACCATCAGTTTTTTCACGAAACTCTAAAAGAAAAGTGAATCAAGACCCTATTTACGTTTGTGTCACTTATAGTAACATCTGAAAATTTTAGTTCTAAATGAATATATAAAGCAAATTTTTTAGTACTTTTGTAGTTATTTATTTTATTTTTATTTTTATATATTTAAAAGGCCCCAAATTTAGGTATTCACTTTAGGCCTCTGAAAACAATGAGCCGCTCTTGGGCTATAATAATATATAGTATGTGATGTACATACTCTCTCCATATTGAAATGATAGTTTAAAATTTCACTTTTACTGCAAATTCTAGTATAAACGAAAACTCTATTAGATTAATCATTTTGCGACAGAGGAAGTATTGTTGTTGGTATTTTATCATAAAATCTGTAAATTTTAAACATGATTAGTTAAAATAAGTTACTACTGAATTTTTAAAAAATTAGTTAAGTAAATAAATATTAATTGAGCATTTGAAAGAAATGGTAAAGTATCATAGAACTTTTACTTAACACAACATCAGAGACCTGTCTCACTAATCATCATTATAAATCTTACGATAAACTTTTGCTATTTGTGTAGAATTCAGTATTTGTTTGAAAAAAAAGAAAATGAAACAAGGAGTAAATCAAAGCGAGGAGGCAGAACAATGGGAAAAGTAAGCAAATTGATTTTTCTTTTTCTTTTTTTACATGTACGAATAGTTTGAAACTGTTTAATGAGAAGTTGGATTTTTTTTTCTAAATTGGTACGTTGAATTTCAATGCTTTATTATATACTCTTTCTATCTCAAAAAAAAATAGTTTATATTGAGTTTAAGATTTATTTATAGTCTACATTGACGTAGACTATTTTTTTTTTTTTTGATGACGAGAATAAATAATTAAGATAGGTTACACAATTTTGACTTGATAACATGAATTCACACCATTACTACAAAGAGGCAAATTTATGCAGTCATGATGTTCCATTGTCAATAAATAAAACTATAAATTAAATAGGGTAAATATATCGTTACAAATTAATTTATATTTCAATTTGTGAAAGGAATTATTTAAGAACATTCGTAATGGGTATAAAAGAGAAAGGTCAGGAGGAGAAGTAATTATATCAAACACCTTAGTTCACAATGTTTGGTAAACTGATTTATTATTTACACATACTTTTACAATTTTGGTTCTTATCTCTCTCTAATTTATTCAATCAGATTTTTTTCCTTTATTCAAAATTTATAAGTAATCAAATCAAAATAAACTACAATTCAAATTCTATCCAAATTTCACGATAACAAAAATACAATCCTAATTAAAAAAATTCAATTACAACTAGAGTCGTATAAAAATAAAAATTGCACACTACCACACAAAAACATGTAATAAATTGTAAACAAATAGTACAAAGATAATGTTCATTACTTAAAGTGTAAATATGCAAAATAAAACATATTAAATTTCATGATAGTCATATTAAGAATTCATGACAACTTTGTGTTGAATACAAAATAAATATGCATAATATTCATACATTCACAGTAAAATAATACAATTTTTCTCCTAAGATGTTCAAACTTATATAACGAAAAAATTCATGAATGCTAAATGCGTTTTTCATGGTATAGAAATCTAAAGTGCATAACTAATAACAAATCGTAGTAATAATAAAATAATGTTCATGATCATAATATGTTATATTCATGAAAATTTTGGATAATGTTCATCATTATATTCAAGACTTGTAATATCTTTCATGACCCTATTATGCAAACATTCATGGTAAATATAGTCTATATTCATACATCGCAAATGTCATGTTCATGATAAGTTCGCATTATATTCATACATGACAATAAAATAAGAACACGGACCAGACTTGAGTGTCTGATATAAAAAAATATTTAAACCGATTTTTAAACCGTAGCTGTACAGATTGCGATTGGCAGCTTTGAAAGTCCTGGAACCAGCTAATGTGACCATTATTGAAATCTAGGATTGCAATCGGTAGTTCTGGAAACACCCGGCATCACAAGAGTAACACCCACCACCATCTTCAACGCATATCAATTGAAGTTGTGAAAAAATCATCTTCAATCGAAACTTTTTCTATAACTCACAAGATTCAGTGTGAAAGAATGATACTTTGCTTCGTATTTTCACGTTTTCTTTATTTTATACATGAAAAGTTGTTAATTGTACAGCTAAAATGCAGGTCGATAGATTTTCTGTTTTGATTTGTATACATGATAAAATTAGTGATAAAATACTAGAGAAAATTAGAGAGAAAATTATTAATTTGATGCGTGTAATTAAAATTATAAAAATTAATCAAAACTTACTCTCTTTTTTTAGCGTGTGTGACAACTTCTAAAATCAGTCCACCATCTACGTTTACAGTATAAAATTGTCCAAGAGAAGTTAAATTCTAAAAATTTATTTTTGATAATATAAATTCAAAAAGTAAAACCTGGGGGAAATAAGGGTTACTCCAAGAGACTCGATGGAAGCAAAGAGGCATAGACTTCCCATGGGAATCAGCCCTGACCGCTACCCACCACCACCGACGAGGATACTGATTCCGTCGGTGGTGACGAGAAGAATCATGCCGTCCCAGTCCTCGTTTATCTCTTCACAATACACACTTGCATCATTCAACTCTTTCGGCGTTAATCGCAATGATGGTTCATCTGACCTTGAAATGTACAAAATCACCACCGGGAAGAAGGCCGATCAGATCGAGAAAGTGCAGAGAGCCTCCGAAAAATCGGCGACAGCCAGATCATCAGAGTTGCCCACGCGCCAATTATCATCAACAGGAAGGTATCTTAGATCCTCGGAGAAGGAGCTGGGTTTTATGGAGCAAGCCAATTAGGATGGCGGTAGCCGTATTGGGGAAGGAAAAGGTGGGTGCCATTCTGGGATCATCTAAGTTACCGAACCATCCAGTCCCGGTGAGGAGTTGTTGGGAAGAGTACTACAAGATAATGCACCAGAGGGAGGTTACTTAAATTTGCAATTGAATTACGCCTCTTATTACTTCTTTTTATGTTTTTCTTTCTTTATGTCAATTGCTAATGATTTTTCTTGTAGGGTTTTGATATCACCTGGGCTCCTCCTGATGGTAAAGCACCAATCTTACATTATGAATTCCAAGGTGATGAAGTCAATATTGCTAAGGTCAATGGGATGATCAAGGAATGCATCCAATTTTACAACCTTAACATGTCCAGGGCACCACCAAATACACCTAATCAACGATGGGAGTAAGAATGTTGTGAATGTGGCTTATAGCCACAAATCTTATTCTAGATTGTATTTTATTACCTTAATAGCTTCTCTAGAGGATGATTCCAACAGATTGAATACTTTTCAACCTCAGTATCTTGTCATTCCTTATCGAAATTATCCTTGTTGTTGTGGTGATGATGATTGTTGTGGTGGTGAAAGCGATTCTGATGATCGTGGTGAGACAGAGGAAGAGATGTTTGACAAGCTTATGCAGGATGACCAAGAGGAGGGGGAGGAGGAGAGGGATGAGGAGGAGGAGGAGAGGGATGAGGAGGAGGAGGAAGAGAGAGAGGAGGAGGAGGAGGAGGAGAGGGATGAAGAAAAGGTGTTGTTTTGCTCAACTAAGGATGACCTATTATCAAAATGGAAGTCGGATTTATCATGCTCTCTCTTCTGTTATAGTACATTCAACATACACCGTGCCAACACTAGTAGGACATTCCAAGAATACGCAAGGGAAGAAGCAAAGAACCTGAGCGAGAGCCATTGGGATTATGCCTTATGACTTTGCTCTCCCATGTTTGTGTTTTTGAGGTGCAGGAAGAAAATGCAAGTCTTGGGATTAGGCCATCAATATATGAGATGCAGGTAAAGAAAGCAATATGTAACCAAAATGATCATAGAATAGATTATCTACTATCCTTTCTACGATAGCTTAAGCATTGTTTTGATTATGCTAATTAGAATAAATATCTTTTTACTTTTTACTAATTACAATTTGCATAAATTTAAATTAAGAACCATTACAATCCGCATAACGTGCTGGTAAGTACCATTGGATAAAAGCAAATATTACTTACTAAAGATAATATGTTGGTACTTGGTAGTATGTTCATAAGGGCAGTCATTAACCTTCTGCATTTTGAACATGTAAGCCACCATTCCCATCAAATCCTCTCCGATGTTAGCTAATTAATGAGCATACGCTTCTTCAACAATCTTCATTCTGCTTGCTGTGACGATCCTACCAAATCATATCTTCCAGCCATCGGATTAAATGTTCGCAAAGTAAACGTAAGAACAATTGGATGCTCCCTCTTCAGATTTTCACAACAGGCTTTTGCAGCATTGATATGTGATGCAGTAACTGAATAACCAATATGCGATAATTTTCACATTTCATTAATCTCAAAGCAAGCATGGCTTCCGTGGAATTAATTAGGATTTAGGACATGGTTGTAAAGATATTAAAATTGCAGCCGATTATTTATCTTCTTTAGCATCTACTGTTCCGGTGGGTTTAGTCAAACTTACTCAGCCGCCAATAAATTAGAATCATAGTTAGGAAACGATGTAATTAGCGTTTCATACCATTGCTAAAACCATGATTAGAACACGATGTAATTAGTGTTTCATACTATTGCTAGAGTGACGCCAATGCAATTTACAAGTAGGATCACGTAGGCTCATGTCTAATTTTTTACAATTTCTTTTTCTGTTTAAAAAAAAAAAAAGCACGGCCACATGGCCGACTACATATAATTCAATATGAGAAGAAAATCAAAAAATTTAGGTCTCGTATGGATAATGGTTTGTTTTAATTTTTCGTTTAGTTTTTTGTTTGAATTTGAGATACGATTTAAAATGTGTTTTGAGATAAAATTTAAAAAATTGTTTGAATAATTTTTAATTAAAATAATATTATTTTCTTACCACCATCGCCACTCAACTTTGCCGCCGGACCGCCCTCTTCTTCCGCCGGACCACCACCGGTTGGATTCCGGCCAACTCGCCGGAATTTGGCTGGAATTCGGTCGGCTGGTCGCCGGGTGGCGGTGGTCCGGCGACTGAGGTGGGTGGCGGAGATAGTCTGGTGGTGATGGATAAAATATGTGGTAAAATTATTTTTGAAATAATTTTTAAAAGATAAATTAAAATATTATTTGGATAGTGTATTGGGTTTTGTGTTTAAGAGATAAAATGAGACAAAATGGTAAATAAAAGGTTAGTCATACAAGACCTTAGAACGTATGAATCTCAAAACCAAGATCCAATTAGACTCCTTAAATGTTGCAACTACTATCTACATGTAGCAGTAAAAGGATAAATATTTTCCAAAACCACAATTATATACTCCTAAATATTCCTTCCAGCTCTTAATATAAGGCATTTTGATATGTCTTAGGTTTAACCTAGTACGTATTTTTAATTGACAAAAAACCTTAAAAATATTTCATAACAATCAAGAGAATACAACGAATATGAAAATATATTTTTAAGATTTTTTTTTCAATTAAAAATGTGTGCTAGGTGAAACTTAGGACAAAATCAAAATGCCTTATATCAAGGACCAGAGAGAGCAAGATGCTACTACCACAAAATGAAAACTTATTTTTTTTTTTAAAAAAAAAAAGAAAAATTCAAATTCACGCTTCCCAAAGCTTCCCGGGCACCTTTCGGCTTTTCTATATAAACCCTCTCAAATTCGCCCTCCACTTTTCAAATTGCTCCCCTGTTCCCAAAATCAAAACCCTGAAGAGCCTAATAAATATTCCTTCTTCCAACAATGTTGGAGCTGAGGTTGGTTCAGGGCGGCCTGTTGAAAAAAGTTGTGGATGCGATTAAGGATTTAGTGAGCAATGCGAATTTCTATTGTTCCCCTGACGGATTCTCCATCGAAGCCATGGATTCCAGCCACGTCTCTCTGGTGGCTCTGCTTCTTCGATTGGAGGGTTTCGAGGATTACCGCTGTGATCGCAGCCTCGCAATGGGAATGAATGTTAATAACATGGCTGCGGTGTTGAAGTGCGCCGGGAGAGACGACATCGTCACGATCACGGGCGACAATGACGCCGCCGGCGGCGACAACGTCAATTTCGTGTTCGAAAAACCCAACTCAAGATAAGATTCAGGAGTTTGAGATAAATTTAATGGAGATTGATTGCGAGCGGATCGGAGTTCCAGAAGGAACAGAGTACGATGCTTCTGTTAGAATCCCTTCGGCTGAATTTGCTAGAATTTGCAAGGATCTTACAACGATCGGCGACACGGTGACGATTTCCGTGACGGAAGAAGGCGTGAAGTTTTGTACGAGAGGTGATATTGGGAGCGCGACGATTGTTTGCCGTCAAAATACGGCTGTGGATAAGCCGGAGGATGCCACCGTCATCCAAGTGAATAATGATCAACCAGTTTCCTTGACGTTTTCACTTAGGTTTTTGAATTCTTTTACCAAAGCAAGCCCGCTGTCGAATTGTGTAACGATCAATCTTTCTTCTTCTTCGGAGCAGAGTATTGTTGCGGTGGAGTACCTGATTGCAGAGATGGGTTACATCAGGTTTTATCTGGCGCCGAAGGCTGATGATGGTGAAGACGATTGATTTTTTTTGAATTTGTGATACTCTTTTTCTTATAGGGAATGGTAGTGCCACAAAAAAAAAAAAAGTTCACAAAGGTTTTATATTTAACGAATGGTGTACTTTGAAGAACATTTTTCTTGGTAGTTCAAGAAAAATGTTTCGAATTAATATACAGGTACGGTTTTAAAAAAAAAACAAATGTTCTTCAAAGTTTGATACTTCGATTCATGATAGTGTATAATCCCTCAACTCTCGTCTTGTAACTTCATAGTTTCTTAGGTCCAATTGACCTGCAACAATTATTCAAAGTTCTATTTACAGAATTGATTAAAAACAACAAATATGACACTTATTTTGGGACAGAGAAACTATTATTATAGTAGAGTATGCTCTTGACAGGACCAAACGTGTAGTTGTTGGATGTTCCATGATGGAAAAAAATTCCGTCTAACATAAATCTTATGAAAAGTAAGTATCGATCAATCACACTTCAATTCACCATTACGCGTTCACATATTTCCCCGTATTTCTTCTAAGGTAATAATGTTCTGTTTTCTTGGGCTGCAACTAAGATGATGCGAGTTGAAAATGGCAAGGTTTTGCCCATATTTCTACAGATGCGAGTTCCCCTTCTTACTTACGGTTGGTTGATCCCCTACCTAAGAAAAAGCTGGAATCAAACCTCTGTTTAAGACGACTTCTGAAATTTAATTCAAAAGTAAACTGAATTCGAAGCTCAAGAATAGTATCCTCCAATTATAATATAGCCCAAGAGTAGCAAACTGGGCAATAATAAATATCGTGTGAAATTGATTCCTCAAAGTTAAAAAGCATTCATGAGATTTGGAACATAGACAAGTAAAGTCGAAATTCATGCAGCGGGCAGGTATCAAACCACGCATTAGATTGATTCCAAAGACACACCTATTGAAGAGAAAGCTGGTGTCAAACCACACATTTGAGACTTGGTAGAAATTTATGAACACGAATGCAAAGAGTTCACAGTCAATTTTGCATCAGGAAGGTAAGATTTCCTAAATGGAACTTTAACTATCCAAATCCAATGTTGATAACGGATTATGTTTGAAACATATATTAGAGCTGGCAAAAATACCCACGGACTTATTACCCATCTAAATCTATTGGACTTTGGTCCATAAAATTCCATCCATTTAAAATGTTGGGCTTGGGTAGATCTGGATAAAAAATTGCTTGGACGGGTATGGGTAGTCCACGGTTACACATCAGGTAGTCTATTAAATTTTTAAACTATACAATCATCATTTAAACAGGTCATGACCTGATCCAACCCAACCCATTTAAGGAATGGTCATATAGGGCTGGGTCATGATGAGTTGGCGTGGATTGTGAGTCAACTGGTTTACTATAATTTTTACCCGGGGGTTGACCCATACATAAAATTATTTTTAAACAATGGTATATTTTATAACTTAATGGACTTTAAATTTTTACATTTACGGCAAGTATAACTGGGTCAGTCCATGCATCGAGGTAGGTCGACTCAATAACCAGGTCATGATACACGAGTCGAATTTTTATTTTTTATTCAAATAAATTTTACACTTGTATTTTCTAATTTCTTCAAGTTCAACTTTTATGTTTTGAGCATATTAAACTGGGTCGATCCATGAGTCATGTCGGATCGACCCAATAACCAAACCACAGTACATGGATTGAATTTTGATTTTTTAAAAAATAAAGTACAACTATGGATTTTAACTTAGGAGACTAATAATTATATTTTCTACTAAGTTTTATCGGTCGACCCATGAATCGAGTTGGGTCCATCCAGTAATCGGGTCGCGATGCGCGGGTCGATTTTTTTATTTTTTGTTCAAAGAAACATTTACACTTTATACTTTCTCGCTCATTGAAATTCAATTTTCATGTTTCGAGCCATATTAAACTGGGTCAATCCACGGGTTATATTGGGTCGATCCAGTAATCGGACCACGGTACATGTATCGTATTTTGAATTTTTAAAAAAATAAAGTGCAATCATGAATTTTAATTTAGAGACTAATAATTTTTTTGTTTTCTATCACGTTTTATCGAGTCGACCAATGGATCAAACTGGATCGACCCATGAATCGAGCTGGGTCAATCCATTAATCGGGTCATGATAAGCGGGCATTTTTTTTTTGGTTCAAATACAACTTATACTTATATTTTCAAACTCGTTGAATTTCAAATTTTCACGTTTCAAGCAATAGTTAACTGGGTTGAGTTGAGTCGACCCAATAACCGGGCCACGATATATTGGTCTAATTTTGATTTTTTTTTTTTGTTAAATAAAGTACAAACATGAATTTTAATATAGGAGAACAATAAGTTTTATGTTTCACATCAAGTTTTAACGGGTCGATTTAATATCTGGGTCACATTTGAATTTTTGTTCAAAAAAATATACACTTGTATTTTCCAACTTATTGGACTCATACTATTCATATTGGTGTGAAAGAATTAATTTATTATTTCGTTTTATTTAGTTGGGCTCATATTTATTACATTGGTAACATATGTATTTATGTTAAAAAGTCCACTAAATGTATTTATGGATATCCATGGGTATGTATTCGTGGATATCCATGGATACCCATGGATACATATGGATATTTAATACCCATCCATTTAAGTCCATTAAATTTAATGGATATGGATGGGTATTTATCCATTAAGCTAATAACAATTAAAAACCAATCTCAAATATTTCAAATCCGTCCATTTGCCGGCTTGAACATATATAACTCATCCAGTAGGTTCAAGCTGTTTTGTTACGGATAAATCGCTATGGTGAAAAACCATTCCATGATTTCTTTTCCAATTCATTCTCTTGCTTCGTGTTTTCCTGCTATTAATCTAGCTACAAAATGATCTCCTTTGGGAGGGTCAGGTAGCAGCGGCCATCATTTTCTTGAGGTTAATTTTGAGGGGGGAAAAATGGTTATATCTGAAATTCTGAATGGATTCTGCGCTCCCTTTTTCTTTATCAATCATTTCCAAAAAAATAAATGGCCTGGATACTGTTACAATGCAAGCCCAGCCAGCCAATCCAGATTCCTTCAGATTTTTTTTTTTATTTTTTTCTTTTGCTTTGAAGACATGAAAGACCCACCAAAAACACCACTTGGGACTCATTATTGCTCGACTTTCGTATTCCCCCACCCCAAAATCATTGTCCAGTTTGAAATTTCATTTTTAATACAATTTGAACTAAAAATGAAAACTCAAAGTGAACAATAATTATGAGACGGAGAGAGTATGAAATTCAAACACTCGTAAGCATAATATTTCCATTTATTGTACCTACTCATACCTTTAATTGGAGCAACTACAAATAAAATTTTATTCATACTTAATTATTATCGATCAATAAGTACAAAGGCGCTCAAATACTTCATTCCTCAACAATGTATAAATGGGGCATCTCAGAGTATTATACATGCTAACAATTGAAATTGGAGGAAGGAAATTCCAACAACCATACAAAAGATTGCAGTCTAATTTCTTTTATTAGGTAGAAAAAGAGTTTGCATATTGTAATCAACGGATTTTGAATCGGTTTAAAGATTTACAAGGACGGACAGGTCAACCAGCGATGTAAAGATTCACATTTAATTACTACTTATTCCCTCAGATTTTCATATACTGACCAGTTTAATTATTAAGCCAAAAACTAAAAACAGCTCGATAAAACGGGTTATTGATATAGTATTCACTCCGTTCCATAATTATTGTCCAATTTGAGTTTTCATTTTTAATTCAAATTGTACTAAAAGTGAAATTTTAAACTGAACAATAATTTTGGGACAGAAGGAGACAGTTGCTTTTCTCTGATATTATGTCTAGTAGTAAGGTTACGTATTAGTTGACTGGCAATCATCTGACGCATATATAATCTGTATGCAGGCTTTGGTTTTGGCTATAATTTGCAATTTGTAAGCTACATATTTCTTCCGTTTCATTTAATATTTAAATAAGATGGAAGGGGCATGAATCTTAATCAAGTGCACTTATGTACAGTGTGGAACAGTCGGACATATTTTGCATCCCTTAAATGGCTAGAACCATAATGGAATTCGGACGCAAAACTCCTCAGAAGATCTGCATTACTTTCTTTGTTAATTAATTTATTCCTACACTAATGATGAACAACATCAGCTAAGAAATTAGTGAACTAATCAACTAAGTGCTACTACAAAATTCATAAGTTACACGCATTTAAGCGGATAAGCTTGCGTATTCTTTAATTTTTTTAAACACAATTTACACTATTTTTGTGTGGTAAAGGGATTATTAATTAGAAAAAATGTAGGTTGTACTTTGGATATACATTAGGGATTAGGTGGCTTCTTTGGTGTGTGTGTTTGAAAAGTAAACCCAAAAAAAACAGTACAATAGTTGGAAATGAATGAGAATGGCAGTCCATTTTCAACATCTTCTATACATATTATTTTTTTCACAATACCGCTAAAACCTAAATAAGAACCACATTCTGGACGTGGATATATTCTCAACGAATTCCAACCACATATGTGTGAGCAAGAAAATGTCCTATCACAAGAATAACAAAATCGCATATTACCACTATTCAATTCAACGTGTAATAATTTATTTTGATAAGGACTATTAATATAAAATAGAAAGAGTATATATCATTATCAAGATTTAATTTTATTTTAAGATTACCAAAAGTTAAGGCTTTCCAAATTTGGCGAAACTCGCAGGTACTGTTGAGCTTCAACATTCGATTATAGAATGCAAATCGCAAAGCAAAGTCTCCAAATACTGCTGATCAGGCAGGAAGAGAAGAGTCGCACTAGAAGATGAGATATTTAAACAAAATACTTACTAAAATAATCAAGAAAAAAAAAGATTTGCCAATTCATTGCTCAATTATTTCCTCCAATTTTATGTGTATAAGAACATACGTATAAATGAAAGTAAACCGCCACACGATCATGTGGATCGAACAGAATATAAACCATCTCCTTCATGTT